GCACTTCATGGTCTTCTAGGGAAAAGAATGTTGTGTGAATATATGTAAATGGTTATATTCTGAATCAGACTAAAAGTCTTTTTCAGTGCACAGGAACAATGGTAAATGCTGGCAGACTCTTTGCTGCAATAAGCACTGCTAAGTACAAAACCATACACTAGTGCTTTAGCTCATCTAGTTTTCAGAACAAAAATGCAGGGAGAGAGAAGACTGTGTGTGAGGACCCATAGGATCCCCGCCTGTATTCATTGCCATAAATTAAGAATGTTTTCTTAAATGGCACTGGAACACCTCTCTCTTCCCCAGTAACGCCTCAGCCTTGGAGAAAACAGCAGGCTTTCTCAGAAACCTCTGGTAAAACTCCATGCTCTTTCTTTGCTCTCCCTTTACCTGGGATTTCCAGCAGGTGCCAGTGTGGTCTCTCTGTTAGCCTGCAGGGAATTATCCCAAGACAGGCAGTCTGCTGGTTATTCTCTCAGAACTTCCCCACATCAAATGAGTTTCAGAAAGAGAGCTTTCTAATTCTTAATTATCAAGCTAACAGGCTTAAATTCTCTTCAAGCCTTGTGCTTTGAACTCTCATCATCCCACAATAATTGCACACCAAATAATATTTAAGTGACTGCATCAATATAAAGTATTCTAAATACCTTAGTGTGAATGTAAAATACTGCTCCTTTCAGCTGCAAATAATGCAGATAAAAGAAGAAATAAGGTGTTACTTTAAATCAGTGTGGACAGGGGAGTCTGGGAGGACTTGGAGCAGAGTTAAGTTGCTTTTCTCCCGGTGCAGCCCCGAAGATAGAGTTTACAGTCTATTTATACAGTTTGCTGGTCTTTGCAGAATGAATAATAGTACAGTAACACTTCATAATAGTAAAGTTTCCATGTCTGCTTCAGTTCATCTAAGCTTTAGTTTTGGCAGATAATTGATTTTGTTCTTTGACTGTGACTTACTAGATTGAAAAACAGCAGAAGCATAAAGCCTCAACAGGACCCATAGGTTGTCTAAACAAATATTCTGCCTCTTCTGGCCAAGAAATTGAAAACAGTGAATGCAGGAAAAATAAGCATAGACTTGGACTATCAGGCTTAAGAATGTATGGTTTTATTTTTGCTTCAGGTCTATACCACTGGGTCTCTTAAGAAAACTTGGCGATGGTAAGAGATGGATGACTTATCTGGAAAATTTGGTCGGCATACATAATGTACTGCTCTGCTTACAGTACTTGGTTGCAGAAATGGTCTTAAAAACATAATCTAAACAGACAATCTGAGGACATGTTTAACTTTCAAAGTACTTTAATTTACAGTGTAAGTTCTGGAGCAGTTATGAAGATGTTTAAAGATTCCTGGTCTGTTACCCACCAGAGTGTAGTGCTAACTAAGGTACAGCCTCTGAAAATGTGCAATAGTAAGCCTCACGTAACTCTTTAGATAAACTTTATTTAGTCAGAACAACGTGTTTCAGAAACTAAAATCTGTACTTTGATGTCATTGGGCTTGTTTCTGTGATGTTGAACTGTCAGGGTATCGTTGGCTGTAATGCACCAGGGTACTGGGCTTCAATGAAATGCGTTTTTAATCCCTAGGTCAGATGTATCAGCAGTACCAGCAGCCTGGTTACCCTGCTCAGCAGCCACAGGCTCAGCCCCAGCAGCAGTACGGCGTGCAGTACCCAGGTAAGCAGCTCTGCAACAGCAGCTCAGCTGCAGGACCTCTCCTGCAGTGCCCGACCCTGTCAGCTTCAGTTCCTGACCCTGTGGGGCAGGTGAGGGTGCTGAGCTGCCCAGATGCCTGTGTTCTTTTTTGGGAACTGGCACAATTCAGAAATTGCCAGGAAGAGAACACTGTAGCTGTTTATGTTGTTAATATGTAGTCAAAGTTCAGCCCTACTTGATTGTGACCAAAGGCAGATGTCATTACTAGTCAGCAGAATGCCTTGTTAGAAAGGCAAGCAAAATTCATCACCTGAAGGGTGAGCAGACTTCAGGATTATACTCTGCAGTCATGGTATTCTAGCAAGTAAGTGACTAAACATCCCAATTTAGCTTCCTTAAATATCAAAGGTGTCTAAAGATGGCCCCTATTTCTTGTGTCTAGAATGATCTCCATGTCCAAAATTTACTGATTTAAACACCGTAGCTGTCAGTCAGTAAATCCTTGGAAATGACACATACTGTAAATCCCAGAGAAACTTTCAAGTGATAGTTTTTCTTTTTTAGTTTTTGATTTTGCTGATTCCTTAAGTAAAGGTGCCAGTAGACTTTCAGCAGAAGAATATTTTAGTGCCCTAGTGGTTTATGTGCTGTGAAATATGAAAAGCTAGCTTTGGTGTATACCCAAAATAAACTTGACCTCAGAACTTTCAGTTTCTTCAGAAGCATCTGGCATCTAGGAATGCATAGTATATGCTAGGAATGATAATCTAGATGAGGTTTAGGGATGAACCTGTAAGAATAGATTCTGTAACAAATTGCATTTTGCTTAATAATTTCAGAAGACGATACAAAGCATTTATCATTCCTTGTTTTTAAAAATCCTCCTAAACAAAAGACTACCATTAAGTGGGTCAGATCCAGTGTGACCTTTTCTTGGTGCACAGTTGGGAGTGCATCAGTTTTTATATCGATGCAAAGATTTGCAGAGCTCACAAAGAAATTCCATGCTTAGCTTGGAAAAGAACCCTAGAATACTTGGACTGAAGGTTTCTGCCTCAGACCTTGTTCCTGTGAACTGTGTGAGAGCTTGTTGTTTTGAACATCGATATGGTAGCTTGTTCTTTGCAGATTTCTACCCCCTGCATTTGTAACTAGATTACAGAGACAGATGTACTGAGGTATAATTTCAGAAGTAGCAAGCCTGTTGGAAGTAGAAGGGTCTGTCTGACTCTCTAGACTTAAAAACTGAGTGGGAAAACAAAGGAATTTCAATCTACTTTCTAGACATATCCTACCATCGTCTAATCAATTATTTTACTGATGTTCCTGTGAAAGCTGAAGTGCAATGTGAGTTTTGCTTTCCAATTAACATCATTGTCAAGTATGAGTGAAATGCCACCAGAAACTTACGGGGGCAACTCTGTTTGTCATAACTTAGTTCACAATTAATCTTCAGAAAAAGAGGTTTTTTTGAGGACCTATTGCCTTTGGAGATGTTGGGTCATAGGATCTTTTTGTTTGTGTTGCTTTAGTTCTCATGAGTATTGTCTCCTTTCAAACCCATGTCTCCCTGAGAGCAGGATCCCTTCCCATTCTTGTAGATCTACTACTAGGCAACAGTGGCTATTTATACAAGGGTGTAAAAAATGGACCCTTCAGAAGTTTGTCTCATGAGTAAATTTTGATCCCAGTTTCAAGGTGAGTTTATTGCAGTGCATTCTTACCCTTACTCTTTCCATTTAGGGCTGTGCACTTTTAATAATTTGTGTGTCTGGTGTTTAATGCTGACAGGATTCCAGTCACTGGAGAGGTTTCATTGCAAGTAGCTGCAGGTGTGTTTCATGATGGATAAAAGTAGCTATTTCTTCATGAAAGGACTTTGTTCCATTTTAAAATTTTCGAGAAGAGAAATTCCCTTTGGAAGAAGTTTCATACAGAAACATCAAATTTTTGGGGCATATGTAAATGGAAGTTTTGTGCTAAAGGGTTCTGTTCTACATAACCTTTTCATATTTAATGCTAAAGAACTGAAAACACCTATCATTTAACCAAAGGCATGACTTATATTAAACCCTGAGAGTATTATCAAGCAGTTTAATTTGGAGGTTTTATTTGGGAAAAGGGTTGAATTTTGCCTCATTTGCCAATGAAGATTTTTTGTGTGTGTGTGATATTAAGGAAAAGACTACTTGTCTTTTTTTTCTTTATTTCTTGTCAGTCACAGGAAAACTGTTTTTTAGTAACTGTTGTCAGTGTGCTGTGCTGCCACGGTGTGCACCAAAACCCCGGCCGTGCGCTTGTGTGAAAGGCAGGAAAACTTGCAGTTCACGCTTGATTTGCCTTTTCTGTGCTTCCTGCATCGTTTTGCGTTTGTCACTGTGACCATTAGGAACAAAAGGTCTTTCTGCAGGCACCCACCGTTCTTTAGCGTCTCTTACCCTACCTTCCTCTCTGCCTTTCCAGCAGGCTACAGCCAGCAGCAGCCCCCGTCGCAGCAAGCCCAGCAGTTCCCCGCCTACAGCCAGGCGGCTGCCCCGGCCCCGGCCGCCGCCTTCCCGGGGCAGGCGCAGCAGCTGCCGGCGCAGCAGCCGCCGCAGTACCCGGCGGGCAGCTTCCCCCCGCAGCCCTACACCACGCAGGCCTCCCAGCCCGCCGCCTACAGCGGCTCCCAGGCGGCGCCGGGCACCTTCCAGCCGCGGCCCGGCTTCACCCCTCCGCCCGGCAGCACCATGACCCCCCCGCCCAGCGGGCCCAACCCCTACGCCCGCAGCCGTCCCCCCTTCGGGCCGCAGGGCTACACCCAGCCTGGGCCCGGCTACCGCTAAGGAGGTGCCCCTGAAGACAGCAACTGACACGTGCGATTCCATCCCGACTCCAGGATTTTTAATTGAGATTCCAAAACTGTAATGAGGCAAAACTATAGCTGTTAATTAAATTCTGCTGGGGGAGGGAAATGACCAAATCTTTCCTGCTTTAAATTGTATTCGCTTCCTAGTTTAATTTGGGGCTGGGTGGTTTTTGGAAAACACTACTTAAATGTCTGTAAAGTGATTGACATTCTAGCTTGCCTTGTCTGAAGGATATGAAGATACTAGTTGGAAGTTTAGCCCACTTATCAGGCTTGTTTTTACTAATACCATGATGTACTAAATTAGATTCATTCTGGAAGTCAAACTAGATATGATGTATTATAAATTGTAATGTTCACATGGAAAAACTAATAAAAACCCTGAATCTATTAAATGCCTGATCTTGATTTTAGAAGTTAGGGAATACTGAACAAGACAACTGTGCTAAAGACCGGTGTGCATGCTGGGGGCAAAGAGCCCCAGCTCTTTTTTTCATGGTAAAGAGCAGTGTGCTGGGGTTTGCAGGAGGAGAGGCAGAGTTCTGGGTGTGTAAATGGAGAAGTGCTGCACTGCAGATGGCTTTCACAGAGGTTTCACAGCTGGGGGTGGTTTTGTGCTGTCAGCTGTCATTAATTGTCTAGTGACCCTTTTACCAAATCGTTAGGAACCAATCCATAAAATCTTAAAGCCTCTTATCAATTTTGCATTAACAAGGTGTGGGAGAGAATTCATTTATTACTTGAAAATTTAAACCAAATGTGTATCTTTAAAAAAGAACTCATAAAAACCCCCCAGCTTTTGACTGTGACTTCACAGTTCTTCTGGGTGGTTCTTTGCCACCCAGAAAACTTGGGAGTGCAATCCTAGCGACTCAATTTTGAGCCAAGAAAAAGCAGATCAAGGGCTGTAATGAAGTCAATAGACCATATTACAGCAGAGGGCAAAACATTCTCCCAGTTAATATTTTCCATTTTGCAGATTCTAGGAATATGTAAAACTAAGTGGGGAATAAAAAAATGAACTGAAGCATGCTGCTTGAATTCTCCTAAAGAAAAATTAGGAAGTTGACTGAAAATATTCCTACCTTCAGCATCCTTAGACAGTGCAGTGCCCACAGCTAGCCAGTAAGCTGTGGCTGTACCTCCTCCCATTTCTGCTCATACCTAACACATCCCATTTAACAAGGGCTTGTATCCAGCAAGCAGTTTGTTCTGAATAACAGCATTTACCACAGACACTAGCCCTTGATTCCATGTAAAACACTTGAAAAAAAAGCACTTGATTAAAAAATATTTTATTAGGAGTACAGTGTACCTGCAATGTACTTTATAAGGTATTTTCTATAAATGACTACTATATAGATCTGGGTGTTCCTGTTCATATTTCTTCAATACATTAGTAAGATAATGAATAACACCTTTAAAAAAACCTACATCTCTTTATTTAGTTCGTAAATGTTCAAGCGGTACAACAAGTAGCTTTGGGAGAGGTTTTAATCAAAATAAATGTAAAGCAAAGTTCAGTTATCAGTATTTCCCCTTTGTCCCCAATGAAAAATGTTTTAAACCAGAATTTTTCTTTTTAAATAAACGTGATCATGCTGTTATAACTAGTTTATTCTTTTTCCTCTTTCATTTGTCTTTCCAAGTTCCCTTGCACGGTATGTACATTTGGCTTTTGAACCAGTAAGTGTCAGGCTCTGAAAACTGCATTTTCCTGAAAAACCCCAGCCGGGTTTTTCATTCCAGCCAGGCCAGCTTTGTTTCTTCATTCCATGTACATATGTACCTGTCCACTTCAATTAGAGAGCACCAGCCCTCCCTGCCAGGCTCACAGGCAGCGGCTCTGACTCCACAGTGGCAGGCTGAACATGGCTGTGGCTGGGGCTGACACATTTGAAAACAAACACAGAAGAAAACCCCACTGAACTTGATCATTTAAAGCTGCACATACAGCAACCTGCATTTTGGCAGGAGCATAAACTATGTGTAAGGAGAAAGTGCTTCAAGTTTACTGGCTGCAGAATATTAAAAATTATAGGATCTTTTCTATAATTTACGACTGGGAGATGTTACAGGTGGATTAGGATGGGTAGCTTATGGCACTTACATTACAGGACCAGTGAATATTTAAAAACTAACGCACATTGCATTCCATGACCAACTCTGGCATATCTGTGCCTTAAACATTTATTACAACATCGTGATAAATAATATACACACTGTATCTTTTAAAATACCATATAAACCATACCTCAAGAATAGGGAGCCAGCTTCCCTATACATTATCCTACAACATGTCCCTAGCCTGTGTTTCTTTTTATTCTAAAAACAAGTTTGTAACACTGGATAACTACAGTAAGCAGCCTACACTATTACACAATTAATGCAGTATTGGCATTAGACTGGCATAAGCCTCGCTCGTCAGCCAACACCGAAGTGCCGGGCGCACTGTAAGCGTTGCCTTCCTGCAGCCTGCGCTGGGCAGTTGGGCTGGGCCTCTGCACCGACCTCACGTGGCATCTACCACTTGCCAGGTATCGATGTGCCGCACTCGTACCAGCGGACGTAGTTAATCTGAGTCTCCCCGCCTATCTTCCCAAATTTGACAGGTTCCTGACGAACTGCCCTGAAAAACCCTGGAACAGAGAAGAGAGTTTTGTTTGCGTGAAGCTCTCAGGACAGTACCACGCTTTGGCTCCCTGAGAGGCCTGTAACATAGCCACTCACTGCAAAAGTAGTCACCAAGCCGTTAACCTGACTGCCACAAGCAGAGCTCTTTGCTGCCCCTACATCCATTAGCACTCTACAATTTTCCCACCCAACTCAAAGCCAAAGTGCTTGGGATGGCAGCACAGAGGTGAAGCCTGCCTCCCCTGGGCATCCCAGCACCCTGCCGTGGGTGGTGCTGGCTGGGCACAGCCTGTGCCCCCTCTGTCCATGCTGGGCTCTTGGAACAGGAGGCTGCTCCACATTGCAAAGTGACAGTGACAAATAGTCCCCACTGCGCAGCCTTGACACTGCAGTGGACCTCAATAAAACCCAGACACTGGGGATAGTTCACACTGTCTCCCCATCCTTACATGAGAAATCATCCTCCTGGCTTTCACTCTGCCGCCTTTTACAACACATTTGCTTCCCCTTCAAAAAACATTAAGTTTCAAATTAAAGTGGGGAATTGGGGCTCCATCCAACCTGGCCATAAGGAATCTATGTGTGGCTGGAGCAGACACATGGGCACACGCACACAAAATACTGTTCTGCAGCTAAGAGACAGCATTGGCCGTGATTCCCTGACAGCATTTCAGGTCAAATACATGTAGGTATTCAGAAATCGACCCACAGCAGCCAGAATAATTGGTCTGTTGGTCTTTCTTTTCTCTATTCAATTCATTTACTAGAAAACAAGCTATTGAAAAGCTACTTTTGTTTGCTTGTTTCGTTGTTTGTTTTGGTCTAAAAATGAGTGTAGCTCATGAATTCACTCAAATCCAGTTGCTGAAATCAAATTGCTTTTAAGTGTCTTTTAAACTGAGGTAGCAAGGTTGTTAGGTAAAAGTTTTTTTAAATATTCAAATATTTTTAAAAGTGTGAATCTGGTACAACTGAGAAGTTTGCTGTTCTGGCAATGCAGATTAGATTCTGACCATCTCCTAGGCAAAATATCCTTTCAAATGGGCAGCACTGACTGGGAAGGGAAAGCAAAAGCCTCTTTAGAAAAAGCTCACAAAACACATAACAAACACCCTTCAGACCATTCAACGACTTTGTTTTTTGGAAAAATTTGTGAAAGACTTAGCAATTTCACACTCATCTCCCACACCTACCTCAACACATTTCTGGACTCGTGTGGGGTGTTTTGTAAATGGAGCACAGGAAGGTTTGGTCAACACGCTGATATTGTACTGAAAACTGTTTTGCTGTTTTCCTCAGTAAAATGTTCCATGAGACGCTCAGCACGTGTGCATGTACCAGCACAGCCTGCGTTCTTACCCCACTAGGAACGGAACACCTCAGTCTGGCACTGCTGCCAAGCAGCAAGGCAGCAGTTCAGCTGACAGAAGAACAAATTTTGTATGCCTCAGCCTCAGCAATGAGTGAAAAAATAGCCAGGCAGGTCACAGCTGTGTTTAGCACACCCAGTCCCATGTCCACTTAGACCAGGCTGGAATTTTGGGCACCCTTTTGCAATCAGTACACACAAAATTACTGCAGCATGAATTATATTTTCCAGCTATAACTTTGCAGTTTCTCGTTAGTACCAAACAAGGTATTTTAATGCCCAACGGATTATGTACGGTGCTTTAAATCAACCTTGCTAGTTTAAGCACACCACTTAATGCCTCTCTGCAAACTCAGATTTTTGGTTGGGTTTAAATATGTAATACCAACTGTGAATAATTCGTTGGGCTGTTTTAAACAGGAGAGAGGCTGTTTGCTACCTAACAGAATCTAAGTCATAACCATCCTAATAAGTCATCATTCACTGTCAAAAACTTCTTGACCCTCTTCTGCCTGCAAAGCTGGCCTTTCATCACCCACCCCAGCAGTGGGCATTGAATCCACCGGCAGGAAAAAGAGCAAACAAAGAATTGCCAAGGTTTGCTAGGAATTACCGTCTTTGACTGGTAGATCTTCTTGCTGTCCTGTCCTTCCATCTAAGAATGAGTCTACAAATTGGCAGTGATCTTCTCCATGGCCCCTCTGGTCTCCTATGTTATAAAATTTTCCTGAAAGCAAAGAAGCAGCAAAGTTAGTGAAGGCTATTTTCAAAAACCACCAGAGGCAATGGGCTGTGCTCTTTCCTCTGTGGGGAAGCCAAGGTGAACGCTATGATTCTTTTCCTCTCAGGACCTGTAGCTGTAATTTGAACATGACGTGCAGGCTCCAAGTGCTCCTGGCTAAGGCAAAAGTGCCCCACTCCTGGCCAAAATGTATGCATGGATATAATTTTCCCCTCTCCTTACATTTCATACAGTAAGGGAAATTTTGTTACTACCAAGAACATCATCAAAAAGCAAGTTTTGGTAGTGATCTGAATGGAAGGCGGGTCTGGTTCCCTGTCAGGAAACCCCCAGTATCTTCAGAGATGTTTTTATAGACCACCTCCTAACATAGCCAAGGCCTGCTTTATAAATCATCATATTTTTACAACATGTATATGCAAATGATAGCCCTTAACATATAGATGACCTCGCATACTAAGTACTTCTCCAGAGCATGGAGTGTGTCCATGTATTTACTTGCAGGATTGCTGAACAGGGCACTTGACTGCAACTGAGTAGAAATCCAAGTCTCACGTGTCCCATGTAGCATGTGCTGATGACACTTCTGTGCTTATCCTGTTAACAGGCACAGTGAAGGAGCTTTGACAGATGTTTTTACTTGCTGATTTGATTTGCAAGACATTAGTAAAATTCAGTTCAGGAGATGGAGGAGAGCATGCTACATTCTCTTCCCAAACCCGTAACAGAAACCTTTGTAGGTTTATCTTTCTTTCAGAACTTACCATTCTTTCTAATCTTTCACAGCACTTAATTCTCAATATGTTTAACCTTTGGTTGAGATGTTGAAAGGAAAGGTGAAAGCATTTAGAAAAAGGCTCAGGCAGAAAGTCTGGCAGAAAGTCCAGTTACTCATTAGATCCTGGGTGTCCTGGAGCCTTGAGTCCATGCTAGTCTGGTCATTTGAGAGGTGGTGGGATGGGTTGTAATACTGCTCCCAAAGAGCAATTAATGAAAGAGTAGCCTACCAATAAACTCCAATGTTTTTGTGATCTAAGCAATACTTTGCCAAAATTTCTCACCTCCAGTTGATGGCCTCTGTGTATGTGGCTCTTCTCTAGCTTTACAGAATTATTTATTGCTATCTAGCTTTGGCTGCAGACATGTTTTTTTCCATAGGAGAACTGGTCAGAGTGAGTTCCTCTCAGCAATTTTGTTCTGAAATTAAGAACATTCAGGCTGCCCAAAAAAGTCTTTTTTTTATTTTTTTTTTTCCACAGCTGTTGAAGGTCACACATAGAGTTTATTTTTTTCCTTCCCTCAATAAATACTTATTTTTAGGTGGCCTGTTTTTCTGGAATGCCTACAGTGACTGCTCTGGTGGACTGTTAAATGAGGTCAGCAGTAGATGCCAGTTTATAGAACAGTCCTGGCATGTGAAACAGAGATCAGCTTTTCTCCATAAGAGAAAGAATAAGCCAGATATTTTTATGGCTAACACCAGAACAGTAACTTGCAGATACAGACATATTCTTCTGGCCCACAGCTTAACCTATGCATAACTCAAACAATTGGTCTTCATAAATTAGCAGCATTCTCAATGACTATTACACTCTTACTGCCCAATTATTTCCACAATAAAAGAACACACTTAAAACTATTTAGCTAAAAAATATAACTGGTTTTCTGTTTTGGGGATAGAAATTCTAGCACTAAGTAAATTTTTTTCCCCAGTGTTTCCTTGGGGGTGGCCTTACAATCTCACATACAAACTTTGTTTTATACATTACAAATTCCACAGCACAAGAAGAATAAATTCATGCTAAAAACCGGTATGCAAAGATACAGTTGTTGCCTGCCTTATACAACAGCATTTGGACAATGCACCCAAGTTTTGAGGCAACTATACTGCTTCAACTGCAAAGCTTCAGAAGATTTTTCAGCATCCAGTGGAATTCAGAGCTCAGTGCAGCCCTGCACTGCTGGCACATACGGTCCAGCTGGCTGGTGCTTGCAGGGACACTTCTGCTGGCCTCGGGGGCACGGCGAGGCAAGGTGACCGAGAAACACATCAGAACAGAGCTTGGCTTCAAACGGGAAAACTTCTCACTCGCAGGCAGAGGCCTCGCTTAGCAAACCGGGGAAAGGCAGCTTTCCTTCTACATAACTATTTCACTTTTAAATATTGTGACAACTGGTCAGCACCGGTTGTAACAATTCAAGTGTAAGAACCAGGCTTAGCAAGTATAATGAATACAGTGTGTCTATCTCATCTTCTTCCAGCGAGGTTAAGCCACCACCCTTCCAGCAAGAACAAAAACAATCTAATGAAAATAGGAAAATGGGCTCTTGATATGAAACTTTTCTTCTCAAATTGGAGTAGCTTTCACTGCGGTGCTAATTCACTTGATTTAGGGCTGAAGTCTAGTCCTGCTAGATTAGCACTGCTATTTCCTCTGCTGGCTGGTTTTGGGACTCATCATGCCTCATTGCCAGTGCTTGTCATTTGATCACAGCTGGTTAGTACAGTGACAGTTGAATGAATGATACATCTGTTCAAAACATTCTCTTTTATTCACATAACTGCTCAGATATTATTTACATACAGAGCATTGTACTTGCTATTAATGACAAGGCTTTCCTTCCTTGTCTGCTCATCGGAGAATGGTGCTGGATGCAAGGCAGGGAAGATTAAATTTATGGCAACGTGGGCTGCCCTACAAGCCCCTGATCTTTTCCTTCTATGTTCCTTCCATGGAGCCCAGAGCCCTGCTCCTCTGAGGTACTGGGCTCAGAGATGGGGGCAACTTTAGGTTATGGAAGTGAATTCTTCCAGGCACAGTCTCTCCTAGCTAATTCAATGCCATATGTTGGACACACTTGTCTGACTTACACTCAAAAGGCATTTCCCACATGTCTTTGTGCTCGGTTGCCATGCTAATGCCATTGTCACAGAGCTGTCTGTGGTAAGAGACCTCACACAGAAGAGAGCCAGGAGCCTGAGATGCATTGTAAGAAGTTAACATATTTCTTAATGTAGCAGATATAGCTTGCACAAGCTGCGTGAGACAAAAAGATCTCCTATCAACTAGCTGAAAAACACTTCTCACAGGCTGCTTCCCCAGCATGTGTCACCTGATTCAGGTCTTAAACACATCACACTCAATTGGCCTCAAAACACCAAACAAAGCTTGAGAATGTAAGGCCAGAAAGTTTCCCTTTAGTAATAAAATGTAATATGAAGAAAACAAAAGGGTGGGGGAAAAAGATCATAAGCAAAAACAGGGAATGGGAAAACAAAACAAAAATGTCAAAGCAGGTGAGTAGAACATGTTGACTACAGTCAATTTATTTATAAGCCTCGTAGTAATGAAGTAACCAGATGTTTACCAAAAGGGATGGGAACGTCTGGTGTGATCCTGGTCTAAAATGAGGTCCTGATCCTCTAATTAATTATTCCAGGCTACCCTTTAAATACCAATTTGGCTGTTTCACAATATATGCTGTCCACTCTGATCTTTATCAGTCTTCTATATGATCCCCAGTATATGAACAGGTACTTAAAATCAGATGATCACCACAGAGAGTGATCACCACAGACTCCTCTGAAGTCTGAAAGTTCAGTATCAAACATATCAATGGTTACTGAGCACATGCAGATTACTATTTATGATTAATCTATAGTAATAGTAATAGATTACTATTTATAATTAATCTGACTAATTTAAACAAATCTGATCACACTTCAGAAGAGCTCATCTTACTAAACCTCTTATTTTGGGAATCATAATATCTTTCAGGAATATATAATGTGGACACCACTGTTTTGAATACTTCTTACCTGTAAGTGAATCACTGAGGTATATCTTGTATCTCAAAGAATTGCACAGCTGCACACCTACAAACTTCTTATACCAAGTCCTCTTTACATATTGTTTGCCTTTGCATTCTGAATATGTGTCTGAATTGAATGGTATTTCAGTCCAGATAGCATCTTTCCCCACTGCAGGAGAGGAAAAAAGAGGTTGAAGTATGATGCTGCATACAAAATGACACTCAACAAATACATTTGAATAACTAGAATTAGAAACCTTGATGAAGCAGAATGTACCATGACACCTGCATTTTGAACATGAGAAATTTTTCAGAGAAGCAGCAAAGTATGCAGATACAGTTGGTGCTGTGAACTTCTCCTGCTGTCCTCTGGTTCAGGATTGGAATAGATTCATTCAAGGACCTTGCTGGGGGGACAACGTTTGTATTGGAAAAACTCTCATTTACGAAGTGTGTGATATAGTCACCATTCTTCAGTGCATTCAAGCCAAGACAATCAACTTGCAGCAAACTGTGATCTAACAAAAGTACATGCAATAATGAAGGGCCATTAATTATGTGGAGAAAAACAGTGCCACAGTGTTTGTCAAAGTGAAAGTGAAGTCTATTACAAATACAAAAAGCAGCCAAATTTGCTTGAGTGCTCTCAGCCCTTTAAAAGCTCAGTCCACCTTCTGTCAAGGACAGCAAGAGTCTTCTAAGTGGTCTAAAGCAGAGCTAGATCAAGCTTTCTGAAGCAGAAAATTTTCCTAAAACACAAAGACAGGTAAATAGAATCCTCGGAGTTGTGCTCTGTTAACTCACTTAAAAAGTGTGGAGTAGCTTATTCATTTTGCAGAGCTTTCTTTGCTTTAATGACAAGGTTGAGAAAATATGAGGCTGTCCTTGGCTCATTTGTGTACATTGGTTTGAAGCCATCCCAGCTGCCATGGGAGTTCCAAATCACACTGATTGCCATATGCTCAGGTAAACAAGCAGCCTTTCATGAATTCCTTAGCAGGGGCATGTGTGGAAGGAGTGAAATTGTGTGTGAATGCTGCTTGATTCTGAAATTCATCCAGCTGGTGCAGCAGAGCCACCCTCCTCGTAAAATTCTGCTATCTCATTTCTGAAAAAACTGCTGATCAGATTTATATATAAAACACTTACTTGAAATTGGCTCACTCACTCTTGGGTCCGCTGGGGGAAGAAAACAAACATTCAGTCAGACACTGTAAAATGACCATTCCCAATAATTCGATGGAAAAGCATTGGTAAGTGATTTTTTACAGCTGACGTAAGCTGTAATTTGTGAAACAGAAAGAGTTTTGGAAGCAAAGTTAACTTTTGTATTAAATTAAATTAGAAGAAATATATTTCTTATGTGAAACTCCAGTATCAATGAGCTTTTAATAATTTTACTTATGGGACAACACCAGCCAAGCAGACTTCTAGTAAATACTAGAGTTTAAACCTGTAACCAGTCAAACCCAATTGTACTGCATCTTATTAAAATTTCAATTTCAAAACCTAAATAATAAAAGGGGTACATCTGTAATACTTGCCACAAAAAAACTTGGCTTTGAAAGCCCAAATGTTAGAAATGGATGTGTGCAATTAAGAAAAAACAAAACTGGATGTTTAATTTGTCCAAACTAAACAGGAGACAGAACATAAGCCTTGTCATTCATGAAAACTGCATTTGGCACAAATATTTTTTTCACTTTTAACAATCTAACATTACAAAGAGTGTATTCAGAGTTTCTAAATACATGTGGCATAGTCTGCACTCCTCCCTGAGTAATTCTTTGCTCAGCCAAAACTCTCATCCATCAGTGACAGCACTAGCTGAGGACTATTAAATTATTACACCTGGCTCAAAACACAGACTGAGAAAGTCCTTTTAGAAAGGCTAAATCCATTTTGTGTTTTATGTGGTGTTTCAGTACTACCAAGCAATAAACACTTCTGCACAAAAGACAGTATCTTGCTTGCCTAAAGTCAACAAGTCAGCTGTAGTTAACCTTGAGGGGAGCAAGAATAGGGAAAGCAAAAGCGCTCTGATTCTTACTTCTGAGTCAGACAGAATTTGACTTGGGAACCAACCAATGGCCAAAACAGGCTTGTGTACACCTCTTAAACAGTTTCACTGGAGAGTAAACAGGATGGAAGGGAACCTATTGGGACACTGACTTCTCACAACAGCTCTTTCTCAATCCTTATTTCAGCCAAACAACGTCATTGTTTACAGCAGCCTTATTGAACAGGTAGCAAAAGCACCTACGAACACACCAGCCCAAAAACACCCCTAATGTTCCCCATCCAGAAGCTGTTAATGAGTTGGGTAGATGCAAAAAGGTCAGGAATATAAATCTGAAATGACTGAGCCCCCTCTAGGGATGAAGTAATTTTCTTTGCGATGAATACCAAACAAACCCTCTGTGTTCCTCTGTTTTTTCCCTCTTGCAGTCTGTCCATCTTACATCCTCACACAACACAGTTCTGATCCCAGGCTGACTTTCCAGGCATGGTGGTAAGAAGCCAGTCAGGAGACAGTAAAGAGCAAGATGAAATGAACAAAATGAAGCAAGAGAGCCTTTCATGCATCCCACAAACATGGGTACTAAAGCTGCTGCAAATGATGGTCTGGTCTGTGGAAGTTCTTACCTGATTCAGTACTGAATGACACAACATTGCTACTTGGACCTTCACCAAGGGGATTCCTAGGCTTCACATGGAATTCATAACTGGGGAATAAAATAGAAGAGATGAAAATTTTGAAAACTAAGCATTCTTGAATAGTTTGGAGCAAGCAAGCAAGCAGCACACACATTGGTGCTACGCCCCTTCTGGAGAAGAACAAAAAGCCCAATTTCTTGCCACAAAACAACTGAAGCATTTTTTGTCCTAACTGTGTTAGACCTGAACTGAACACAAAATTAACCAGCCCTTTTGATAATTTGCACACATACTGTTGATACTTGATTTAATTCACCACTGACTTGTCTGTCTCCTCTCACACAGCAGTTTCAGCTCTAGCAAAGGGAGCAAGTTCAGATGAGGTCTGAAGCAACCTGATAAGGAGAGACTGAGTAAAGGACGTTGCTATTTATTTGTACTTTTTTCTTTCTTAAGAACACAAACCTCCAACTCAATGCCTGTTAGGCCCACCAACAATGACCGACAGGACCAGTAATGAAACATAGGGCAAGTCTTCCAGGACAGGAGCTCAGCCAAGGCAAAGATCCAATTGCTTGAATGTATGTTAATAATAAGTATATGAAGCAAAGATGAGACACTGTGCAGAGTCTCTTTTGCTTGCGTTTTTCCTGATGTGGCACCACACCAGCCTGTGCTGTAGTTATCTCATGATCACTTTTCATCACTGTGTTGGAAACCAAACACAGTGCTATGAAAACAGAACATGACTGAAGAAAAAAATCCAAACCAGCCTCCTCTTCTTAAGCCTCCCCCAACTCTCAGTGCTTGATTAGCAGTGGAAGTGCCACGTACAGAAGGACATCTCCCATGCTCCGAGCACAAGCGCGGTGAATCTCTCCTGACACAGAGTGTCTCTTTGTCAGTGACAGGGAGCTGCAGGACATGAGTCAAAGGGACTGTAGACCTGGAAAATGGGCCCCAAATTAGAGGCACTTCTGCTGTAAACACAGAAAAACATGGAAGTCCCAGAAGTGGGCAACTAAACATTCAGCTCTTGACTCGAGAGAGGATCATATACCAACGATAACTTTGGCAGCTCGTGACTGTAACATAGCATTGTAACGTAGTGCTGGAACTGTTTCCAAACAGCAATTTTCTAAAGAAAGAAAACCCCCATACCACACTCGGCACAGTTGGAAATTTGTAAACTCCATTTGCAATTCCCCAGAAGAATAATTCAATCCAAACTTTGGATTACCTCTCATTCCTCCTTGGCTCCAGCAAAACCTGAGCTAATTAACCTCAGTGGAGTATTCATGCAGTACCAAGCAACTGTTTTCCATCCACTGTACTTCTAAGACAATATTTAACTTTAAAATTGCTTACTTAAGCAATTGCCTTTATTTCTAGGGTTTTCTTTTTAAGGGAAATACTTCTATAGACTGGTATGCTGAACAGATGCATTGTGGAAATTCACAGATATTGCTAACAGCTTGTTTTCAGCTAAAAAAAGTCTATTTTGAAAAATCTTGACATTTATTTAAACATGCTGAAAGAGTATTTGGATCTACCCATATTACCCCGTGGTAGGAGGGAGACATTAACCAAATAATCAGTTTAAGAAATTTATGAATCTTTTATTATCAACTTCAAATTGCTTGCACAAAGACATGCTTTTAAAAATAGTACCTGAGTATTTAGTATTCACATTGGCCATGTGGTACAGTAACTTTTTTGGTCAAGAAGTATTCTTGTCTGGTAGGAAAGGTTCTAATATAGAGAACTGTAGCAAAGCAGTTGGAGATTCTTTCTGAAGAATCACTGAAGTATAAACAAAGATTTCCTAATATGTTGGGGGTCTTCATGTAATAGCTAGATGATACATTTAAAAAAATGTAGGAATTAATCCACACCTAGACATAAGACTGCAAAGAAGTTTTCCTGCTCCCTTCACAGGAAGAACGTCTTATCTAAAGCTATTATTGTAATTGTGATCATCAAGATGGAATGTTCTATTGCTTTATGGCAGTTTATGGCTTGATCTCCCAGGTGATAATAATCTGTTTTAGCCCCTTTGTATGTATTTTGCTGATTTTTGAAGAAATATATTGTTCTCAATAGCTGATATGCCCCACTTTGGGTTGCATTAGGCAACATTCTTCATAGGAGTAAGTCCTGGTCCCAAAAATCTTTAGTCTGTGAACTTTGACTCATAAATTCTCTAATTCCAAAAAGACAAAAACAAGAACTGAAGGTTATTTTCCAAGCACTGTTTTTCAAATTACAGTTTAGAGATCACTAGGTTCTCTGCAAAAGACTAAACCATAGCTTGGAAAATTAGGACAAAATTTAAATAAAGATATAAAATCTACAGATATAGATTTCAGCTTATATAATCATATAAAGAAAATAGGAGAAAAGGAAAATAATAAAGAAATGTCCAAAGTTTAGCTCAGTCAATTAGGGAAGCATCTTATTAACAATGTTAAAAGGAAATTTTAGAAATTAAAATACATGCAATTCTATGGTTCTGTGGTATGTGTTTTTACAAGCATCTCAGGCTCCTTTCCTCTGCCAGTTTCAATCCTAAAACAATACCAGTGGCTTCCACAGAACAAAAATAACAAACAATCCCTTTTGGAGATGAAATGAATTAGCTAGTTGACAGAACATCGAAAAGGAAAGGAAACGTAGGACTGGGATCACAATATGACATAGTTTAATTTTAAAGCTATGCTGTGGCTGTTTTAATAGAAGACAATCTAAAGTCTTCCTTTTTGTGTGTCAGGTGAAAGATCTGAAAAATAGAAATAAAATGGTGAAAAAAGGGTACCATCTGCACTGTTATGCACTTCCATAAAAACCACAAGGAAGAGGAAAAATTGGTTAGTTTCAAGAAGAACGTATGGTAAAATTAATAAAGGGGGATAGGGAAGCCATACAATGGTTATCCCATGTCTGCTGGTTAATTAGACTTACCTAATGAGAAACTGGAGTCTATATTCCATCTTTATATCTGCCTGCCTAATACACCAAAACCTCTGCTATCCTATGTAAGTAGCAATCTAATGCATCACACCTTTAAGATTGCTGTTCTACAAACCTTTGGAGACCAGGCCTTCCAAATCCTCCCCAACTGTGTAAGCCAGTAAAAGTCCTTGTGCAGATTAAATGGACTTGACTTACAGTAATTACTACTTGGAGTGTATTTTTCCACCACAGGAAATCGCTATACCACATGGAACTCTGGCAAATGCAGCTGCTCCTGCATTTTTTAAATCATGCAAAAGGAGAAGATTGAAGATTGCAGGACTGAAAATAGGTGAAGAGAGATTTTCACCATAATAGGAGAACTGGAGCAGCTGAGTACAGTCCTGAGACTTCAGGACTATTGCTGGGGAGATGCTGGTGTTGGATAGCAGTTGTGCAGGGCTCTGTGCACAGAGCTTCTCTGTCTCTGCGGAGTGTGCTTGGATGGTAGTGTGGCCAGGAAAGAAAGAAAGAGAGAAAGAAAGAGAGAAAGAAAGAGAGAGGAGGAGAAAGAAAGAGAAACAGAGAAAGAGAGAGAAAGAGAGAGAGAAAGAGAGAAAGACAGGAAGGGAGAGAGAGAGAGAAAGGGAGAGAGAGGGAGAGAGAAAGTGAGAAAGCAAGAGAGGAGAGAAAGAGTAAGAGAGAAAGAGAGGAGGAGCTGCTATGCTTGTTTGAGGAATCTTTCTCCTAGCAAAGTTGGAAGAAGGTCTAAGAGAAATGGAAAGTGCTTATCCATGAACCCTGATATCAACAGCAGTGCCTGTTAATTTTTTAATAAAACAAATAGAAACCTCCAGCATTTTTCTGCCACTTTCTGAATTTTGCTGCATTGAAGCTTCCTTTGTAGTTCCTATCTCTTGAACCGTGCTGTTAGCAAAAGCTAAACTCTCTGCATTGATAGAGATTTTCTTGGGTTTTGCCTCATATGAGATTAGAACATTTGGGTGCTAACTACAATACAAAACAATATTAGATAAAGGTGATAACAGTCTTGGGACACAATCTAACACAAAAAATCCAACAGAAACCACTCAAAATTTTTTAAAAAGGAGAAGAGTATATTTGAATTACCAAAATAATTAATGAGGAAGCAGATCAGTACCTAATGGGAAGTTATATAAAACAATGGAATGCAAGCATCACAGGCTTTTTGTTTATTATTAATAATATTTTTCTATACCAGTAGGCTGATGGGACACATCCTCCAGTGGCTACTCAAACTTCCCCAGAGTAATTAGAACAAGTCTTACTATTTTTCTTTACTACCTTCCAATTACTGCCATTACAAATATACATGAGAACAGCTTTCAGCAGTCTTCAGGCCCTTTTTTGAAGGCTTGCATAGGAATTTGGGCTGTAAAACTTCCTGGACACTATGGCCTGTGCTATGGGCTTCACTGTCCTTAAACAAACTACCAGAATGAAAGAGAAAATGTACACCGACCAAAAAACAGAAGGTTCCAAGATAGGGCAGGGATACAGAAATAAGAACTACATATTTTGGCACAGAAATCAGCAGAAATAACAAAAAATCTCATTGGAAAAAAACCCCAAACAACATCTGCATTTAATATTTTAGGCTAGGAAAGTCCATGAAAAAACTACAGGTCAGTGAAACCAATTTTTTCCAAGGAGAATATGCAGAGGAACACCATCATTACTACACAAGAGATGGAATTAAGACAACAAAAAACACAGTAAGCCCTTTTCTCTCTGGGGCCTCTCAATAATTATTGCAAACAAGCAGCTCAAGGAGAAAAATACTGAAAATTGTGGATAATAACCTTATCTTGACTCACATATGGGAGATCTTGCTTGACTAATATTAACATGGGAGAAGTTACTGCAATGCTTCCTTATGAAGGAAAGTTTTAATGTGAAACAAGGAAAGAGCAGAGTCTTGGGTATGCCAGTGGTCCTCCCATTGGGAGTTCCAATGTGAGCAGCCTTTTAAGGAAACTGAGAAACAGGAGACCTGTATGGCAGCTTAGATGGAATATTGCAGGTCTCATTCCTCAAATGGCTGCTTGGAAGTTAGACTGTAACTACTTTGACCAAAACTATCAGTCTTGCAGTTTGACTCTTTTCCAGGTGGAATAAACACTGCATTTCTCACTATAAGAATCACAGAATTTCCATGTGGAGGATGAAAAATTGTTAGTTCCTAGTAATGCATTTGCTTCTCTCATTTTTCTTTGCTAAGATAGAAATGACATTTGCCTTAACACACTAAGCCTGCATTAAAGAAATTGGAGGAAACTGAGGTGTGCAAGACCAGAAACTGCCCCTAAGGTCCAATCTTACAATAATACATGTCACACCTATAAGGGTGACCTGGTCCAGGCCCCTTTTCATGACAGGGCTGATTTAGCTGCTTTGAGCTCAGGGTTCATAAGGTACAGTAGTGGCAGACACTCTGAACAACAGAATAAAAACTGAGTAGCTCACTACTCTGTTCAGACTAACCAGGAGAAGGAAGGATAAATGGAATTTGGTTGCTACAATCTTTTCACCAACAGAAGAATAAAGATGGCAAAAACTGCAGAAATTTTGGTGTGTGCTTTCGTGTGATACTGAACAGAGGGCTGAGTGAAATGTGACCTGGACCTTCTCTAAAGTTCTTGGAAGTAGTATAAAGGATAATAAATGCTAACTACAGTACAAAGTCATAATCAGCACTGTGTATATGTGAATATTAGGTCACAGAAGCACATCCAGAGAGCAATGTTTAAGCAGAAGACATTCATAAAACAAGAGGAAGTTTTCTTCAGGCACCAACTGATATATGTAATTATATCCAATTAACTATCTGTAGAAGGAAGATGTATATCATTATCTGGCTCACACAGCGTAATAACACTATATGCTTAGTGATATTTCAGGTAAAGGTTACAATCAGAAGCAAATCTGATGAAATTAAACAGAATTCTGGACTGAAGCCAAACAGCAGCTTACCACCAGCAAGAGTACCAATTTCAAGAACTCTGACCAACCAAATAATGGATATCAAGATTTGAACTTCCCAAGTTATTTAAACTATCAGAAATCTTCCAAGGTTTTAAATCCTGCAATCACCATATTTGGCAATTCACTAGGTGAAAAAGGATAAAATAATTGTTGTATAAGGAAAGATCCTTTAAATTAATGTGTGGTTGTCAACTGTGAGGCATGCCTTACTGTGGGAAAGTGGCACGGATAGGATATGTCTTTCCTTGGGCAAAAAACATGGATCTCAACATTCCAATGAGATCACATTGTACAGGAGCCTCTAAAACTTTTTCTTTTTAACAAAAAGACCCCCAGACAATCAGTTGCATTAGAAAGCAGCTGACTGTGCCCCACATTTATTTAAAGGGTCTATGTCCTCACAATCAGAAGTTTTTCAAAACTCGATTTTACTTTCATCTCAGAGTATCAGACTTGTAGTCAAGTCACCAGGAGCACATAAAGCTGGGTGTATTTAAGACAGAAAGGCAACAAACTTCTGTAATATATATGACTTGATTTGTTTAAAAGTAACCTTCACAAGTTGTGGTATGCCTATGAAAGTCCATTTTCATTTCCATCTCCATATTGTCATGGTATGAGTCTGCTAAAGCCAAACACTTGATAACTGTACTCAAAGTTGAAACTCTCTTTTTAGCCAGTGCATTTTTTCTGGATCTAGTCACTTTTCAGACAGCTAAATGGACACACAGAATACTACACGATAATCCTCATCCCATTTAACTTCTGTGTTTGTACTTACTGACAGCTGCAGTCTCACATGCAATTTTTGATGAGGGACTGTAAAAGTCTCTTTGTTGCTTCCCTAACACTGTCCAAATTCCTGAAATATTTAAGGTCTGGCCATTAGCTCTTAATCTTTAAAAGCTGCCTTGTGTAAGGGCCAGCTCAAAGGAAGAAGGGTGTCTGCCTTGCTGCAGAGCTTCCAGAGGTGTAGCGGTATGACCCATTTGAAGAATGCAAAAGAGTAAAGCAAACAAACAGCATGATCTGGCACCCAGGTTTTCCCTGCTGCTTCTTCTACCCCCTTCACACTGAAAAGTTGTTTGTCTTGCTTCCCTCCTGCTGACTGTGGGCAATTAACTCTAGCTTCTGGGCCAGGCTTTACCATATCCTACCTGAAGTACATCAGCAGGATGCTGGGTCAGGTACAGCTGCTCAAGAGCATATGTCTGCACAGCTACAGGCTTGAAGTGCCTCGCTGCCACAGGGTCTTTCTGCTCTAAACTGACCCATGAAGGCTGAGGTAACAGATTCACAAGCATTTTTATGCCTTTTTGGGAAGTCTTTGTTTAGGTCTGTCTGCTTTAGATCTGTCCTGAACTGCCTTTAGCTCTGAATGCGCTGGACCTTCAGAGCAGCATAGGGGGTTCACACAAGCCTCACTGAGGGCTTCAGGACAGAGGGAAAAAATAGGGTGTCTAATTCAGCTTGTCAGTTTTTCCAGAGGAAGAGGTTCTTCCCAGTTAATCCACCTTCTGCTGCTGAGAATCTCTCTTTCCATATATTGCTGGTACGTTTGCAAATGTTGATCACTTGTGGGAGGGATTTCTATTTCTCTTCCAAGTTTCTTTGCCAGCTCTACCTCTTCTATAGCTCTTCCCTTTAAGGCTAGTTATGGAAAAGTTTCCTTGCCAATCTTAATGTATTGTTTGATGAATTTTTAGACATTTCAGGGACTCTGTTAATGAATATTGAGCTGTGTTTAATTGTCACTCTTCCTCCCATTTGCAGTCAATTTTATCCAGAAGTCCATTTCCTTCATCTAATGAGCAGCTCCTGATAGACAGGAGACTTTTATTATGGACATGTGATGTTTCTTGGCAGAACAGATACTGTCTACATGATGCCAGCTGTCTTAACCACTTTCTTGTTTTCCCTGAATTTAGTGTGCCAGCAAGCCTGGATTTAAGTGGTAACAGGAACTTCTTGTGCTTCTGCCAAAGCTCTCAAGGTGTCCTCAAAATTAGGAAACACACATTTTGCTTGGAATGGGAGTTTATTGAACAGAGCCACTCTGAGGACTTTACATCCTTAAATCTGGTGAGACTTGAGGGACATGTACCACTGCAATTTTTATCAAAGGTTTTCAATTTTGGGCAATGGCCCTCTGGATCTAGAAAAGCTTTCACTCTTTCTTTTGGAGGCTGGGGTTGGTGAATGGTAGTTGCACTCTCCTCAGGAAAATTTATCCCTTTATGTCTTAAGTCAGCCTCCACCAGTCACTCCTGATTTCCTACCTAGCTCCTTGTAAAAAAATGCACTCTTCAAAAGACAGCTGTACCCCATGGCGTTTGGTTGGCCCTTGCCCACCAAAACATGAATGTCTTCTCACAGGTTTGACAGAATTGTTGCTAAATAAGATTAAAAAACATTTTATCTGCTTTTGCATGGCTCCTGCCTTCATTATGACCTTTCCAGTGGCTCTAGCTGTATCTGTCTGTCTCCATCTTGCTTCCTTTCTGAACAAACAGCAGTGTAAAAAGCTTTTCTCTTATGGTCATGTGGACACTGCTCCCAGTAACAAGGGTTTTCCTTTGCTTCAATGTCCTTCTACACTTAACCAAATCCATCCCATCTCTGCCACCACATGTGACATGAAGAGTTTGAATGTGGAATGAAAGAGAATCTGCTTAATAACACAGAGCTCTTTTCAAAAATGCAACAGTATTATTTCAAAACAGAACTGAAATGAAAACACAAACAGCATAGACTGACAACTTTAACAGCACCTACTCCCCTTCTTAGTCACCACTCCAGAAATACATTGTTTTGCCATCTCTTATAAGTCTTCTCAGCTGATCAAGAAAAACAATGCTTGTTGCCCAAGCTATGTATTGCTAACATATCCTAATTGCCTCTTAACATGAATGAGCAACATAGCTGCTGTTCACCCACACACAAGCCACATGCTTTCAGGAATTCTTGAATTCCCAAAGCAAAACACAGCAATTCTAGCCCATCTTGTGAGCCCATCTTTTGAAATCTGTCAGATAAACTCTTTTGGGGTATCATAATCTTGTTTTTCAAATTCTCTTCCCTTGCCCTCCACTTTGTGCAATAGGTTTTCGTTCCTTCTCCCAGGAGCTGCTGGTAACAACAGAGGTTGAACCAGCACCTCAGATTACACCACACATTGCCTAAAAATAAAGGCTCAACGTGGGCTCTATGAAGAATTTTGTGCTGTGTTTCCAATGCATGGCTGATAATAATGGAAAAGGGTAGCTTATCTAAAACAGAAACATCCATTCACCAAAGCCAAATGGATGGTCTTACAGGAAAAATCCCAACTGTCACTCATTAGCTTTCTGATTAAATTAGTAAACAACATTACAAAAGACAAAGGGTTTTCTTCCCTGCTCTGAATTTTACCATAAAAAGAAGAATACATTTTTATGATATTTGATATTTAAAGATAGATCAATGCTTATTTGAATTAGTTGCATGAGAATCACACCATCAACTGGAATTTATTTACTCATTTTTCATTTGCCAGCTCTTTTAACACATTGAAAGAAAACCATAAGTTCAGGACAAATGTGTTTTTCCTCCTCAGGGTGATTTCCTTACTTTTGACAGGTAGTCTTTCTGATACCACAGGTCACTCCTGCAGCTTGTCCAGACCACAAATACTCTTGCAAATTTCCTAAAGATTCCTCAAATATGTTTTATCTGTTAACTTAGAAGAAAGATAAACCAAACCACACATTTTTTTCTATCTAAACAGGAGTAAAACCAATTGGGTCTTATTTCCATAGGTATTTCCATCTGATGTGGCAGACAACTGCCATTCTAAATTAGTAGGATTAACTTAGAAAATTATATTATTTAATTACCTTGTGTCAGGTTTTAGGTTTTCCACTGTAGAATGGGTTTGATTTGTCGTGATAATTGATTTCTCCTTTTCACCATCACTTCCTCCATTTTCAGTTGATACAACCTCATACTCTGGAAAATTACAGTAAAGAAAAATCACATCAAGTAACATCTCTTATTTGAGCTTCTTAAATACAACCAGATAGTGAATGAGTATGCAATTTTACAGGAATTCAACCTTTCTGCCTTTTGCCAGCCTGAAAGTCAATATATGATTTGGACTTTTTAATTCATTCAAGTTGGAAAAGAAAATGCAGGAAATGAATGAGCACACAAATATGTGCATGCAAACACAGACACACACCAAGAACTACTGAGTCCATTCAGTGCCTGCTTGTTACTCAGTGCACAAGGCAAGAAACTGCCCTCCACTTCTGTGGCAACACAAAGGAGCAAAGCGTGAGCAAAATGGTCTTGGTTCCTGATGTTTGTAGTTTTTTATGAAAACAAGGAGGTGAGTGTGATCTCTGTTTTCGTTGTTATTTGTCAGACCTTTCCATTATGTTTTGGTTTTGGGCACACCCAATGAAACCCCTTGTACACAGTTAAAGTCAAGAAAAATAACCATTCAAGAAACAAAATGATGCAACAAATTATGTTTTCTGTTTCTACCTTTCTATCTGAAACAGTGCATTTATTTATAAAAAAGAGATGCAATGCCTAAATACGATGATTGGAAAAACATGCATAAACTACAAAAATAGAAAGAGACGACAGCAAAATTGGTTTAAGCCTGTCTAAACAAGTCATGCCATAATGGTGCCAATATGAAGCAATCACTTCAGCATTCAATGCCTTCTCTTGAATTCAGAATTGATTTTGATGAGTCATTGACTGAGTTTTTAGCTAACTGCAATGTTCAATTTTTGTCAGCTAGTGTTGAGGTACAGAAGATGTTGGAAGAATTAGGAATGTCCATCTTGCATGTTTACCTGTCTGTGTGCCTAGTCCTGCATGACTCACATGTATTAATTCTCAATATAAACCTCTTTAGAAATGAAAAAAACCCAAGAGATTCTTTTAACAGAGAGGGCTTGTTGACCCTCTTGCAGTGGGTACTGCAAGTATTATGCTGGCAGAGTTCTACTGACTTACTAGATGGATGTCAGCTTTGATTGTGTCTGGCCCACTGTGAAACAACCTCCTCAGGTGGAGAAGGATGCCTACATTATGTGTGTGCATCCATACTTACTGCTGTATTGTTGGAACTTCTTGACTAGATCTTACCAGATCCTGTACTGAGAGGGTCCAGAAAATTGGAGAAGATACAGAGTCATAATTCTTAAGTATCTTTTTGTGTCATCACTGGCACCAATGCTCCTTGCTGTGTAAATCTTGTTGTAATCTAGTGGCAGGTTTTCACCCACACTGGAAATGACAGTAGCACAAAAAAACCCAACCCCACTGGGCTCCTTTAATCCCTGAGGTCTAAAGTACTTTTAAATAGCAAAAAACTACTGTGAAAGTAAATTAAGATGGAAATACTGTATTATCACACAATGGAGGAAAGAAATCAAACCAACCAGTAACAGTGTCATTGTCCGGTTTTTCCCAATCCAGTATGACAAAGGATGGACAGCCCTCCACAGTCACCACGGTGAGGTTGGTTGGAGGATTTTGAGGAGGACGAGTGGGTTCTTCCTTGCTGCCAACTTCTTCTTGAGGAAAATGCTCGAGAGAGCTTGTGATGGAGCAAGGCACATCATCATCTTTCTTCATGTACTTGACATGGGGGGCTAAGAACAATGAGAAAGAGCTGTTACTCAACAGAGTGTTTTTACAAACTGGCAGCACCATTTCACCTGGTGCACGGCACTCATACAAGGACACTAAGCAAAAGTCTGCACAAAGCTTTCAGAATAAACCCCATATATTCAATATGAAGCTGCTTGTTCTTGTTTTTGTTTGTTTTGGATTTTGTTTATGTTTTTGTTGTTGGCTTTTTTGCTTATTTTTAAAATTTTACTTATTGTTGCTTGACCTGGAATCTGCCTTCACTCCCTTCCCACTGGCACTACTGATGAAATGACATTCTGAAGGTATTAGCAGGTGATACACAATGTTTGAAAGAATTAAAATCTGTCACAAAAGGATCACAGAAGGATCTGTTACAGAAGGATTGAGAACTTTTGTCTAGAAAGTAAAAGTAAAATTCAATCAAGAAAATACTGCTTTGTACTACAGCTCTTTCATCTGTCACTAAAGTGACACAGAATCAAATAAAATTTTGGTCTTTGAATAACCAAATAAGATAATTTGATGCAAGATGGCTCAGACTTCATATACTCCCTAAAATAAAAATACCATAGCTATGAAAATCCTACCTTGGTACCTTGGTTTTCCTGAAGAATCTGTTTCTGATGTAGGACTTGAGCTGAAGACAGTTTCATCAACTGTAGAAAACACAGACATAATTTGCAATAAATACAAAGTTTCAGTGTTAGAACTGCAGCATTTCACAGTTCCTTTGGCACTTTAAATCATTGTAAGAATAGATAAATGGTAGATATTTGTTGCCAGATCTGTCTATTTATTTTAGGTACTCCATTTTTTCTGTGATGCTGTGTAAATCCTGTACTTACCTGGTAGTACAGACAGCCATAATCAAAATGACAGAATTCATGACTGCTGCTGGATTTAGTTCTTGCAATATATGTAAAATACTTTTTAGACCATTGTCCTGGGTTTGTTTTAGTTGAATTTATGGTAAGGAAAAGAAAGGTCAGCCACAGAAAAAGGATGTTTTTGCACTGTGCTGGCTGTTTAGCTTGGAGCTTTTTTGATGTTCCTGGGATATATAGAACTACTACACTGGCCAAGTAGCTTCTCTAAAAATAACAGGGAAATAAAAAATTCTATTTTCAGAGAGCACAAATTCCAAAAAATTTGAAGGAAATTGAAAACAAATACACTGGTGAAGAGAAATGTGCTAAAGCAGTCAGGATTCATGACACAATGTTGTATTAATTAGCTACTACACTGAACAGGATGGAAATACTACAATGGACCTCAACAGATAAAACACAAACCTTCCCATCAAGCAGTTATAAATAAATCTAGCATCCAGCTCGCTTTACTGAGCACTGAGGATTACAATGATCATTGTAAGGAGACAAGAATTTAAGTATTACTATAAATCCAGGAAAATTAGAAGCAGCATCATTAATGACAATGTACCAAGAGCTGCACATTTGGGCTCAAAACTTCTAACCACATCCTCTTCCAAACCCTTTACTGTATGCCACCTTGAAAAGACTTTGCTCTAAATTTGTAACCAACTCTCAGTTTTATAAATGGAAAATTACCCACTGACCACTATGATTGCACTACTACAGTTTTTTCTATTTAAATGGTGGCAGTTTGATCAAATGAAGGAGGATATCACATCTATGATGAGCACTATCCACCACTGACAAATAACATTTTGAATTTATGTATTGGGAAAATTGAAACATCCAGAAAAAGAAGTGCCTTGTCTATTCTTTGCACAGCTTTAAATGACCACTGATTAGTACTGAAAGCCTACTGAGCATGTACAAATTTCTAGGAAAATGGAAGTCCTGACATGTTCTCAGTTACCAAGGTGTGTAAGAGAAGGGAGCTAGATCTCAGTCAAATCAGAAAAGTCACAAAGTGGCATAGAAGAAATCAGAATCACCCCAGACAAAATACTTTTTATGTTAAATATAAAATGCATCAATAAATCTTAGGGAAGGGAAGCAAAAGAAAAATGGAAACCCTAATGTTAATTAAAAAAAAAGAAAAAAGGAAAAACCAGGAATGTTTGTAATATGCTCACCATAATACTCCGGAGTTGCAAAAGCTGTTGGTGTCTTATATAATGTTCCTGTCCTCACAGGTGGTGTTGGTCCAGCAGGCTTAGCTATAGTGACAGATGGAGGGACTTGTAGCAACAAGACATTCAGCATTTGAAGGTGTCAAACAGCTTTCTGATTTTCTGAGAGAACTCAGTTTTGTGACAACTGCTTCATGCAACAAGTATTTTCATTTAAATCATAGTAATCCCTCAGCTGGATTTAGGAAAGTTCTGAACTGTGCTAGCTGCAAATGTAACCTAATCCTGAAACCTAGTAAGAAAACTCTTTGCTACTTTGAGGTTGTCTTGGATGACTTTAGTCAACTAGCATATAAACTGGTTTAATGCACAGAACCATTCTACACAGGCTGGTGAAAGGATGTAAAATGACCAGCATGGACACTGATATTCCTTAAAGAAAGAGAACATTTCTTCCTGAGTTGCAAGACACAATAGCTGAAGTCAGCAACTGAAACTTGGATCCTTCCCTCAAATATAGGTAAGATTAATTTCTGCTCTCAACTCAGCACATACATTAGCAAGGGTAGTGCTGGAACATTTGGAGTGATAAAACACCAGGTCCTTAACTGTGGACTGCATTAAGAGTTTAATTACAGAACAGTACTGGAGCTTCCACTAAATGAAATTAAGATACACTTCAAATGAAGGCAAAGAAAATGCAGCCAAGTCCAGCATTTTCAACATTTATTACACTGTATCAGTCAAGAAGAAAAGTTTTCTTGCTCGACTAATTTCTTTAGTAGTTTCCATAAACCTGGACAGAAACTGACTGATAGAGGCAGTATTATCACCAATAATTCAACAGCTATTTAAAAGAAGTATTTTAGATTATGTGACATTGTTTTCATTCTTGAGCTGTTACCACCTAATAAAGAAAACAGGTTTCTAAGAGGCAAACAATCCTTGGTAAAGGTCTTGATTTCTTGCATAATAGCTGTAAAAGACAAGAATTTAATTCTTAAGACATGCAGATACGCCCAGATAATGATGATATGACAGTGAAATCTCAACCCTGAAGAGTCAAGAACTATATAATATAGTTACTTCCCCATCATATGCGATACAAAACATGGCAACTGAAGGCAGAACTCTGGTGAGCCTAGTTTAAGACAACAAAAATCCCTACTTCCCACTTATTTTCTTAATAAAGTGGAAATCTGAATGATTCTCACTAGGGTTCAATTTCACAAAGTTTCTGGAACTCTCATTTCCATTTTTTTTTTCCCATTCAGGAGATTTTTAATGTCTGCATAGAAACCTTTCCATAATATCCACTGGATGAGTTAGAAAGATGCAAGTAAGGAATTAGTCACAGTGTTAATGAGAAAGAGGACAGAATTCTGACAGGGAAAATCCAAGAAGAACATTGAGGCAAATTTTTCCTGTTAGTACAGTGGAACTGCCTCTCCATGGAACCAGAAGAAACAAAATTACAATGTTTAAAACTAAGCTGGATAAAACACTAGGAAACACAGAAGAAAGAAAATATTCTACTGTCCCCACAAGGAAGAACCAGACTGTTTAACCAGTTTATTCCATCCTGAGAGCCTAGGAAGGTATGGTAAATGCTGACTACCACATAACCTGGCCTCCAGTGTAAGGAAAAAGGTTGAAATTTCAAAACACTGGTAAATTAATTAGATTCTTATTGGAGAAAATTAGTATAGACCCCAATACAAGCAAAAGAAAATATATCAGGTCTAAGACTGATGATGTCTTCTGTTTTCTTGTAACTATTGCTAAGGAAACACTACCCATCAAGTGCAGACACAGTATTTCAATCTTGGCTCTGCTGATGAATAAATGGTTGACTCCAGCTTGGAGATTCTTGCTACTCATCTGCCACACAAAATACTAAAGTATTATTTAGGTCTTTAGTACCTTAAAAGCACACAAAGTCACAAATGAAAAAACAAACAAACAAACAAAAAAAACCAACAAAAAAAGCAAACAACCCACAATAGGCAATCCAATAGAGCTGTATATTCATATATAGCTGTATATTCATATATATAAATATATATTTATATATATATATAAAGGCCTTTATATTTCCAAGGAACTACAGAGATCAATATGAAGAGGAAAGAAGCTGTCATGATGTTAAGCTTAAGGAGATAGTTTCTGACTACGTCGAATAATGTTAGCCTAAGGATTCTTGTATAGAATCCACTGATGAAACATCCATGTGGATACTGAATACCTCCTTCAGGATAAACTTAAAATGAAACAGAAAAGGTGAAAGTTTCTATGTCCTCTTAATACTGAGAAGCCAGAATACTTTAGCACAATAGTCAAGCTAAACTCTGCACATGAAACAACTCAGCTTGCTCTACCTCCCAGTGCAGTTCTTGTCTGGGTGACTTTTAGCTCATTTTTTTGCAGCTATTAATGGATGCATGGTATATATGTGAGGAGTTCCATAAGAAATAACCAGTTAGGACTAGGCATTGCAGCACAGTAATCAACATCTCCCATCTAACATGCACATTAAATAGCAAAAAATTATTTTAGTACACATGAAATATTCTTAAGGTTGATCTGCTTATAGGATGACTTGGAGTGTGTTATTTTGCTTTCAACACCCTTATTAGACATGATTTCGATATAACTAGGTTAGAGGAAGAAAGAGGGCTTTTTGTAAGAACACAAAAGACACAAGGCCCGTGTGTTCCAAAAGACTAGTTTCTATAGATATCACAGATCAAAGAAATCTATGCTATAGAATTCTCCTGTACCCTGCTAGCCAGTATTATCTCACACACAATAAAACATTTATTCTGAAAAGGCAGAAATACCTGGACTCCCTGGTTTACCAGTCACGGTGTTAGGAGGCAGAGGTTTTCTTCTCATTTGTGTAGGCCTGGCAGGAGGTATAGGAGGGTGCTGAGGGCCAGGTGATGAAGTCACTGAATGACATTACAAGACACCATTATTAATTATTTAACCTCAAATCCCATAAAATCAGAAACACTAGAAGTTATATTCTGACTTCTCAAGCAATATTTCATGTCTGACTTAATATCAAAAGTGGAGACGTGAGATTAGGAGCTGATCTGAGTTGTATTTTCAGCCTTAAATTCTCTAAGAACAGTGTGCCATGAAGTTTTAAACAAAGTTTCTGCTGAAAAAAAATGTAGCTCCTTTGGGATTTTGTACAAGTGTTTCAGTGATTCACTTTCTGTGTAGTTACTCATTTTTGTCAACAGTAATTTTTTGGCATTCGAGTGGATACATCTTCACACAACAAACACCACCTCAGTGTGGTCAGAAACATCTTCAGTATCCTACTCACAAAATTTCTGACCTCTTGTGCATTCTGACTAATACAACTGGCCACCCTCATCTTGAAGAAAAAGAGGCAAGAAAAATGAAATTATCATTAGGAACAATTTATTCCATACCATTCAAAACTGAAAAAAGTTACTTCATACACTGACATTGCTAAAGACAATTACTGTTGTAGAAATTTCTGAAGTACCCAACTTGGTTATTTCAATGTGCAGCTCCAGCCAGTACCCATTAAATTTATCTGCTAATGTCCTTTGACAGTGAGGTCTAAAAGGAAAATCTAAGCTCCTTAATTCATACTTACAAATCATTTTACTGTATTTTCCAGACAATTATGAAGGGTTTTATTATGCAAAGGAAAGGCAAAGGAAAGGCAAAGGAAAATATTTTTGTTCCACTATTCACCTTTGCCCTTCTTTCCTTAAGAAAATCCAGAAGATATGTGCAACACATTTATGTAACAAAAGCCTTTTTGTACCTAAAAGGAGAAAATCCTCAAGAGTAATATAATTCTCATAAGGTTGCCAATGTCAACAACTATGTAAGTTGCCTGATACTGAATTGCTGGCTCCATAAGGTACCTCAGGTCCTCTGTATCAGACCTTAGTTTACCCTACAAACAGAGAGATTGTGGGTAAGAAGGGAGCAGATCCAAAGGCTCATTTAGGAGAACTTTTCTGGAAATACTTACAATATACAAACAGGAATATCTCTATCTCTCTCTCTCTTCCATTTTCCTTTTTGGGCTCTTGCACTCACTTATAAGACAGTTGGTTTTATTTTTTTTTAAATCCCTCAGATCAAGACAAAAAATAATGCTCTATCTAATATAGAAGGATATAGTGGTTTTGAAAATAGCATTTGAAGGTTTCATAGTCATTCTAAATCTCCAGATGGAGATGAAAAAAATATGCTTAAGGCCTGAAAAAGTATAATAAATTTTTGTGTATGTGTCATCATACCCTAGGTATTACTATATGGTAGTATTCATCTTTATTTGCCCCCTGCCCACAATTAGAGAAGGGATTGTCCAAGATATTTATGAAGTAAAAATGTGCAAGCATTGACTTCCCAGTGGTTTCTTTCATATCACCTGAACAGCACAACCACAACAGTTACAGGCAAACTAAAACATTTCGTTCAATGTACCGGGTCACAATTGAATCTACTGTACTGGACTCTGGGAAAACAAGGATTCCTACTACTTCCTTCTGCTACTTCCCGCAATGATTTGGGTGCTGGTCGATGATCCTACCAAATCTAATTACCAGTGTGTGGAGACTGCACTTGTAAACTAGGATGCACAATAGAATTTAGGGATTTTTTGTGAGTGTGGATTCCAAGGACAACAACATGGTGAAATATTGGGACTTAATTAATCTCTAGGCTTCTTTATGGACTGGGAGTCCTTGACTCAGTCACTCCGGATGAAAGAGAAGAATGAGCAGCCTCTTATTGACAGATGCCTTAAAGACATTTTTATTGGTGGCACAGACAATGGGAATGAGAGCACCCTCAGCAGTTCTGTGGATGACACCAAGCTGGTCGTGCAGAGGACAGATTGGAGGGAAGGGATCTCATCCACACACCCTGGCAGGGTGAGCAGGGGCCAGTGCAAACCTCCTGAAGTCCATCAAGGCCAAGCACAAGGTGCCACACCTGGATCAGGTGCAATCACCAGTCTCAGCACTGGCTAGATGAGACAGATGAAAAACAGCCCTGCCCTGCAGGTAATGACTTGAGGATACTGGTGGGTGAAAAATTAGAGACAGATAGGGTAGATGGATATTAGATAATAATATAAGCAGGAAGAGTGTGGGTTAGGTTAGAAATTAGGGAGAAATTCTTTACTGTGAGGGTGGAAAAACCCTGGCACAGGCTGCCCAGAGAAATTGTGGATGCCCCGTCCCTGGAACTACTCAAGGCCAGGTTGGATGGGACTTGGAGCAATCTGGTTTGGTGGAAGGTGTCCCTCCCAAGGCAGGTGAGGTGGAACTGTTTGATCTTTAAATGTTCCTTCTTACCCAAACCATTCTATGATTCCATGAATTTTAATATCCATATTAAGGCCTCATGAGAGCTGAGACTGCAGTTATACAAGAAAATAATGAAACAGTAGTAGATAATTTCACAACTGTACCCAACTGCCTTTTGTGACTACAGTTCAAGGTATTGGCTTACCTCAAAGCTCTAAAAGCTTAACTTTAGACATCAAATGTCATAAAATGAGTAAAAGTTGGTCTTAATGTCCCTTCTAATCAATACATAAAAAACCTTCAAGTTTCTGCAAATCACAAGTTGGATTTACTTAAGGAAACCCACTGCCTGACATTCAGTAACAAAAAGTGCAGAGCATCATCCTTGTTTTCACTTTACACTTTGCAAAGATTAAGTCTAGCATGATGCACTATTAGTAGCAGCTGAACGCAAAGTACAGTGGTAAGACTGAATAAAGTTAAAAATGATAAAATACCAGAACCTGGCTATCAAGATAGACTCTTATCTTTGTAGAGGTAAATTAGGTGCAAAGGAAATTCAACAGGGATTAGGAACAGGGATTAGCAGTATTTAAAATAATGTTTTAAGATCCAGTAACATGTTATCAAAAGAGTAGCTAGCTAAAAAGAACATCTGCAGCTGAGTAGTAAATCCAAGAGTAAAACAAAAGAATATTTCATTTTCAGTCAGTTTCTATGTCACAGAAAAAACACAGCTAAAGCAAATTCTGTGCCTGGTTATGCTTATGAAACCGAGAAATTCTTTACACCTCAGGGTATTTATTTGCTTTATGTATGTTTTAGTTAAAATATTTTGATTGCTTTGAAAATATGATTGCAAGACTTGCCAGAAGAGTAAACCTTACAAGTCTTGCTTTAGACAAGCAAGAATCTTGTCTAAAAAAATCTCTGTAACCTGATTTACTCCACATTGTTATTTTCCTGCAAGCTTAGTATTCTAATTTTCCCAAAAAATCCCAATATTCAATGAAACGTCCTCATACATGGGAGTACAAGTTGGTTATACTTTTACCTTATTCACCTTTGTTGTGTGGATACTATTTGCATTTAAAAAGTCAGTGCTTACAGTTTTGTGGCTTTTAGATCATAAGGATAAAACTCTGGTGGTGAAAATTTCTACCACATGTAGTGACTAAGCATATGTAAGTGACTAAATAGTGGCTATGAATGACTCTTTTTTTAATCTCTTTTAGTAGCATCCTGAAGCCATAAGATTGTGTGTTGATGAGGATGATTAAGAATTACTTTTTCTTCTCAGAGGAGGTGCTTTGTGTGCAGAAAAAGAAGTGTTTTTATTTCTAATAACAACTGTTAAAAATTGCTGTATTGTCTGCTTTTATTAACCTTACCAGAAATTGGTTTTTGCCAGGTATCAAAATGTTCTGGAGGTCTTTTGACATCCATGTCAATTGGTCTGGCAGTAGCCTCAGGTGTATAAAGGTAATCTGTGAAAAAAAGGAAATTAAATAAGTATCTAGAGTGTGGCACCAAGTCATGGAATAGTTGTATATTGAATATGTTCAAACTCCAGCTGACATGATGTGCAAAACCAGCATGTGTGGCCCATCTATGTTTTTACTGATAACATGGTGATATGCCTTATCTTCTTATATAGGTAAGTAGAAAGTGATCTGGTTCTACAAAGTCTGCAGTTTAATTTTAAACATTCATTTAGTGAAGTATATTTTGAAAAAGAAAATTAATAAGATGAAGAGGTAACTGATGAGTTAAACCAAGATTTTAAGTGGAAAAATGAGAAGAGAGAAAATTCTAGTTTTTCAGTGTAAAGAATAAAATGTCCACTGATTCTTGCAAAGGGAAAGTTTTCCTTCTCCCCATAATAAGATCTCTGATCATCCTCCATATTAAATGGTTAGAGCAATTCTGGACCACATATATTCACCATAGTTGGAGTACAGGAGACAAAGTATACATAACATCCAGCTTGTACATAAGAGAAAGTCCTATTTTAAAGTTATATAAACACATTTTTTTAAAAAATAAGTGGTATTAAAAGATTAACACAACTCCAGGTACAGAACAACTGTTCCACATGCTGGTATTTATAGGACAGCCAGACTGTTAAATTAATATGCTTTCTCTAAACAAAGTAAGTATATTTACTTTATAAGGAATCTATATATAGTAAAGCAAGAAGATGCACTGCAACTTCATCATGTTTGTGGGAAAAAAATTCCCCACACCCTTGCTCATGATGTAAGACAAAAAACCCTAAAATTTGTTGTATTTTAAAAACATAAATCTCAGTATTTAACCATAATCTAACTAACTTTACTTTACTATCTAACTTTAACTATCAAATTCCAACCCTGATATAACATGATCTAATCACTTCAGCTAAAGATTTCATAGATTTATAATCTGTTTCTCATTCTTTTTTTGATATTTCACTAGTATTTTACTGGTATGAAGTAGATAATTTTTCTATTACTTTACTGTTTGACCATTTTTGTTGCATGTTCCTTACACAGTCCATACATGATAAATCCCCAGTCCATACATGGTAAATAATTTACTAAATTAATTAATTATTATCAATTAATTATTTAATTACTTATTATTTATTTTCTTATTAATAATATTAATTCATATTAATTAATTATAATTATTAATTTAATAAAGATTAATGTAATGAGAGTTGCAGCAAGCTGGGAACAGGATGCAGATGACCTGGTCCCTGTGTCTAAAATACCTGAACACATCATATGGTTTGGTATAACTGCAATTTGTCTTCAGGTAAGTATAACAATTAATTAGATCTTCAGCTATACAAAGCACCAGAGTGATAATCAATGTTTCATGTGAATGATGTTAAAGGAAGAAAGGGCATGAGAAGACCAGCACCAGCCTTAAGAAAAATAAAAATAATCTTGTAAATCATGAGTTAGAGCATGTTTAGTTTCTCAGCTCACCTTTCAGTGAAAAATATCAGCAAAATGTGGTAGCACATTGACTAATTCACACTAAATCACCCAAGTCTATATTACAAGACTAAATTAGTTTTGCATGTTACAGTCTCTACAGAAAAACCTATCTCTATCCCACTCCTTGGAATCTAATTTAGAATCATAATCTTTTCTGAATTATATCAGCTGAGAATGAACAAAATATTGCATGTCTTCTAGTTGGAGGAAGTATTTTTTTTTCTTTTCAGAAACATGCACTGCTGTTCTTCCACAGGTAAAGTAGTAATGAAAAATAAATCAAAGTATCAAACCACAATACTTTCATGTTCACAAAATCTCCTATTTTGAGAATTTTAATACACTTTAAAGTTACATAAAAGTTTGTGTTTTCACATGAGGTATCTGCACAACCAAGGTTTGCTGTATTTGTCATAGCATTTGCCTTACTCTACTAATGTAACTTGCTTATTAAAAGCACTTATCACATTCATCCAAACTTTTAATAGAATTGAGAATAGATCTATTACTAGCATATGTCTTTGTGTCTTCTTTTAATTCCATATTTTTTCCTGGAAACATTAATGGGGTCTGGAACACGTTTAAACTGACCTCTCTGTCTTTAATTGTAGGAATACTATTAGAGGGGTGGATCATTTTAAGGGAAATAATGGAAAAAGTGTCCTTGATAAAATGAACTGAAATACACACAGAGTTTAAAAAATAAAAAGTAAACAGAACACAAAGTTAATGGCCATTTTAATGAAAACCATGTATGCCTCCTTTTCACAAGGAAAATGGAAATGTTGCTCAAAGTTTGTTTGCCAACACTTTTCAGGAACCTCAGCAGATCAGGAGCAGTATTTATACAGTCAGGATTAAATGAAATATAAATTTATATAAAAATAAAAATATAAATTTTTATAAATTAAATTAAAGTTATATGGTTAGGATTAAATTAAAAACCAACCCAGTAAGTTAAGTTACATACACAAACATGAAAAACCATCTGAATAAAATGATATTCTAGAGAAAATTACTAAAACATGGCAAAAAAGTAAAAGGAATGCTACTCATGAGGAAGCAATCCCTGCCTCTTTTCCACAGTCAAGTTTGCCACCTGGCACTGCAAAACTGGCCAGGTGACTGGAAAGCCTGCCAGGAAACCAGCCACAACCCCATGTGCTGGTGCTGGAAAAAACAAATTCCACTGCTTATCATCTGGGCCCTGCAGCTGCCAAGCCCTCTGTGCATGGGAGTGAAACATCTTTGCACTGAGGCTAAGGAACCCAGTCAGGAAGAAGAAATGGAGTACATTCAACAGCAGTGCCAGTCCAGCAAGGAATTAAAAGATCCAAACTGGTGTCCAAATAAGGGAATATCCAAGAATAAGTGATGTAATGTCTAAAGGTAAGTCTGAAAACATATTGTTACACATATAGCATATTCCTGACAGCCCAGTTAAAAATTCTGATCATCTTAGATCAAAAGTTCAGGATTTTGATAAGCCAACCAAAGAAAATACTGAAACAGGAACTTTTTTTTCTTTGCAAAAATCTGGTAAGATTTGGGGTTCCAAGTTACAGAGTTTCCCAAGACCCTTTTGAAGACTTGGGAATTCTTTTGCAATAGATAATTAATTGCACATTACCTTGGAGAGATACAGAAGATTTCTTTAATTAGTTAATTCCTTTTTGTGCAGATTTATTTTTGTGGGCACAGTCAGCCTTGTGTCTCAGACATTGGTGCAATGAGGTGACGCACTTGCCTTATGGAAGACTTGGGATTTCACTTACTGATTGTCAAGAGAAGTACAGACTGAAAAGTTGTGACAAGCTGCAGTCCCCTCTCAAGATGTCATAAATATATGAAATTCACTGGTGATTTTTCTTACACTTCTCAGAAGAAAGTTGCAGACTCACAGAAAGGTGTCAATGAGTTGTTGTGGCAGTGGGGTTGGAGGTACAAAGAAGTGGGCAGGACATAACAAAGGTCAGATCTTCTTTGATACTTTGGATATCAAGTTTGACCTAAAGGGCTCACTTGCCAGGACACAAAATTTAGCTAAGAGACATCTACAGGGTGATTCTTTAACTTAGAGAAAAAATAGAGTTATGTAACTTGGCAATGGAAACCACTACTGGAATTATCAGTTTTCAGAATAATTCTAAAAGAAGGTACTTATTTACCAGTGAGTACACAGAGTATGCACAGTAAATAGTAGTTTTGTGGTGACTTTTGACACCATCTACTGCAATCAAGCTCTAGTTCTTCCTGGCAACAGGCACTGCTATAAAAACATGGAAATAATAACAAATGGTGGGCACAGCAAGTGGACCACTTGCAATATGATTGCTTAAAACAATACTTTAGCAACTCAAACTAGCATTAAGCACAAATAATTCCATGTCACAGTTTACTACTATTATGATTATACTACTGGGTTACTAGCATGTATTCATTTTTGCTGGTGATTTTTATAACCTACCAATGCCTCTGAGGAGCCATTACAACTACAGGGGAGAAGAGAAAAGCTCAATGTACTGTGTAACATAACATGTGTGTTAGTGCATCATTTCAACAACTGATCACTCCTGGAGATCTGTGTTCATTCTCCTGTTCCAGTAATCAGATATTAGAAAGCTCATTTGCAAGGTGACTTCCAGCACAAGTGAAGAGCAAAACCCTTTGACCCACAACTACTGAAATCGGGCATTTAAGGCTTTAACTGGCTCTGGTGTCCTGGAATTTGGCCTCTTTTAATTTACCAGAAGGACTATGAAAGGTTAAAGAACATCTATCTCTAATGAAGGCATTCATTCCATATGTAAAACAGAAATATATGTCATATTCTAAACAGGTTAAATTTAATTAAATTTAAATATACAACTGTTTCCCTGAAAACTAAACCTTCTGATCTTGTTTTCATAGTCACAGTTACTTTCCTGGGAAAGTAACTAAAACTATGAAAACAAGATCAGAAGGCTTAGTTTTCAGGGTGACATCTCACCCTTTCTTCTTTAAAAAAAGAAAAAAGGAAAAGAAAAATGAACAGAGAAAATGAATAATATTTTAAACAATCAAAAAGGAAAGTAATGAAGAAAATAAACAATGTTCTAAACAATCAGAAGGCTCCAGTTTCAGGGTGATATACAACCATCTCTTCCAAGTTTTTACTATTTCTAACAACATGGTGGGCTTCTGAAAATGTATAAAATGAGTACCTGAAGATATTCTATGATCTTCAGGATCATACCTGAAGATATTCTATGATCAGCAACAGGCATTGAATTGACAAATATACCAGGAAGAAACATTACATAGTCAAAAATGTTTACAATAGATGGAATATCACTCAGGCTATCCTAATCTAGCTAGCATAGAAATAACAGGAGTAATAGTAACAGGAGGCAGCAATAATATGGGACAGTAGCACTTTTAGTTGGTGGTCAGCCAAAAGTTTGCCTTGAATATGTACATTATTTATTATTTTGAACTTGAATTGTTGATGAAGAATCCCAAAATCATATATTTAATTAACCAATGCCTGTATATAAAAAAAAAAATCCCCAATGCTACTTGTATTGATGTAATAAATTAATGCTCTATGAAATTAAAAAATATGGCTTCATTATTAATTAGCATTGAAAGTATGTTGATTGGATGGAAAAATCAAGTACAACTGAAAAAGGATAAATTATTTTTCCCCAAAACAGACCTGTATTTTTAATAAATCTTTGTGGTTAGGGACATTTGTTATCTGCTTGTTTAAGGATATGTAAATGTAAGTCCTCGCTGTTGTCTGCCATCCACCACCGTGGAAATTTTTGGTGCTGAAGTATCCAAGTCTGAATACTGCAGAGTCCAAATACTGCATGGTCTGAATGTGAGGAGGTCTGATGTGAAAACACCACATCCATAGAGAGTAACTAGCAAGACAGTTGGCTTTAGGGCTTCCCTACCAAGCCTCCTGACATGGACTCAAACAAATGGGTGACCCCTTTCAAGGAAGCATTTTCCAGTAATTATTGTGGATCTAACATCTAGAAATAATTAGTAAACAGTAGCCACACAAAAATCAATCTGTAAATTTCCACAGACTGAGTACTAATAAAATTTTATAACCACCCTCAGGAATTATGTAACAAGATCAGTAGAAGCAGTTACACTTGGCACTCTGAGGAATTAAATTTCATATTAAAACACAATGAGATATTTTGCAGGGCTCAAGATGACTTGGGGAAGTTACATTTCAGTATTTTATTGATAAATTAAAAAAATCCACCCCAAACCTAGAACTCTACCTGTTGTTGGCACAATCCACTTTGGCAGTCCAGGTGCTTTTGTTCTGGCTGGTGCTAGTGTGGTTTTAGTAAAAGCTGTGAGAGAGTTTCAAAAGAAAAAAGAAAAAAGAAGAAAAAAGGAAGAAGTTCCATGAGAAGAATACCCAGCAGATTTCAATGTGATGCCAAGAATTCCGTACTAGAGAAGAAGTAACACCTGCTGTGAGAGCACACACACTTTTGGTTTCCTTTCTATTTTTTTCTGATTTGGAAAGGCTTTACCACTAGACTAATTAATTGATCGAAACATACTCCTTTTTTGTTCCTCCCAACAATACTTAAAATTCCACCAAGAATAGATGAAATTAATTAACTATATAATCCCCTTCCCATCCCAGACTGAATAAACAATTATTACCAGGTCTGGTCTGTGATTTATCCGATGGCTTTGGTCTTGCAGAAGTGAGACGAGTTTTATGAGGTGCTAAAAGAAATAAGGTCCTGTTTCAATGCTGTGAGTAAAAGAACATGGGACAGTGCAGTGCAATTTGCCAGACAAAAAGCACCATGCACCAATGTGATACAACAAAATGGACATATGAGAGTTCTATGAGTTCTAATTCAAAATGCATGTGGAAAATGCTAGTTTCTTTAGCTGCCAGATGACTCCATCATGCAGTCTGACCAGTTAAATTCATATGTAGGTTTAGGAAAAAGATGTAAAATATTTACAGCCAGTTACCCAACTGTATATGGATACAGAGTTAGCTCTGCAAGGTATCCATGGCCTTAAGACATTTAGTTAGGTTCTGTAAAAAACAAACAAACAAAAAACCTCAAAATAAAACACCGAACTGAACCCCTCCCCCCAAACCAAAGACTTAGATAAAACTATGAAACATTAAAATATTGCTGAGGAAACAACGGGAAGCATTCAATGCAGACACTGTGTGGGGCAGCTGAAGCACAGTGTCATCAGCAAGGTTGAAATCAGAAGCCCTCAAATTTTTTTTATTGTTGCCTTTCACTTGCAAAGTAATTTTGATAGTGTAGATGTTATGTGATCTGTGAAAATCACACTGGAAGCTGAAAGCATAAGAAGTAGTCACTATTATCTTATACCCAATTAGCAACATCTGTAAATCAGTTAAGTAGAGCTGGCTATTTGATATTCAAGACAAATAAACGTTCAACCCATAACACTTAATCCAGCCTCTCTGAAGCCTCAGAGAAAATACTTATGCAGGACAGAACACATTAGTCATTTTTGACATTTAGATTGGGGAAGTTTTACAGATTTAGATTTTGTAAGGAAAAGGTTGGAACTCAGTTACATCGATGTTTGCAACACTATATATATATATATATATATATATATATATATATGAGTAGCCAACACACAGCTCTAATACTGTTTAAAAACTTCATATAATCTTTGATATTTGAGGCAATACTGAGCAAATCCCATTTGCAGAGCAATAAACAAAAATATTTGAAAAGGGGAAAAAAATTTCATATTACATATTTGAAATGGTTTTAAAGGTAATAATGAACAGACCATTAAACAATACTGATTTTACTTAAGATCTACAGACTCTCAATAAAACCACTTAAGAAAATCTTGAAAAATTACCTGTATGGAACCAAGGAATTTCAGTTGCTTGACCAATTTTGGGCCTGGGTGAAATGTGGTATGTTTCATTGGGAACTGAAAATGGACATATTACTGCTTATTGAATGCAAATTATTTCCTTTTAAACATAAGACATCACAGGTGGAAAGGAAATTAAAACTGTCTGTGCAGATCATAAACACAAGAGTCAGTGCTAGAAATCTGGCTGAAAAATCATGCTTTTATACATGTAAAAGACTTTTTGAGTCTGGGAAGGTTTATATAATTAGTAAGTCAGACAAAATCAGAAAAGATGATAAGGCAATGCCTTTTTATGTGTCTCCCCAGCCTCGTACATGTAGTACTTATTTCTATAAAGAATCACATTAAGAAGAAAAATGGCTGGAAAATTAAAACCAGCAATATTTTGTACATGCACTGCACTGTATCTAACAAATTAACATGACAAAGATATATCAAGGTATTTCTGTTGATTAAAGTGTAGGTTTAGCCATATAGCAAAAGCAGAGAAAGTAAAGATTGATGAAAAATAAACTGATGTAACATTCTCATTACCCAAAGTTATTTTGGACCCATCAACAACATGAACTGTTACAAGGTTAATTGATCCCAGGTGTGTTGCCCTTGGAGCTATAAAAAATAAACCATTGTTCTGTGAGAAGGGAAATTAAAGAACTTGGATTTCATGAAGGATCTGTCTCAATTGTTTCCTAAAAACCTATCTGCACATCTGCTAGGACAATTTTAACAGACACGAGACAGACATGTTGTGATTAGTCTGGATGTATATTCATGCTGACAACCAGACAGTGCAACTATTCTGCTGAGCCCCCAACAACTTCAGAACACTTGCCCTAAACCTGGAGTTCTGACAGTCTTTGGTCTTTCTCATACTTGTATTAACTCACACTTTTCCAAAAGGAAAAAAAAAATAGAAGTTTTTAGTAATGTATTTATTTTTCAGACCTCACTCAAATTTGAATGAATTAATTGAAAGATCTCTAAGTTACTGGATGAAAAGGACACACTGGCAGGCAGGGGCACACACTACATAGCTCTTCGTCTTTCAGAAATAAAATATTGAAGCTGGAAAATATCCTACTTATTCACATAAGGAGCAGTGGCTAAAATGTGCCATTTATATTTAATGGTTAACATTTGTTTACAGTTTTTTCTACCAGTAGCTTGTTTCGCATATACACCATTATAATGATTTAAACTTTAAAAGGCAAAAAATAAGCCCCTAAATTCTGTTCTCTAAAATTGTTTCCTTAAAACTAAATTTGTAGCGGTACCAAAAGATGACGCTTGTTAACTGATGACATGATTGGAAACAGCTCTTATTCAGATGAGACTTAGAATCTCACTTGGCTATTGAACAGCCTTTCAAAATAAGGTATTTAGAAAAGAAATATTTTTCCTGGACTGTTCAGTTTGATGTTCACAGTAATACATATGTACATGTGGTATATATATATAGAATATAGTTCTTGAATGAATAGGGTCTCTGCTTGAAACCTTTTTGGCCATATAAAATGGACAAGGAAGGGGGGGTGGAAATTACTGAACCATTCTTTAAGCTATTTGTCTAAGACTAAAATTTTATCAGTTCAGAGGTTAGATCAGAGAGGAGGAAAGATCAGGAGCTGCTCTCATAGATACGTAGTCTCTCCTCACCTGACTATATTCTTTCCTCCTGTTACTTTCCTCCTTAGAAATTTTTATTGAAATAGAACACCCCATGGTAAAGCTGAGATATCACCACCCTTCACTATAATTGTGCATCCCTGAATCTACCATGGTTACTGCAAAAATCACTAGTATTGGAGGCACTTCTACTCTTAACATGTAAATATCTTAGACTGAGACTCTGTAGCTCGATTTTCAAAAGTACTTGAGAAATTGAATAAATGTATTTAGAATAATAAAATTTCCGCAAAGAAGAGAACTTCTTGAATGTAAGCACAAATATATTTTTATTAAAATTAACTGAATTTCTCACATTTTTAGATGGCTACTAAACCCATCCAACTGCTTTCCATGGAAGTTGATCCAATTCTTGGGCATTCACTTTGGTATAATTTATGAACAAATTCTCAGCTGAACAATGATAAAAATTCCTGTCTACTTATTATGCATGCCTCGTGACCACAAAACTCAGTGACAACAGAAATATAACTGAGGCAGTGCCACAGTAACACTTCTAAAGTTACAAATTGTAAATTACCAGGTTTAGTTTGTGGTACTTCTGGCCCAACAGATGTTTTGGATTTGGAAGGAATGAGCAGTGTTTCTTTTGGAGCTGAAAGAAAAGGAAAAAGATTATTATTGTATTCTTCAGGAGTCATGATCCAATACCATATTAACCCACAGAAAATGCATGCCTCAAATGCCTGAAAAAAAGACAATAACAATTCCATGGCTTTCTGGAACCTGAAACAAAATGACTAGCCAAAATACAGAAAAGTCCCACCAGTGTGCTGTAGGATCAGTTGAATTACTGGCTAAAATTGTTGCTCTAAAAGAAAAACTAGGCCACTGATTTTGGTTGGAGATCTGTCAAATACAGACTTCTGACCAGACGTAAGCTGTAGGCTATTTTTGCTTTAGTTGAAAAAATAGAAACGAGAATCCTCTGTGCTAAGATACACGCATCTGGCAGCAGAATGAAATATACTGGAATGGTGTTACATAAATACCACATTGGAGCATGTTCTCTAGAAATTTCTCCACTGAAAAATTAGAAATACCTGCATCTTAAAGTGAAGGAAACTTATTTACCCATTGTTGCCCTTGAATGACCAGTGGTAGTAGAAGATTTTGTAATAATTGGTTGTGGAGTTGTCGGATATATTGCTGTTAAGGAGAAAATGTGAAAAATCTTAGAATATTTATCTGTAATCTAAACAAAGCAGCATTTGATAAAACCTGCAAAATGTCCCAAACTAAGGAGCAGCAGAATATCTTGAAAATCAACTACCAACCGATATGATTATCTATTAACTTCTGGTATACATTTATACCAAGAAATGGGAAGCCACACAGCCCTCCATAACTATTTTTAAAGTTACTTTCATTTCAGTACAGCAGACAATGTCTGTTGCTAACTGCACAAGCACATTGTAAAGGAGTTCTGTTGCATTTCAAGAGAAGATTAAAAAAAAAGTGCTCACAGAGGAGCACCCAAGATTACCAGAAGTAATCACAGAGAACTTAGTCTACCTAGCCACTGAAATTTGTCAATACCCACATTACTACATTTAAGTCACCATTTGCTATGTGTAATAGACAGAGGAAAACCATTACATATATTATGTATTACTATTATTTGTAGTGTAGTTTTGGCTTATTTTGGATTGATTATCTGAAATGTAATCCATTTGTTTCACCACAAAACTGGCTACAAATAGTCCCATTAAGAAGCACAAAACCTGAAACTTGGGGAAAGAATGATTAAACACAAAATTGAAAGAGACTCCATTACCAGGTTTAGTGTATGGCACTCTTGGTCTTTCAGTTGTTTTTCGTTTGGTGTGAATGAATGGTTTTTCAGTTGGAGCTGGAATAAAAACAAACAGCACCCAGAACAATAATTGAAAAAATGCACTGCTTTTCACAACACACAAGGAACATAAGTATGATCTGATCTGGAATAAGGCAAATTATGTAAGAACAAAGTTGAAAGTTGAAATTCCTGCAAAGAAGGCAAAACAAGTTAAATGGCCACTTACACAAGAAGACTTCTAAAGAAATAGATATTAATTTGTAGCTTTGCATCAAGCAGTCTAGAATATAATCATTAACATCATTATACTGTAATAAGAGAAAAATAGACAGTGATAAGCTGTGTCTTCTTCCTCTGCCACACATGAGTATCTGGGGAGAGGATTTCTTTTTCAGTAGAACATTTATGTCAAACTTGATTTCTAAATTAAATTCTTTTGTTCTTATGTGGGAACGGCTTAATATTGTTATCTTCATACTATTCAGATAAAAAAAAATTAATCCTGTAAGTAAAAGTAGGAATCATTTACTGGAAAAGTTATCCTTAGCACTTCTGAGTCTGTGGTCTACACCAATGTGAGAGGTCCAAAATGACCTGCCTTAGCCTGTGCAGTGTTCATCCCCCTTGCTCTGAAGAGCCATTTTCTGCATGTCAATGTTACTCAGGTAGCTCAGGTGTTTACAATAGAGCACATACTTCATAAAACTAGATGAACAGATGAATATTAACCTAAGTATCATTGCACACAGGAAATATATATTGAAATAGAGACATGTTTAAAAGCAGTTTTAATTTCCTCTTCCTCAAAACAAAAAAAAAGACATAGTTTGAAGATTATAAAATGCCTATTAATATTTCATTCTCAGAAAATATACACCATTTCATTCTCAGAAAATCATAGTCAATGTCTGTCTCTGAAACTGGGGACAGAAAACTGAACAAAGATTCGTCAAGCAATGCTCCTGTTCCTGGATACTGCTTGGATTCAGTGACCCTTACTTGGTCAACATCTGACAATTAAGTTAAGAAGGAGGAACACTCAGCTAAGGTTTCTTACATTTTACCAAGTTTTCCCAACATAGATAACTAGAAGTAAGCAGAGAGGATGGCTTTAAGAAGTAGAGTTGGATTTAGACAGTCACATAACTGGTCTGGAGACTTTATGCTGTTGACACATCAGAATTTTTTTCTGTAAAATTAAACCTTGAGTAGTGAAGAAGAAGAGTATTTTAGAATGAAATTATCCACAATTCACATGAAGAATAGAGGATGAACTCAGTTAGTTAGAGCATGGTGCTAATCCAAGGGTTGTGATGGGCCAGTTTACTTCAGAGTTGGACTCAATGATCCATGTGGGTCCCTTCCAACTTAGAGAATTCTGTGATTCTGTGAAGAATCACTATCTGCTCTTTAAATAAAGTCCTCTTTTACTGGAAAATAGATAACATCTGGAGGAATTGCATCATCCTGACTGGAAAGACTAGAAGATGAGGAAAAGAACCTTTGAACGTGAATGAGCTCATCCATTATAACCCTTATCAAGACCAAAGAACAAGTATCTACAAGTAGAACAAAATTTCATTATTAGCTTGTAATAAAATATAATGAGCTCTCCCTAAGATGACATTCTCTAAAAAAAAGTGGAAAACAGAATAATTATTTATGAAATAACAGTTACCAAATGGTGCCTTTTTTCTGTCAGGAATATGAGGAATCATAGTAGCATCTCGTTCATCAAAGGTTGGAAGAATCTCTGTTGGAAAAAATGTCAATAAATTAACTGCATAATGAAAGGAATTTCCCTTTCCTCCTTTTCTTAAAAAACCTTTCAGTACTATACTGTGCTGTGTATGTGTGTGTATACTGTACAGGGAAGGGATGTTTTAAAACAGCAATGGGCATTCGCCCTCAGAAATTTATGGTAGGAAACAACAGTAACAAGCCTTCATTGAAATCACTTATTATATTACATAGGTCAGTTGGATTTATGACGGAGAGTCACCTAAAAATGTAATTGAAGTAAATCCCCACTCTAATCTGGGTGAAAATGTGTGTATAAAGGAAAAGCAATGCAACAGCGTTAGGAGGTTGCTCTCACAAGAGCTTCAAAAACATGGTGCAAACTATTGAAGTGTGTTGCTCAGATACAAGCTGCAAATAACTTTTTATCCTTGATCAAAACATATAGGTCAATACTATTTCTTCTGTTAATATCTGCATAAGATACAAAATCTCTTGAACTCTGAAGTTTCCATCAGATTCAGTTGCATCCCTGCAGAGGTTTCTTAACCAAGAACAATAACCAGGCAACAGCAGATGCACTAATGGCTATTCCCCCCCACTGCCACCCCAAAAACAATTGTTGAACTATCCACTACAACTTCACAAAAGACCAGATAATTTACCAGGCTTCCTGTATGGAGCATCCGGGATGGGAGTTGCTCTAGGTTTAAAAGGAATATGCTGTGGTTCTTTACGAGCTGTAAGAAAAGATCTGTTTTAAGGATTTATACTTTGACAAAATTAGGTTTGTTGAACAGGCACTGCATGTCTCATGCTTGCAAAGAAAAACAATCCCTGCATGACAGCCTGAAAAACTGAGTGTCAGATACATACAGGAATTCAAGGCAAAACAAAATCCTCAGTGAAAACACAGGTGGAAAATTAATCAGGTAAGCAAAATCTGGAGTCAAGCAACAAAACCTGAAGGAACACAGGCTAAAAACTACACGGTTTCTGTTTGTGTTTCAGAACCCATAACTGCAATACCCATGGTGTGCTGGTCTCCTACAAGTGTCAAAGGGATTACAATGTGTGTGACAGGGAAAGAAATTTTCTGTGAAGACAACAAACCAGCTAGGAATCTTTCAACACCTGCAACAGAGTAGAATGTAGTTCAATTAATAGAAAAGATAACAAATCAAAACCACAAACCAATTATGTGAAGAACAAGCAAATGATATGTAAGCATTGGCCCAAGGAGTAGTGAAAAAATAATAGTGACTAGCTCAAGGTAACTCATTTTTGTGCTGCTGTCTTTTGTTGTTCAACTGTTAATGCACTAACTGCCAAAACTTCATAAAAACAGTAAGATATACAGAGTTAGTGGTGAATATAAGTTAGTGGTAAAAACACTCCCTTTTACAAGACTGGTTTGTTTTCAATTTGTAACATATTCTTTTTTTTCCCCCCTTTAAAAGATATTATTGCTTTGTAAAATTATTGAATATAAACTCACTCAAAATAATATGTTCAGTGGATACTCTCAGAACTGTTAGAAGTCACAGAGGTTTGGCAATTCATTAGTATGTAAATCCCTATAAGGTTTATTTTCAAGGGTGAAATTCCATTACCAGGTCACACAAACCTATGAGCAGTTTCACTTACAGATATTTAGAGTCCTACATGAAGGCCCTCAAATGAGTTTTTCTATAAGCACCTTTTTACAGGCACAAAAGAGATGCAATTTCTTCCAACTTCTCATGATGTTTTTATGTTGTCTACCCTCCTGTACAGATTATTCATCAGCGATAGAAGTTGTGTCACTGAAAATCAGAGGCAACTACTAAAACTCAGACATTAAAAAGAGAAATCAGCTGTTTTCCTTTAAACGCCTATTTAATGATCATCAGAGAATGTGTGTGTAATATGAAGGGATATTAAAAAACAAAATTAATTAATAATTAATCACTGAGGAAGGACAACCCAAATGAACCCCTGGATATTCAAACACAACCAAACAGCAATGTATATACCAGGTTTTGTGTGTGGTACATCCGGACTTGGCGATGCCCTGGGCCTGGAAGGGACTCGTCGACTTTCTTTTGGACCTGTGGAAATGAGCAAAGTTTTGAATTTGTTACTGAGCATGACTGACCTGTGAAGATGTGCAAATTTTTGAAGACGTTGTTGTGGGTGATGATATGTCTTTCGATTTTTCTGATGAATCAGAAAATTTATTTTCTGCTAAGAAATTTTTTAATGGATTATTTCTGTCATTGGAAAATAATCCCAAACAGATCTCCTGTTAGTGCAATCAATACAATGCCAGTGCAGAGACTAAAGGCAAAATGACTTTTACAGTGTGGTGTCAGATGAACTCTCCACTCCTAACAGCAATAACAAACAGAGCTTTCTGCAGAGTAAACTGCTGTAGCTCTAACACTTCCTAGTAGTGCTTATTAAGGGTTTCACATTCAAAAAACCTGCTGCATTTAAATCAACTCTGTATTTAAAAAAAAACAAACAAAAAAACCTCAGCAAAGCAGTCAAAGCAGAGCAAATGTGGAAATTTACCACTAATTTTCAAGTGGACAAAGCTATTTCCAAAGTTTTGGGAACAGGAAGGTATTGTAATTTTAGACTTTTAAAGAAGCAACTCAAAATTACAAATATTTCAGTCACACTCTAAGGAAATCAAGATGCAGATTTTCCTTTGTGCAGGGGCTCAAGATGAATGTTAACCCACACATCTCCATCATGTGGCTGTATGTATAAATATCCAGCTGATTATCTTGTTCCATGACAGCTGTATAGCAAAATTTGATTATGGCAGTGAAGCACAGCCTATTCAATAAGTATCTCTATATCTTCAGAGAAATCATGAATTCTGAAAATGTTCAAAGTGATAAAATCTTCATGCACTGAAGGGGAAAATATTGATAAACTTACTTGCTCTAGTTGGAGGAACACGTGGACTGGGTGATGTTTTAGGTTTGGAAGGCCTGTGATATATATCTTTAGAGGCTGAAATAAAGAAATTGTGTTAAACATTATTAAATTAATAAGTAGCTTGAAATACAAATACACTGCTCTGTAATGGATGTTGTCCTGGAATGATTCATAATATCAAATTCAAGTGACAAAAATGCCTTTGTCAAATGGATCTGCCTCAAGGCATATGATCCAGGATCAATGAAGTGATTGTGTTCTGACAGTGAAATTGAGGTTTGAGTGGAACAGAATTATTATTCAGTCCTTTATGAAGGACTGAATTTCATTTCGTAAAACTGGAGGGGAATGGAAGCAGAGAAAGAAAGTTTTCAGGAGGGAGGTCTGCCCACCCAAACCTCTTGACCACCTGCAGTGGTGCTACCTCCACATCTCAGGAAGACTGAGAACATGTAATTGGGATTTTGTTCTGATCTGCCCTCTGCTTCTTACCATTAAAGCTTGAAGGAAATTTTCCTATCTTATGTGCATAACAACTTGAAAGGAACAAGGATTCTCTTTGATTATTTCATAGAAAATAAGAGACTGAGAACCTCAACTGTTAAATTATTAAGGAGCTTGCAGAGAAAGATGACAAATTTATTCAGGTCTGCTTTTAATGATTTGTGCTGAAGAAGAAAGATAATGTGACCATTCAAACAAGACACCATCATTACCTATTGTTGCCTTTGATTTCTCAGTTCTAAACCTAATTGTTTCCAGAACTGCATTAACGTAATAAACAACAAAACCAGACTATTACCAAGAACAATCAAAATTTTACAATCACAATCTCCACAATAACCATACCATCCCTGCTAGGGCTGATGACAGATAGTCACCCCTCCCTGAAACTCAACATAGAAGTATTATGTTCCTCAGAATTTCCTCCAATTCAAGGTAACATCTCTAATACAGAACAGATCCCAAATATAAATCCAAAGCTTTTGTAAAAGCCACAAAAAGACTGTGGGTGGGTTTTTTTTGTTTGTTTTTTTTACCTTCAGCTTTGTACACTTTCCTGACTTATTTAAAGGTTTTGTTTCAGGCAATAGGTGCAGATTTACTGGGGAGAAAAGGAACCTGAGTTGTTGTCTCTCTGCCCACCTCTTCACCAACACCATCTAATACTCTATATACCTTGGATACCCATACTGGGTCTGACTGGGATGGAGGTTATTTTCTTCATGGCAGCCCCTGTGGTAGTCTGTTTTGGATTCATGAGCAAGGATGTGTTGATAAAATACCAATGTTTTAGTTATTTCTGAAGATGGATTGTTAGAACATCCAAGAGTTCTTTGTTTTTCACTCTGCCCCAGGCAAGAGGGCTGGGCAGGATGCTCAGAGAGGTCACAGCCAGGACAGCAGAACCACCCTGGCTAAAGGGATACTCTACCTCACATAAAGTCATACTTGGCAACAAAACTTTCCAAAGCCTCCTCTGCTCCTAGACTGGCATTGGTTTGCCTGTGGGATGTGGTGTGCGGTTGCTTTGTACCACTTGCTTTTTTCCCTCCTCTTTCTATCCTTCCTTATTAAACTGTCTTTATCTTGAACTATGATTTTTTTTCCCTATTTTTTTTTTCCTTTCTTCTGCTCTTCTGATTGTCTCCCCCAGAACACTGTGGGGTAGAATGAGTGAGAGGTCAGTGTGTGCTTAGCTTCTGGCCAGGTCAACACACTACGGTACCTCATGTCATGCAAGTGTGAGTTGCATAATTTACTTTCTCCCCCCTTAATTCTCCTAAGGTTGTACATGGGTATAACAACCCATGTAGACACAATTATAGGAAGTATTACACATATTTGAATCTCTGAACATCACAAGAGCTCTGGCAAAGTGAACCAACAAGTATGAAAGAAAGACTGTGCCTGAAAAAACAGAAGCAAGCACACAATTTGAGGAATACAGAGCAGAATCCTTCCTCTTTGCAACGACACCCCTTGTTTACACCTTCACTTTCCCAGAACACAAGCAAGTTCACACAGAAAAGACTTATTTTCACTGAGAATTGTACAGAAAGCATCTGTTGCTGCAGTGAATTACAATGTAATAAAGAATTGAATATATTTTCAACTAACCAGGCTGCTTATAAATTTTTCATGTCAGCGAATTTTGCCCCTCAAGGAATGTTCAAAAATATATTCCCAAGAAATACATGTAAATCTGAAGCTGCAGTGATCACAGTAGAATCCATGAGACACATGTGTCAGCATGAAAAGGTAAAGAAACAATGAACTTACCAGGTTTCATTCGTGGCACCTCTGGGCTTGGTGATGTTCTAGGTTTGGAAGGAACACGCTGTGGCTCCCTAGGAACTGGAATTTAAAAAAAAAAAAAAATAAAAAAAGCAGCAACTACAGCAACTATTAGAATTTTTTGAGAACTGATACTAACAGAAAGCATTACATTTAAGAAGAACACATGCCTTTGGGACCCTTCAGAATCACAAAAACTTGAGTGATGAAGAAGTATGAATGCTTGGTACATAACAAACCCCAGTATTGATGGAAAACCTATGTAACAGGACAATATAAAACAAGGCCAGTATGGTTGGACAGTATAAAAGGTGAAGCAGCACATGATAGAAAGGGAGTATAGAGACAAGCAGGCAAAGGTAGGTTGTGGTGCTTCCATCCACTTTGCAGAACACAGTTGTGTGAGAAAAAAACAGGAAAAGATGATCATGAATTGTTAGTGAAAAATCACCAAACCCCCCCTTACAGGATGAACTTTAATAGTAAAAAAATTATGGTAGTGGAGTGCAAAACTGTGAAAAAATGTGAAAAAAGATGTGAAAAAAGCTAAATGTGATGGTTCCCAAGTGATTGACACTGTAGGTAAAGCTGTTACCTATTGTTGGTTTTAGTTGATCAGTTCTAAGTGTTATAGATTCCAGGACTGTATCAGAAACAAAAGAGAAAAGATGTTTTGAAAGTTGAAAATTTACAATTAGAGCTATTTTCTGAATCATATAATTTGTATACTGCCTCATACAAAAAAAACTGGATTAAAAGAAGCATCTGTGAAAGCAGTATCATTTTCAACATAGTGTGAGCTTTTTTCTCCCATAGACTTCAATGAAATATCCAAATATTATCATTCTGTCATTCAGAAGATGTCTTTTTAGGGACCCCAATCTTTTCCCTTGGTGATGTGTTTCAAATGCACTCCATGTACACAAGTGGAATCTGACAGTACTTGTTTGTGTACTGAGCACCATTATTAAAGAACATTAGATGGTGTGTTGCATAATGCATATAAAGTCATATAATCCAGCTCTAGACTGGAATGGATCTAAAATAAAACTGGGTGGTTTAGAGACATAGGGATGTGAAATTGATGTGTCAATTCTTCTGTATGGATTACAGTTAAAAAAAATAAGTGTCTTTGGATCTTTTAAGACAATTACAAGATAAGCGGATGATGCTGTAGAAAATATTCTATATATTACAGATTCTTGAAGAAACAGTAAACTGTTGGGGCTTTTGTTTTTGTTTGTTTGTTTTAAACATATGTTGATACAAGCTCATAACTTTTGTGTAACAAAACTGTAAATTATTTCTACCATTTCTGAGAAGGCCAGACTACCATAACATTAAAAAATGGCCACAAAGGTAAAAACTGAGTGTATGAGAAGTTGCATCTTAAGGTGTAATTGGGAAACAATGTTTTATAATCAGATGCCATGGTTAAAAAATTATGAGACGACAAGAATTATGACTGTTCGCTACATGAGGAAATCACATCTAATAGATAACATAAGATTTCAAAATTATTGGTCTATGTCTACACTTTAAAGGTCTTAATAAAGTGTTTATCCTTAGATTTTTCACATTTACCAAAGGATAACATATGGTGATATTTGAGACTCTTGAAATTTTCTGTTGATATTACCAACTGGAGAACATAGGACAGTACGTAATTTTTTCTGCCTACCATTGAATTCAACTGCTCCCACATTTAATGACATAAAAATCAAGTATTTTGAAATACAATTTAAAGGATCATTAATGACAATATTTATACTCAAGTACTAAGTGTGCATGTATAAATGGGAAATTTACTACCTCTTTCATAAAATAATAATGACATGAAATTAATTGTGGCTTAGAACGGAAACAGATTTATTCTAAAAATGCAAAGTGATGTTGGAAAGAAGTATACCCCCAAGGAGCCTCAGTACACACTTTATCTGCTTGCTATTTGCTTTAGTTAGCAAGGTTAATCTGAGTGTAACACCACTATTCTCATCCTGTTGTCCTGAAGTAGCAGAGGTTTATTGTTTTGCTCAGTGAAAAATACTTAGTAAATATCACTACTCATGAAAACTACAATTAAATCGCTGAACATCACAGAACCCCATTCTGTTTTAACTGGCTCAGATAACTAAATAGCTGTTCATAAATACATTTCAATCCAAAATAAAGTGTACTAGAAACAATCACAAAGAAGTTTACCATCTTTGGCTTGTGGGATGTGAGGTTTGGGTGAAGCTTTGGGTTTAGAAGGAACACGTTGAGTCTCCTTTGGAGCTGGAAGAGAAAATGTGGGCAATAAGTTGGTAAAATTGCACAGCAATTAGCATCTGATACCAGCTGAACACACAAGCACAGAAACCTCAGAACCATAGTACACCTGCAACTGAGAAGAAGTAGGCAAGTCAGGTAATACTCTCCATGTGTTTACAACAATCTAAGCAAGAAAGTGGAATTTTAGTAATTTTTGAAGCTCAGTTTCTGTTTGTTTTTAAAATAAAATCTGGAGCAGATGCAAACAAGCATAATTATGAGAAAGGTGATTCAGGGCTGGTAGCATAATTTCTTTTTTTATAAAGGAGATATTCCAACTGCAAAGAGAGCAATACACCCAACTGTTTTGAATGCCAGGCAAGATAATTACCTAGAAGAAAAATGAGGTTAAATGAAACAATCCTGAGGCATAAGGATTCACTAACTTCAGTAGTGCTTGCTGTGATGTAAATAAAGCAAACACAACAGTTTGCCAAGGAATACTTTTACCTATGGGTGACCTTGGTGGTTCAATTCGAAGTATAATAGGTTCCAAGACTGCAACAGAAACAGTGTGACGAAGTGAGTAAGGAGCACACTCCAAAAACTTAAAATTACTCCAGTTGTAAGTATAAAAGTTGATACCAACACAACACCACAGTAATGTGGATCTTCAAGCTGACTTTTAAACTGTGGTCAATTAAAATTCTCAATAATATAGGTGAAATAAGAAATAAGTAATTGCACAAACTTGATGGCAATAGAAGCAAAAAAATGTGGATATAAACCAGTAAATCCAAGAACAAGCAAGAGAAGAGATCACAGAGCTTAGCTCAGAGACAGCAAGGGACTCTTGATATACAGACTGTCAGGAGTCACCAAACTGAACTCTGTACTAGAAAGTAGCGTGATGACCATGACAAAATAGTTGAAATTTTCCTCTAAAGTGAGCAGTTAAGCAGAGGGCTAAAAGGCTGCTATTGGTAGAGCTGTATTTATTATCTGAAAAAACTTAGTTTGATAAAGCCTATAGTTAGTTTTTTCTCATATCCACTTACAATTTGGATCACAAAACCATTATATCATGCCCTTTTCCTGGCCACAAACTATACCAAATGGGTCAAAAAATTATGAGGTTGCAGAATCTATGAAAATTTCTTGGCAAAAAAAGAAAATATATTAAAATAATGCATAAATTCTTGCCTCTCAAGGCAGTAACAAGTAAAGTAGTGTATAGCACACAGATACCCACACCTAAAGATTGAACCTGTTCTATAATCCACATTCACTTCTCTCCCAAACTCTCTTATGCATCTACCCATTTTAAAAATGGGCTTCACAGTAAGTAACACTATAAAACTTTGATTGCAATTGAGGGGGTTAATACTAAAGTATTTATTAGATGTCTATTAACATTCACAGTACAATATTCTGTAGTATTAATATTGCTGCAAATGAAGAAAAATCCCCAAAACAGCCAGTATTAACTTCTACTGACAGTGGCCAGATAATCCATAGAAATCTCAAACTAGTCAGTAATTTTTCAAATGTTCTCACTACATATGCAGAAAGTAAAGAAAATAAAAACTACCTAGAGGAAAAAAAAGTTGAAGTTTTTATTTTCTTTACTTTCTGCACTAATGGCAAGCTTCAAAGTACATAATTTAAAAATAAGTACCTTATCAGATTTAGCTTGAGGTGTTTTGATCTTAGCAGATCCTTTGGGCTTCAGATGTGAGGAATATGTATTTTGGACACTGGGAAAAGTTTGTTTTGTGAAAACCAGCATTTAAGCTGAAAGTAAATCACATTCACATTCAGTAATGAGGAAATGAAGTCTAGGAAATGACCCTCAGTCCATATCAATGAATAATCACAGAAAAAAAATTGTACTATGTGTTTAATGCATGAAGTATCGTTGGATATGAACCAAACAAGCAATGATTATCCATTTGATGGATAACCAAAGAGCTGGATGTTCCTCTGCAGCAAAATTAACTTCTCATAGTTTAGTTAAAATCCAAAGAAAAGAGACTTAACCTGCAATGCAGCATTGACCTTGACAAATCAATGTCATTAGAGGAGTTTTGAGAGTATTTCATTGCGTAGAACTTGTAGTTGAAAACTATGAGTTTAAGTGATTTGTTGCTAATTGACCAAACCAAACTCATTCTATTTTATCAAATCATTTAAGAGCTGTCCTTGTCCTGTGAAGTATCTTATATGTCAGCTTCATCCGGGTTTTAAAGAGCAAATAGGCTGCTGAAAACATCTTGAAGCCTTCTCAGAATACAACTGGCATAGTAAATGCAAACAGTGATTCAAATTCTCCTTTGAATTAGATATAACATTTCAGGGCTCACTGCAAAGGAGAGACCTTTGTTCTTAGTATGCATAAAAAAATGTATCTATTAAACACATCACTTATTATGTCCTCCCATACTAAAAATAAGGCCATGTATTACTTTATATAAACTGCACTCCTCATTAAAAATAAAATTACTTTTCTTAAAAATTGAACACAAGTTTAGATGTATTATTTGACATAATGCAGTATTTTAGATTATTTCTATGTTCCATAAAATCTTTATTATTGCAATATTTCTTATTCTTTCTTTTTCTAATGTAAGTGAAACTTTTAAGCAGATACCTTTGAAGTTTTCTATTTTTTAGAAGACATCTCCATGTTAGAAACATGGAGAAATAATAAAGCCCCAAGACTGTACTTCCCTTTGCTGGGTTTGGACCACACATGAATAAGCAAGAAGCCTCCAGGAAATGGGGTTTTCTACTGCACGTATTTTCAGAGCAATGAAAAGAAGAATGACTAAGGATGACTCATAATCATTACCCTCTGCAGTCTTTGGACATTCATATGTGTAGGGACTCCTAGTAGTGACTGACACTGGAATGGCTGCTGCTGGAATAAAGAGAATTTTCTTAAAAGAAATACATGTGCATCTGTACCTATTTTTCAACTGCTGGTATGGCTCAGTTGCTCTTGCTTCCCAAATATAATCCACCTCTTCAAAACTCATTGAATGGAAACACTGAGTAAATGATAAATTTACTGAAATAAGCCTGTATATATGACTTTTTCTGCTTTTGGAAAATAAAAAAGTACATTTATCCTACAGGAACACTGGGAGATGAGCTCTCTAAAGCTTCACCTCCCTGTTTTACTGAATCTTTTTAATCTCTTTATGGCTGTACACCTCTGGAAAGAAACAGTTCCAGAGAACTCCATTTTCTTTGGTAAATCTTTCTATTAATTTTCCCGGATTTCTCCCATAGTGATACAAAGGATAGATGTGAAAGACTTCAGGTGTAAATAACTGTAAATTCACAGAAAGCAATGCTGAATATCCCAGCAGATTATCTAGTGCTACTGCACATTAGATCACCAGGTTAACAAGCTTCCCATCTCTATCTAGAGTATTTAATTGGGTTTGAAAGGAAAAAAATCCAAACACCCTGAAAAATAGAAAGAACTTTGAAGTCAAAATTGGTAGAATTATTTGATATTAGCTTGACTTTTCAAACAGAATCCATTTTCATTCCTAAATACATCTACAATCATTGAGTAATCTTTGTGCTTATCCTTCAAAGTTTGCTTTGTTTACTCTATTTTGACTCTTAGCCTCTGTCCCTCCCTACAGATTTTAGTTAGGAAAGAAAAAGTGATGGATAAATATTGTATGATGGGCTTCAAACTGTATTTTTGGACATATTAACAATTTGTCATGCTGTAATTCACAAGCATTTTAAGACTCACAAGTACATTATTTCAAGGAAATTACCTTGAAATTTTAAAATACAATAAAATATGAGACCTAACACTTCCAAAACTTTGTCAGTTTAGATAAAAAATGACATTCTTAATTTAAAAGTTTCTATTCCCCCACAAGAAGGTTTATGGTGATTTACCTGGGTGGACAGTGATAAAATTTAAAAGATTGAATTATTTCAGAATTCTAAATTTTCTCTCTTTACTGACATTTTTTTTATAGCTTAGACAGCTTTTATATTTGGTACTATTGACACTATTCTAAGAATGCAAAATACTCTAAAATGTCTTCAGAAGAAATAATTTATGCATTTAAGTAAATGCCCAGAGAGGCTGTGAAGTCTCAATCCCTGGAGATATTTAAAAACTTTTCTATAAAGAAAGTGTTGCAGTGCATTTGGATGCACAACAGAAAATTCATTATGAATGGAGAATGAAAAATGGAGAATATTTAGAGAGAGGTATTCATGCTAACAATAGTAAAAGTGAGGACAATGGCTGGGAGTGATCAAATTGACAACAAAACCTTATTTGTTTTCATGCAGGCAACAGATTCAGTTACCCAAATACCAAGAAAGAGAATGAAACTCTGAACTTTCACCAGAATTCACAGTTTGTTAGTTGGAAAATATGAAAATCATTTAAATGTTTGGGGTTTTTTAAATGAAGCTTTTTTTCTCCGCTGCCAAAGAAGGCAAATACTTTACCAGAAACAGCACAAAAATCATGTTAATAATGAGAGGCAAAAATAATTGCTTGACCCAAAGGCAGCTGTTAGCAAATCATTGATTAAATATGAATTTGGCATATATTGTTCATTATTTTGATTCACTGTTAGGGAAAGGTGACAACCATTATCATGAAACAAGTTTCTAGCTTAAGCTGAACTTCCAGTTGATGCTGGTACACAGAGAGGCTCCTGCTCTTTGGCCATTTTGCCACCTACCCAAACCAAAGCTTAACCCCATGCACTGCATATTTTACAGCTCAAATAAGATTTTCTGAACAGGAACATCATTTGCCACATGAAAACACATGCCAGTTTCACTACCTACTTAACAAGAGTCATGACAAGCTTCATCAAGATTGAAAAGTGAGTCTTAGGATTCTACCTGATTGATTAGTGAGACCACTACTGGGAAAGAAAAGAACCAGAGGCATGTGTACAAATATGGAACAATGTCCCTTTCCTTGCAGGCATACAGAAACTTGCTATAGAGCCACTCAGTGTGGAAACACCAGGATAAAACCTCGATCTTGGCAGTCCCAGGGTGTAAAACAAATTTATGCAACAGTTTCCAAATGAGTTGCTTTTTTTCTCAACCCTTTCAAAAAACAACATACAGGGCTCAGATCTATATTCAGACATAGACATCTACAGCAGAGACAAAAGTAATGATTCCTGTAAAATAACACTGGATTTCCTACACTAAAAATTATGTAGGAGCGGTAATCAGCATAAAAAACTAATTATGCACAGTATTCTGAAACAATTCCAAGTCATAAGTGCCATTCCTTTAACAAGCTTCACACGGAATAATTTGATCTGAAGAGAATTAATTTCTTTTTATGAGCAAAAAATTATTTGGGGGGAATCTGGAAAGAATTTAATAAAATCATCTGATCTCTTCCAGTATTGAGTAATATATTCTTGCAATAAACAATTATGCAATTTCAAGCTTTCTAATTTCATTATAAACCATGTAACACTAGAAATATTTTTACAACTGTATTTGTTTATTCTCCAGGTCTAGAAAATGCCAGGTGTGTTTTATTCTCTGCTATACATCACAGACCAAATTTAACCTCGGTGTGAAGGTGCTATTTCATTTGGGATAATAAAATATGTCTTTACTGAATTCCAAAGCAAAATTCCACTCTTACTTTCAGAGTTTCAGGTAAGTCTACATATGCACTAATGATCACTGAATCAATACAAATCCTATGGTTCTATGTAAGATACTATAACCATCAGCAAAACACAAAAATTTGTGTTGTCTGGACCCTATGCTGAGCTAAGCTGGAAAGTTTGTTATTTCAAAATGAAAAGCAGGAAAACAATTTGCTTTGATGTCAGACTGCATGAGTTGGTGACTTGGTTAAAAGTTTTCTTGCTTTGCTTCTATTTTTTTGGGGGGGGGAGGTGTCCAAAACAAAAAAATATTTTTCCTTGAAGAGGAATTCCTCACCTTTCTGATGATTGAGCGCGGAACTTCACATTCACACAGAAGAAACTCAAGCTAAAATGCGCTACTTAAGGGATACACTATAAGAAATGCTTGCTATGGAAATTAGTTACCAGGTTTAGTTCGTGGCTTTGGGGGTCTGGCAGATGGTCTAGGTTTAGATGCAGAAGTAGTGAGTTTTGCTTCCTTAGGAGCTGAAAGAAATACACTGGTTTATAAATTTATGCTTTCCACTGTATCACAAAAAAATCAAATGAGGCAATGAATGGCTACTGGGAACAAAAGCAAATGGTAGAATCAAATATGCCAAGAAAACTTCTCAAAAATCTTCCTAAGAATTCACTATTCCAGCAAAACCTCTGTTAGTTCCTCACTGTAAAAATGAGTAATTGCATTTAAATATGAAACCTAAGCTTGCAATCACATCTGAATGTTCCTCTCATTAAGTTAGCAAATTCATTTTTGCTAGATGCCTAAGAGATAAAACAATAATGCTTTTTATCCTTTTGAATTCCAGGTCAATTTAAAGCCCAATTAGAAGACATATATAGACAAAATTATACAGAAATGTCCTCAATTTTTGGCACAGTAAAATAATTACTAGTAAACAGCTGGAAGAACATGGAATCAATTAAAAAATAATGGAACTGCTTCATAACTGCTGTCATTGAATTCTGCTAATAGAACTGAAGTAGCTAATATAAGTAGAATAATATAAGTAGACTAGCAGTACCCTGTGAATGGTAAAAAATTAAGAAAAATGAGTCAGAGAAACCCTTTTCCCACCAAACATGCACACGTTGAAATTGTAATTAGCTAATCTGCCTGTTAGCCTGATTTCAGATGAAGCGTAAACTGAGTTTTTGTACATTTTAAAAAAGCAGTGCAATTAAATGTTTCATAGCAATTGACACAGCGGAAAAGTGTTTGATGTCTACAGAAAGAGCAGAGAGGAGTGACCCATGAAGCGACTGAGAGATGTTTTTCAAACCAAAACTACATTCAGAAGGATTCATAAAACATGTTAACTTAGTACCACAGGAATCCTTCACTGAGAGTTCTGGGATTAACATCCGCATTTACTACTTACTACCTTTACTTTTAATATTACCTTTCCACTTGGCATTTCAATTGTATTTCCAATGAGTTTTCTGAATAAAGAGTGTTGGTCTAGAAAACCTCTCAGCAAAATGGAAGTTAAAAATTTTTACTGTACCATGGAACTAGCAAAACTGCAATAAAAAATGGTTTCCTTTTCTCCTAAGTTTAGAAAAAACATTTCTGAATGCTTGTCTCCTAACTTTCTTCTTCTTTCAAAGAAATTGATTAAATAGAGCTAAAGCTATGAGATAAAGTGTACAAAATGTGGCTTGGACTGCAAAGAAGTGACTAACAGCCACAGAAACATGTATTACCTAGGGTTGCTTTCGGTTGTTCAACAGTCTGAGAAGTTTTAGGCTCCAAAAGTGGTGGTTTAGGAGCTAGAAAAGAAAAATTCCAGTGTAATCAAACCGATCAGTAGATGTATCAACACGAAGCCAAAAGTGTTATCATTTCAACGGTTCAAGGGAGATTTTTAAGCAGTGTAGATAAGCCTTAGTCTTGTGTGTAACACCCCACACTCCCTTTAGCTTTGTTTCTTATGAAATTGCACACTGAATGATTGTGTGAGAGTCTGCTTCTAAGGCTCCTTCCCCTTATTTATGTTCTCAAGACATTTCTAATCCTGCTTTTGATTCAATCAGCAAATAAATTTCTCTTCTGTAATGGGAGAATAGTGAGAAAGGAGAGATGATGAAGAAAAGAACATTGTAATGAAAACTGAAGAATCTATATGTAAGGAAATGTCTAAAGGCCAAAGTTTTGTTAAAAATCCTAAATCAGTACCTGCAGTTGATTATAAGAGAGGCATAAGACAATAAAGGCAGGTCCTGTGTTTTACTGATCTGTCTGGCTATAAGACATGAGAACAGAAGCATTTGAGGCCTCAAATAATCCACAGCATAATATTTATTGGTCCAGTACCTGAATCACTAAAGGAAACAAATTGTTTTCCCTTAATACCAAATTCAAAGAAAATTAGTAGAGGTCTGTTTTTGTATCAAAAGGTAGAAAATACATGACATGATTACGTTCCTATGGAATTAGCAAAGATGTCATCTTTGCCATAGTACGTCAGTGTGAAAATGGGATATGGGGAGTGGCAAAGGACATTGTAAATGTTATAATCATATTTATTGCTTATAGGAGTGATATCAAAACAGCCTTGTGCTACCCAGAACTTTTTTTTCCATTCCAGTCCTTTAAAATAGTTAGAACACTAGAGAACTGGTTTATATTTTTATCACTGGACCCAAATGCATAAAAGTGATGAGTTTAACATTCATTAAATTTATGAGGGTCAATGACCAATTTGAGAATGATGAGTTAGTTAGGATGCTCATGTACTGCATAACTCCTGTTCTTTTTAGGAAGTTTTGCTTAGATATTTTTAGAGAAAATATCTGTCTGCATACCAACTTATGAAATTGTTGTGCACAATTACCAGGTTTCACATGTTGTACTTCTGGGGTAGCAGATGGTTTCGGTTTAGAAGGAATAAGTGGTATTTCTTTTGGAGCTGAAAGAAAGAGCTCAGTTTGCAGTGAAAAATTGTTTAACAAGCATTTCCCGCAACAAACAGCACATGTCACAAGTTTAGATTGAAGACAACTTAGTATGGAATGTCAAAGCCAGCTGATGAGATCAGATTTTGAAGTGTGGAATGGAGATGACACTGAAATGCTGTATGTTGATCAGAAATAAGATTCTGTACGTCCAAAACAATTAAAATTTCCATTTTGAAGGCTTTACATACCAGAGACAATCAGCACATGCGTGTGTACTGGGAGTAAAAGAGATAGAATGCTGATAAAAGGATGATGGTGTTTATCATGCAAGAGACAAGTTTTGCTTCTCTGAGACAGTAAATCCACCCAGAACCTTGTTCTCATACACAGGTATGTCAAGAACAAACATATAATGATGATGGAAGAACAAGACTCTCTAACCAGGAAAAAGAATGATTATGGATGTGAAATGATATGTGGAAGGAATGCATTCATATGGGATGGAGTACTCAAAACAAACACGGAGTTTTTCACTGGGTGAAAACAACATTACCTAATGTTACCCTTGGCCATTGAAAAGGACGGGAAGTTTTAGGTGTGAAAGATTCCAGAATGGATTCACTTCTTGCTGCTGGAAGAAATTATGACAGTCATAAGAGAGTGAAGAGCTAATGGAAGAAACTCTTCCTTCATGAGCAAAAATAAATTTATTTTACCAAGAACAACAAATATTTCACTAATGCTTGGACATTCATCAGTTTAGTATACATCGGGGAGAAATCCAGAACTGCCCAGAACTTCAATGACTATAAATCAGTGCATCTGTGACACACATAATTCTGGATATTTATTTCCTCCTGCCTTCATTGCAACTGGTCTGGATCTCAACCACTGCCAAGTAAGATTTTAAGTAGAGCTTTTGAACATTTTGAGTACTGGTCCAATATTTAACGGAGATGGTACTGTGTACAGTGTAGATATTTGATGAAAAGGACATGTTGAACAAGCAATTAGTCACACATTAAAACATAAAACATTTGGAATAGAAACCTGACAACAGATCCAGCTGTGGTTTCAGTCCAAAACCACTGTCTGTAACAGTTAACCAATTTCATGTTGTTAAGGATGCACTCATGTTAACATTTTTAGTGATGTTACAACAATAAAATGCAACCTACAGTTCACATCACAGTGTTTTCATCAGAACTCCTCTACAAATACTGTTTTTTCAATTATTTTGAGAAAATAATTTCTATTTTTCGTATTTTTCAGCATACTGAATCATGTGACTGTGAGTTACCATATGCATTATAACTGTGAGAAAACAGCGAGTTTAACCATTAGCAGCAACGTAAATTTGAAATCAGCTGTTAGGGGCTAATCCAAATGTACACTGAAAATAACAGCAGTGTATTAATTTTCAGTTGAGTTCTAGAGCATGGCTTGAGCTGTTGAATTAAGAACTAAGTAGAGATTATTGTACCTGGTCCAGCTTCTGCTATTTCAGGCTTACTAGGTGCCACAGGAGTTGAAAGAACAGGTTGAATACCACCGAAAACTATAAAAAAACCACGTCACATTTTCTGTATTATTAATTCTACACACAGCTTTTCTTTGTCATAGAAAAACAACCAAAAAATTTGGTATGTTATAGCACACCTCATTTGCACTTCACCATAAGCACACCTTGCCTCAGGAATGGAGCAGTATTGGTTTAGAGTGTGAGCTGAAGGTAGTGCTTAAAGTGAGAACTAAAAAGAAATTGTCATCCAGATAAAGCTAATATTGCTTTGAATCACATAGTCCACATAGCTTAAAGTGACCCAGAAAATACAAAGATAAAAACTTCTAATATCTATAACTATAAAGATAAAGCACTCAGTACCCCCTGCCTCCTCCCAAACTATAAAAACTAAAAAGCACTGCAAATTTGTTTCCATGAAAAAAGCACCTGTCTTAGTTCTCTTAGTTGCTTTGGTTTGTGTCAATATTTTTTAGTGAATTTTAATGTCATATAATCTGTCATGCACACATTAAAAGCAAGGATAAAGTTAAAAACAAATATCACTAAACAGCAAAAAAATAGTAAGAAAGGAGCTTCCTATGCTGGCAAGACAATATTTAGGATAAAAATATGTGTTCTAACTGAGCATGTAACAATTAGGCTTGTAAGAAAACAACAAGTAATTTTGGAATTCTTATCTAGTCAGTAGTAGTATTAAACCTAGTTTACTAGGATTAAAACAAGTTTACCTCATTTAAGTATATCTCAAAATAGCCCTAGAAGGTTTTTGAGAAATGAATGTGAGATCAGAAACACTACCAGGTGAGTTTCTCAGCAGAAAGAAAAGTTGTCATGTGAAAAAAAGGATGCTTTCAATGATCATGACTCACACAGAAGACAACATGGGAGATGATCAAAATATCTAGGATTAATAAAATTTCAAAAATGGCTGTCCAAACACCAAAAGGGGTTTAACTGAAAAACTAAAGCATTACTATTACCCGCGGTTGTTGTTAGCACATGAGGTGTTCTGGAAAGTGGAGGCAGAGATTTTTCCAGGTCAGCAAAACTTGTAACTGTGGAAAAATGTAAACATCCCATGAGATAGATTCACACTGATGCACACATAGCAAGGGGGGCAAAAAATCAGAAAAAGAAAGATTGATTTACATTGCTTTGCAAGATGCCAACACCGCTACAGCAGATTTTCATAAATTTCCAAGTTTAAAATAAAGTAACAAAATTTCAAAATTTTGAAGATGTCACCTGCACCTAATAGACACACAGTGACAGGAACCCTGGCTGTCCTCCTAAAAGCAGATTTATCAACAGGAGTCAAATGTTCTGTGCCCATGTAACATGAAAAAAACCCTGTGCTTTTGACTTCACCTGCGCCACAGAGAGAGACCTATTCACTTTAAACGCATGCAAATATGAATTTGTACAACCAGGTATTTCCATTTCTAAAGCTTTGCATGTTTCCATATAGCAAAAGCCATTATTTTGACTTACGGGTTTTAACACACTATACATCAAGCAATTTGTCATTTGCAGTATTTATCTAATTGATATAATATACATTAACACAACTTCTGTGATATATTGAAGAGACAGACTGGGACAGAAAATCTAACACAAAACTGTTGAAATATTGACTGCCAAGTTTAGGATAATTTTCTTTCTTATCTCTTGAACATTTGCAATACCTTCAAATACATTCTTGAATACCTGTGACCCCAGCAATAAAAGTTCCAAGGTGCAATAGCAACATAACTTGAAAAAAGTCTCATGAATAGAGAAAACTGAAAAATAATGTGTACAATACGGCTAATAGAAAATCCTCTACAGTGAAATATCAAGAACGTATCTTTATAACTGATAATGAACCCATCTAGCTATTGGTCCTATTGCTCCTAATCTATCCAACAGCTTAAAACGACACAAAAAACATTAATTCCTGTGGTTTCATTTGTATTTGATCCTATACCACAAAATATCACCATGTAATTATAGAGCCTATCAGACACCTCAAACAAAATTCTGCTTCAGACATCAAGCAATCAAAGTAAACAGCCTGTAACATCATTGATGCAAAACCAAATACTAAGCAATGGAAGTATCATAAATACAATTTACCAGTCTCTGGTTTTGATATTTCTGCAGATGCAGAAGTTTGGGACAGGAAACTAATATGATTAGAGTCCAGTGAAGCTGGAAAAACAAAACCAAAACAAAACATTTTTTGGCATCATCTGAACATATAGACTGAACAGGTTTCAAGACATTACTAAGAAACTAGATCTTGGGGAAAGGAAAATATCTCAAATGAACATGCCATGGATTTCCTTATGTAAAGGTGTGAAAATGCACTGATGATGAAAATGATGAAGAGATATGAAGAGATCACATTACAACAGAAGTGGAATTGCCACAGCCAAGGGAGTAATTAAATATGGTTTTGCACATATGGCCCCTTTCATGTCTACACTTATGCTTTACTGAAATCTAGGCCCAAGAGAAGCAGCGGGTTGGCTAAAAGCGCAATATCTCTTGGGATAATTCCCATCTTGCATTGCTACCAGAACTGAAAAAAATATCATTATTGCCAGAGGAAGCCAGTGTCTCAAACTGTGAAGAAACATCCTGTGATTCACCAAGGCTGAAATGAGGACTTGATCTTAAAACCCTAACATGGCCTCAAAAGCAGCAGCAGAGCAGAGCATTCCCAGCCCAGCTGGGTTTGCCTCTTAAGAACACTGCTGTGTTTGAATGCATCAGAGAAAGCAAGACCCAGCACCCAAACACAAAGAAGCAGGGGAATGGAGCTGAAGGCCAGGTGCAACAACGTGGTCTCTGCAGAATGTCACATGCTTCCTGCAGAAAATGCTCATCAGCCATGGGAAAAGCGTGGGATCAAACAATAGAATTGCAGAACCAGTGTGGCCAGTGCTCCGGCAAGCCAAGCTGCACCAACAAGTCTTCATCCTCTCCATGGAAGGTGACAAGGATGTGCGGTGGTTTGGGGTGGGAGGTGTGACGGGAAGTGAAGGAGATGGGAGACAATGGGCAAAGGAGGCTGTTGCTAGTTACCCATCACAGTTTGTTGAGTTGCCGGGGAGGAAGGAGTGCTGGACTTCGGCCTTGGTCTTCGAGGAGCTAAGATCAAACACAGAAAGCACCTTCAGGTCCTCACACAGGCTGCTGTCACACAGCTCACATGGAGACAGAGCTAGAAAGAGGGCACGTGGCCCTGCTTGGGCCAGGCTACCACGGCACGGCTTCACTGCCCATGGTGGCACCACGCTGCCTTTCAGCTGGCACTGGCAGCCAAGGCACGAGAGGAAACCTAGAAATGGTTCCACAGGAAATTTACGGGGAGAAGAGTTTTTAGTAAGGAGCCAGAAGGGTCCAGCCACATCACTGACCCACTCTTTGGGTCACCAGCACATTTGAACAGGCTCATCACTGCAGAGCAGAGCATTGCCAAAGGAAGCAGTGAAGGAGGGAATCTCTGGCTATTTACCCTTCCTTGTGGTTTCCCGTGAAGCAGGCGAGGTCGATTCCAGGTCTGGTCTCTTGGTCGCTACAGACACAGAAATGATCTTCAGATACCCACTCAGCCTTGCCACAGCAGTGCAAGCAGCAGCAGCTCACAGCCCCATAAATGTCTGTATTTAGGGCCACACGTGCCCTTTCCTGGCAGTACCTCGTGACTCAAAGCCACAGTCAAGTGCTGTGCCGTGGTTGCAACCAACACAACACTCCCTGAGCCTCAGTAGCTCAATGGCTCTAGAGCAGTAGAAAAATGCCAAAATATCCAATTCACCAAACTACTCCTTACATTTCCTTGGAAGCTGCAAAACCAGCAGGAAATGCAGGCAGAGCATGAGCCAAGACTCGTCTTAGAATTCAAAACTCAGGATGACAAGTCCTGGATATGTCTTCAATGCAAGCAGCTACAAATACTAATTACTAATTTTTCTAGTATGAAGGAATAAACTGCACACTATGCTATCAATATTCATTCATAACTCCAAGCTTTCCTAAAAGTTCAGTAATTTTTGCAAATAAGTATTTTCTTACAGTCTTCACTGTTATTGTTTTTTATATATAACAAAATATATAAGCTCTCATCATTCACATGACAGGCCTTGCAATTCCCTGTGAAATATAATTCCCATTCTTACTTACAGTTAGTCTCTAAGCCAATGATCAACATGTCTGCTCATCAAGCTTGAACTTTAGTTCTCATCCAGAAAGATAAAAAATTCTGTATGCTAACAAATCCACATCAGTAAGAAGACACAAAATTATGTTTCTGCCATATTGGAATAATTCAAAAGGAATAGGAAGAATTTTCAAAATAAAAAATACACATAGAGTCAAACAGGAACTCTGTGACAAATTCTTTTTTTCACTGGTCCCTTCAAAACTAACTTTTCAAGTGATGGAAAAGAGCATATGTTCAAACATCGTAATCATGTCATTAGTATGGCAAATGTTTTAAAGTGCATTAATAAACCACCTGTACTTCTCAAAGTAGGTTAAAATTATGTGAAATGATGGCAAGGAAAAGGAAAAAAATTAAAATATCTTTTTACCCTCTAATGTTCCTTGGCTTGTAAGGTCAGGAGAAGTAGATTTCAGCTTTGGCCTCTGAGTAACTGAGATTAAACCAGAAAACTGCCTTCAGAAATAGAGGTGAACTTTTTTTTTAAAGCTTTGTCAGTACAGAACTGTGTGAATAAAGTCCACATTACACACAGCTTTTTTACATAACTATTTGCATTCATTACTAGGTTATTCCACTTCAAAATGAGGGGGGCTTAGTTGATTTAGTGTAGTATACAGACAGTTAAGCTTTTAGTGAACTAAGCCTATAGAGTAGAAAATTAGGAAAAGTAATTGAGAAGCTTAAGAATTAAGTATCTCATCATTTACATGACTGACCATCTTGCTGAAATGCTTGGCATTGCCTCTATCAGTAAAATAATTTAAATGTTTGGACTAAATTTTAAAATACAGCTTTTCTTATTTAAGTATTGTGAAATGATAGAAATTAGGATGGAATCACTGTTTACCCATCACAGTCCTCGTGGTTTTCAGGAAAGGAAAAGGTGTGGGCTCCAGAACTGGCCTCGGGAGAGCTAAGATTAGAGATGGAAACTATCTTGAGATGTTATGGCAGTCTCTTCATGCATATGAAAGCATTATTTAATCACACCCAAATAAGTCAATATTTAAATTGTGGTTTCTCATGGATACTCTTTCTACCAAATAAATCCTACATCAATTTATAGTCACTTGATACTGCCACAAACCCCACAGTCACTAGCCAAACACTGCTCCAACTGCACAATAGTGATGTTCCAGAGCTGCTTTTTAACTGCACTAAATGACACATTCCAAAATCCTTTTTCAGGCATGAAATATTTTCCAACTATAAATTGTAAACTAGACAATGAATATATATCCAGAACTTTTGTTTGCATCAAAGATACTGCCCACCTTATATTTAATCTGAAAAACTACTAACTAGCTCTGATTATTATATACTTCATCACACTTAAAAATATGAACTTTGGGTCAAAACTAATATACATTTGGAAAAAAAAAAGAGGAACAATAGGTTCTCCACTGAAAAATGCATAAACGTGAATTTAAAAAAAATGCATGAAGGCAAACTTAATTAGGATTTCCATCAAGAGTTGGGCACACCGGTAGAAGAAAACCTACTTGTGCTTTCTTAACCAAAATCAGTAAGAATCTCTAACAGAATAGTTGATTAATATACAAGTTTCTATTCTGAACAGCTATGAAGTACTTTGAACAGACAGAATCTCATATTGACACTGGAAGACAAGGATAAGCAACAAGAAGAGTCACATTTACTGCACTTTACTGCAATTAGCAAACAGATATGCAATTGACAACTGTGAATGCAAAGATAGGAATAAAAATCCCTTCTCTTGTCTAAGAATATATTATTGAAAAAGAAAAATGTTTCTCATAAAAGCATAGAGCAAATTCCTAACACAAACAGATGATAGTCAAACAGTTTATCTAAGAAAAGGGAATCAAAGTTTGAAAACTGTCACCACACTTGCAAGAACATAATGCAGAAAAAGTAGAAGAGCACAAATCTGATGGACCAACAAAGACAACATTACAAACATGGAGTTCTTGTTCTGGAAGAACTCTGTTAGACTCCTCCAGTTTTAGCAAATAAAATCTTTCAAAAATACATCAAAAGTTTGTAGAGTAGATTGATGGGGGGGTGGATTCAAAGAGTTTCAGAAATTTATCCCTTTACATCTGACTACACACTTCTCTGTGGCACGGGGCTACTTACTGTCCTCTGAGTCTTCATTTTGTTTGGTGAAAAATGGGAATAATAAAGAGTTTCACTGATACATTTTCTGAATGTCTTCTCCTTGCCTACCACTGGTTTAAAGAAGTGTTCAACAGAGCTGTTAAGATGGCAAATATAAAAGGAAGTACCTACTTGTTAGTGTACAGGGGGATACTATAGAACAATTACAAATATCTATAGAGGTGTGCAGTAGAAGACAAGGTTCAGAGTGTACCAAGAGAAAAAAATGAGAGTTCCTGTGTTCAGCATTAGATTTGTCCTGTCGGGGAAGAAAATATGAAAGAAAGTGGCTTGATCATTTAGGAAACATGCAGAAAGCTGACAAACCTTTATCTGCCTAAAAAATTTTCCCCCTAAATATATCTAGACTATCAGGTCTCAAGCTGTTTTTCTTAAAAAGATTCCTAACCTGACTTGTGTTTGCAATGTTCACTGTGCTACCTTGAATCTCCATCAAAGGATTTTTGTCATAGTTTAAGAATCCTCTTTAATGAGAAATACGTTTGAATATTCTATGCAACCTCTGGATTTACAACTTGAGCACACATTAAGCTGCTTTCAACCCACAACTGAACATGAACAACATTTGTAGAAAATAAATCCTTGAAGAGAATTTCCTGCACACCTCACTCTCTGTCCCCAGCATTGGAACTGACCAGGATGATGTCTTAAACACCAATAACCACAGAAATACACTTTAGTAATAACAAAGTAAACAGAAAATAAAAAAGGCTATGACTTGAAGTAATACAACAGCTATCTGTATCACGATACAGTGCATATAGTAGAGAAATTAAAGTTTGGTTATAAGCCCCACAGTTACTCATGGTAAAATTATATTCTGTTAAGTGATACATAATTGGTCAATGGCAATCATGGGTAATACTACCAAATAGTACTGTAAAAGTGAACTCAGAATTTGGAAAGAAGACAATAATCCAGTATTTTAAACGTCATAGATACTGCCTTAAACAAAAATAGTACCTGATGCAGAATTTTTATCTTGCAGCTGCTCTTATTCCCAAAGTAAGGAACAACAACATCTCCCCAAAAGCATCCTGGGAACCCTTCTGATAATTCAAGAACACTCAGTTTGCAAGAAATTTCAATACCAGACTGAGCTGATGGTATTTCCATGACTCCAGATGCTTTAGAGGGGAATTGTGAAACTGTCTGTGATTCATTAAGAGCTGCACAGAAAATCTGGATTTAAAGTGCCAAGGAATCTGACTGTTGCTGGGATAGCAAACACACAAGCTGTGCTGCTCAAGATGGTGTCACTGCAAACACAAGCAAGGTACTGGACACTTCAAAGTCCTTTCTGTATTATGTGAATAAGAAGACATGCAGCCCTACATGGTGACAAGAAGATCCAGTATCTGATGCTAGACAGAGCTCTTGTGAGTCTTCTTCTATACTTTCTGGAGTTTAAAGGTTTCTGATTACACCAACAGAAAGAAGAAATTCATACAAGTTGGTGCAAAAGATCAGTCTTTCAGCACCAAAAATGCTTTCTAGCTGCTGATCAAGAAGTGACAGACATAAAACTGTCCTTTAACAGGCTGGCCATTTAGACTTAGAAGAAAATTTGTTCACAGCAGAAAAAAGGCAGCAAGTGGAAATGTGGTGAAAGTTGAACCTAAACTACGTTTTGCTGCAAGGGAGTTTTGGCAACAACTTGAAACAGACTTTGGAGGAAATTGTTATTATTTAATGGACATTAAATATTTCTTCCTGCAGGGACACTAAACGAAACAGAACCTTGAGCACTGATAATATTGCATTTGTTCAGTGTCCCATTTTGTAAGGTATTGGTAAGTTAGCTTATTTTATAAATTGAGGAAGTAGAAGCCTAAAGGATAAATGTTGACAAGGAAGATCAGGAAAACTATATAGATTATTACATATTATTAAGTTCAATTAATTTAAATGTCAATAAAATACCATCAATCCACCACTTCAATTCCATGGGGGTCTGATATAACAAGTTTCAAGGGGTGTTTGGAAGCATCAGCTCTACCATGGAAGTGTCTGGTCAAGAGCAATTTGTTGCAAATATTTTCCTTAATTACAATGTTGTGCCTTTTATTTACAAAGTTCCACTCAAGCAGTACAGCAATACAGGTGGCATTACACATTTTTGTTTCTGTTAGTCTTGTGCCTATGCAGTCTCTCTTTCTCACAGCAAAATGTCTAATTTAATCACTGCTTTAAATATATTTTAATTAAAGTATTTAAGGGTCTATTCTCCACCATTTTGTACCCTATATGTTCATTGTAATTGTTACTGCTGTTTCTATGCAACTTACTTAACAGTTTCAACTTAGAATGGTTTCATTCAGGGATTTAAACAAAACTTAAATTACCTTGCACTCTACCCCTCTGCAGCATTGCAACTTAAAAAGAGAACTCAACTTTATGGAATAAGATATGCTTATTAACACTAAACTCAGTAATACAGGCTTGTAAATATACCAGGAATATAGGCCAAAATTAGAAGAGAATATTTGCTATTTCATGCAAAATTTCCTAAATTAACCTGGTATTTGAGAGAGCAACTTAATTATGACAATTCTGAAGTTATTTTGAGTCAAACTTAACTAACAATATACCAATTCTTTGATTAAATTCTGGGGCAATTTCTATCTGAAGGTACATTTTTCAAGTATTACCAGGTGCAGCTGATGGCATTTCTCGGATGCCAGATGTTTCAGATCTTGAAGAAATGTGCTGACTTTCATCAAAAGCTGAAAGAAAATCTGGAGTTAAAATTAGAACTGGCTTCAGATCCCACAGTATTTGGCCAGTAGTTGGGCAGTTCAAGACAACATTGATGTGAGATCAAGCAAGGTGACAGCAGCTGTAAAGATCAACTGAGAAATGAGGTGTTAGATGAACACGGAAGCTGGTGAGAAATGAAGGAGGGCCAATTCCAGTAGCTCATGTGAGGCACTCTTCTTCCAAGTGGCCTCTTTTAAAAAGCACTTACTCTTTGAAAGAAAACTGCAGCGACCAGAAGAAACCTAGAGGCAACAAAAGCTAGCAGAGGTCTATTTGTGGATTGTTATTCAGACACCGTGGGGAATTATTTTCCAGCTTAGATCGCACAGAAATGGCTGAGTTGAGCAGAGGTGAGGGTGGAGTGTGGGGAGAAAGCCCAGCATCAAGCAGTCTTCGAAGCAACGTGTCTGAATGAACCTTGGCACTCTCCACAGCTGCTGGAAGGGATGGCAAGCAGTGGAAAAGCTAATGGAATTATAAGTTATTTACCCATCACGCTCCCTCTGGTTTCCATGGAGGGATGAGAAGTGCTTTTCAGGCCTGATCCCTGGGTAGCTAAGATCAAATATGAAAATAATCTTGAAGCAGTAAGTTAAATCAGCCTTTAGAAACGGTGATCTTCAGCCCTTAGCAAGGGACAAAAACTTATTTTAGATTTATTGTATACACACTTCTAATTGATATTTGTGGTAGCCTACTCCATTTTTGTCTCATGGGGTAATTTTCTTTTCTGGATACGTAACATTTAATCTCAGGCATTAGCTATTAGGCCAGCTGTCTGCGTCTGATTTTAAAATACTATCCAATAGCAACAGCTGACAGCAAACTTCTTCTCCCTACACTTTAGTTTGGATATCCCAGACAAGTTTTTTAAATAAGGAGTTGCAAATGCCCAACATTATTTTGATACAGTATGCACACAATTTTCACATAGGTGGTATCAAAATATTTTCCTACAAATTCATATTTTGGCCAAGAATCAGATTCTCCCTGCAACTGCACAAAGCTACTTTGATAGAAGCCGGACTGTTGAGACAGACCATCCTTTGCCAGAAAATGGCTTAAAAATACTTTGATGTTTTTCTGACAATACATTAGTACAAACACAAATGCAAAAACAAAATAAAAATCAGATTCTATCAGCCCTAACCATTTCCATTAGAGAAATTATGCAGCCTAGAGCATGAAACAAACATTTCTACGAGTAGTATTATATGAAAAAAGGAAGAGTGGGTACTCTTAATGTTAAGAACACTCATGATTTATTAAAGTGTAAGGCCAAGTAATAAGTAATCTAAGCAGCCCAGTTCTTTAAATCAAGAGAGAAGGCTGTGGTAACTCAGTGAGAACAATCCTGCAGACAGCAGCAAAGTCATGCCTGATAAACTGCTAAAAGTTTTCTGTCTAGTGAAGATAGAAATGACTTTGGATAGATAGAGTTCTCAACTTCAAAAGAAAACAAAAATCTTGCTTTCATGCAGAGGCAAGATAACTGTCAGCACCACCCACCAAGTATTAGTACAGCTGTGTTGTGTTTGTGTTCAGTGTGAATTCTGCAATAGATAAAAGCTTTTCTAAATTTATCTGTAAAGAGAAGCTAAAAGAACACTGACCAAACTGTAACCAAATAAGACTAGAGAAAACACAAATAGTGTATATATGCTGCAACTAGCTAATTTTCAGATGACAAACCATGTCAATGCTCATTTTCCCAGTTGCATTCGATTGGTCCCCAGAAAGAGAGTGATGTTTGATGCATTGATGTAATAAAATGTCACTTGTTAAATCATGCTAGCATGAACAGAACCAAGGATGAGAACCTCACAGCAACCTTCTACTATTTTTTATGACTATACTTTGGGAAAATCTCACACTTAAATACAAATGCAAAAATTGTGCCTAAAACCTATATTCTTCATGAATACATGGAGGGAAATAATAAATTATTAGCAGAAGTAACAGTAAAAATAGCTCTTAGGACCAAAATTCTGTACTGCAGCAGCCTTTTAAATATTAGAGACTACCTAAAAAAGTTATAACAGGAAGCCAAATTCCAACCAATGAATCTCTTTAAAAGGTGTCTACTAGATAAAGAAAAACATTTCCCCTGCAAAAGTTACCTGTTATGTTGATATCAAAAAATTCATCAAAGCCTGTGGGTTTCCACTTAAGTGCTAAATTCTACCCCACTGACCACATCAGAAGCCTTCACTAATACAATACTAGCCTGAAGGAGCTAGGTGGTATCAAGATCACCTACTTGAGGTTAAAACTGCCAGTTATACACTGGTAATTATTACAAATAACGTGAAGCCATAATGGACAAATGAAAGAGCGCTGGAGGCAGCATTAAAAATACAGGATATATAAAGACATTGGAATCCTACCATTTGAATATCAAGAAAAATCATACCACTTCAATATCAAGAAAAATAAAATAAATGCCATTTACCAGTCTCTTGCTCTGACATTTTTGCAGATGTAGTAGTTTGGGGAGTCGAGGTAACATGAAGAAAGTCATGTGAGGCTGGAAAAAATGGTGGCTTATTATTTAAAAAATACATGAACCATCACACCATGGCATCACCTGCAACCATGGACTCAATGGTTTAGAATTTTAAAAAGAAAGAGGCTAATAGGCAGAGATATGTAAAACCACACAAATATAATGTGAAAAATTAAACAGAATGACACAAGGAGTATAGGAATATGTAAAGAAATTCCCATATGCTTAGAAGGAATGCAAGATTAAAAAAGTACAAGAACACTGGCCAAGAGGAGTCAAGGAGAAAGCAAATTTATGAGATGAAGATACTGGAAAAAACCCAATTTAAAAATTTGGCAAAAATAAAAGAACATAAAAAGTGATTCAGTCAACATTGCCAGGCAGGGAAACAGAAATAAATATCCTTAGCCCAGCCAAATTTCTATGCCTTGTTATAAGTATCTGATTTCTCCAGTGTAAAAAACAAGAAAGCTCAGAAATTTACTTCAAGTAATGCAAAGTAGGGAATGTAAATTCCCTGGAAAAGATCCTGAAGTGTGTGAAATATCTCAGTTGATATGAAAGCAAGACTGCTCCAGAAAAAAGTGCCTAGGCACTTGATATTGGTAATTTCATTTTTAACTTGCACTCTGCTTCAGATTTTAGGCACACCAGCCTGCTCATGTTTATTACCCCATGGGCCACAAAATACTGCAAGGACACAGGACTGGTCTTGCACACCTGCCAGTGTGAAAGAAGCTGTTGCCACAAACACCTCCACCACTTTTGCCAAGTGCCATAGACAATGCCTGAACTAAATATGCTTTGCATGTATGGCCCCATTTATATCTACATTGAAGGTTTAGCCCAATACAGGCCCAAGAGAAATAACAGGCTGGCTAAAAGCACAATATCTCTTGAGACACTGCTGCATTGCATAGTTGTCAGATCTGCAAGAAATATTGTTAGTACCAGAGGCTGCCAGTGTCTTAAACCATGAAGAAACATCCCCATATTCACCAAAAACAGAAATGAGGTATCGATTTTAAAAAACATAACACAGCCTCAAAAGCAGCAGCAGGGCAGAGCATTCTCAGTTCCAGGTGAGGGCAATGTAAAGGCATGGGCAGAAGAAAACCAGCTGCCTTGAAAGTCAGTGGTGAGGCCACCAAGAGACGCAGCCTTGTCCAAGGAATGCCTAGAGGGGGGCTGAACTACTGCGGTGTGTTCTTGTGCCAGCCCAGCCAAGTTTGACTCTTAGGAACACTGTTTGAATGCATCAGAAAAAGCACAAAGAAGCAGGGGAATGGAGCTGAAGGCCAGGTGCAACAACGTGGTCTCTCTGCAGAGTGTCACATGCTTCCTGCAGAAAAAGCTCATCAGCCATGGGAAAAGCGTGGGATCAAACAATAGAATTGCAGAACCAGTGTGGCCAGTGCTCCGGCAAGCCAAGCTGCACCAACAAGTCTTCATCCTCTCCATGGAAGGTGACAAGGATGTGCGGTGGTTTGGGGTGGGAGGTGTGACGGGAAGTGAAGGAGATGGGAGACAATGGGCAAAGGAGGCTGTTGCTAGTTACCCATCACAGTTTGTTGAGTTGCCGGGGAGGAAGGAGTGCTGGACTTCGGCCTTGGTCTTCGAGGAGCTAAGATCAAACACAGAAAGCACCTTCAGGTCCTCACACAGGCTGCTGTCACACAGCTCACATGGAGACAGAGCTAGAAAGAGGGCACGTGGCCCTGCTTGGGCCAGGCTACCACGGCACGGCTTCACTGCCCATGGTGGCACCACGCTGCCTTTCAGCTGGCACTGGCAGCCAAGGCACGAGAGGAAACCTAGAAATGGTTCCACAGGAAATTTACGGGGAGAAGAGTTTTTAGTAAGGAGCCAGAAGGGTCCAGCCACATCACTGACCCACTCTTTGGGTCACCAGCACATTTGAACAGGCTCATCACTGCAGAGCAGAGCATTGCCAAAGGAAGCAGTGAAGGAGGGAATCTCTGGAATCTATTTACCCTTCCTTGTGGTTTCCCGTGAAGCAGGCGAGGTCGATTCCAGGTCTGGTCTCTTGGTCGCTACAGACACAGAAATGATCTTCAGATACCCACTCAGCCTTGCCACAGCAGTGCAAGCAGCAGCAGCTCACAGCCCCATAAATGTCTGTATTTAGGGCCACACGTGCCCTTTCCTGGCAGTACCTCGTGACTCAAAGCCACAGTCAAGTGCTGTGCCGTGGTTGCAACCAACACAACACTCCCTGAGCCTCAGTAGCTCAATGGCTCTAGAGCAGTAGAAAAATGCCAAAATATCCAGTTCACCAAACTACTCCTTACATTTCCTTGACAGATTCTAACAGTTCTTGCAGATATAACATGGCAACTAAGTATCACAACTATGCATTTAGAATTCAAGACCTGATCTCACTTTTCCCTCTAACCAATAAAACCCTTCATTCTATGGGCCAGAAATTACTGTCCTTGGCACTGATAAAACACACTGCAGAGAATTATCCCTCTGTATATACATGCTTGCAAGCACATGAAAAAGTAAAATTTTCCACAGAATTCTAGCATATCTTAAAACTTACACTTGTACAACTCAACATCTCTTTGTACACTGAAGAACAAGTCCCTTTACTGATCTCCTCATACTCTGCTATCCTAATTTTGCACAGGGAGAATGAACAACCGAATATATAAACCAGTGTCAAATCTGGGCTATGTGCACTCACTACCACTGTGCATATTTGCCCATTGTCTTGGGCTTGGTTTCAGGTTTAAGGGAGACAAGACTTGTTACAGTTAACTAACATGCCCTTGGATGAGGCTGGTGGCAATAAGAAAAGGGTGCTGAGGGATTCCTCTGGGATATTTTGATATTCCCAATATTTGGAAATGAAAATCCACCTTTTCAGGTAGGTCTCTTTGACTTATCCTTTTCTAGCAACATTCAATGACTCACTAACCAAAGTGTTTGCACCTGCTTAAGAACAGTAGATAAATCTTTTTTTCTGCCTGTGGAGGAGCTTTTCCAATGAGTAAAAGGAGTTTAACACATTAACACATATTTAACCATTCGTAACAACGGGCCTCTACACACACACACATATATATATATATATATAGGTATGTATATAGACACCCATATATACAAACTATCCTTCACAAGAAAACCCAGACAAGCTAATTTTACCAACACAAAAAAAAAGTAATGTTATTGTTGTAATATTTTATTTCCAATGTCTCAACGTTGCAGCAGATGCAACTAATTTCTCTCTCTCCAGCTTTATACAGAGAAAGTCAGATTAAACCCTCCATTTAGCAAAGCATTGCAGTGTCTTTTGAGAGACTGCCTGGATGTGAGGAGAACTAGAGAGAAGACAGAGAAGATATTACCAGCTGAGATTGGTGGCACTTCTGGCATGCCAGATGTTGTGAATCTTGAAGAAAGAGGCTTCCTTTCACCTAAATCTGGAAAGATAATCTTGTGTTAAAAGGCTTAATTGCCCCAGAGCTACCTGAATAACTAAGGACTTGGGGAACAGATGTTGCATTGTTAAAATGGAAGCAAAGGGAAAATTGCTTGCAAGTCAGCTGGGCATTAGTCTGTCTCATGGACTATTAGGCTGTTATGAAAGTCAATGTGGAAACCAGGCGACCTAATTATTCATAGCAATGAGAATTCATATTTTTACCTAACAATCTTAGCACATAATGCATGGCAGAAAGTAAGAAAACACCTCTGGATCCAGAAAGTGGTCAGGGGACCAGCCTTTTTATGGAAACATTACACAGAAATAAGAGTAAGTTTTTTATTCCCTCTCACAATTAAGTTTGCTCAGAACAGGAAAAAAGCCCCAAAATTAAGAAAGGCAGGTCCACAGCTGAGTATGTTAATAATGAGAAAACCAAACACAACTAGCTAAAGAGAACTCTCCTCTTTGCCTCTGATCCTCTATCTACGAAGATGAATAATGAGTGCAGATGAGAATCTAGTTCAGTAATCACACAATAAGCTCTGTAGTATTATAGGCATGGATATTTCCAAATCATTACTATCTCTAGCTGAGTAACCAAACCTGAGAAAAAATTTCATGTAAGTAAATTAAGAAGGAACATCTGGTGGAGAGAAATTTTACTTTCCACTACTCTGCAAAACATTTATTATTTTTTACTTATTTATTTAAAAATTAACCCCCTTTGTCTGTTTCAAATACTATCAGTAATTACTTAGCTGAAGATATTAACTTGGGCATCCTCACCTACCTAAGGCTACACAAAAAACAATCTATTCCCAAAGCTATAACTCAAAGTATAGCTTAGTTGGTAAGGTCTGGCCTTAGCTGTGTTGACTTATTTTAATACAATATGTAGGAAAAAATCACAGCCAACTGTATGTGAAAAATTGACAAAAAATCTAACCATTGAAAAGCATGGTCTTGACTGGAACAGCCTTCAGCCCTGGAAAATTTAAATCTTTTCCTGACACACATATCTTTGATCAATACTGCATTATTCTGCAAGCCAGTTGCAGACTTGCTTTAAACTTGTGCTCTGCCTGATCATGGCAATGAGGATGCTGATACAGGAGTTGAAAAAATAAAATGTAGGGCAACACCCAAGGCAAGCAGTATGCAGTAGCTGTCTGAAATCATCAACATGGAAACAGCAATGAACTTCTAATCACCAACCAATCAAAAGGGTATGCTTCTGAAAGAATATTATTATAATTTACCAGTGCCAGGCATTTCTGAGGACGTAAAAGTTTGGGGAGTAGAAATAACATGAAGAAAGTCATGTGAAGCTGGAAAATAAAAGCAAAAATAATGTTGTATTGTTTTGAAGTGACAAGAAACCTTCTGCAACAACATCATATTCCTTCATTAGCTGACAGAACTTCTGTGTAATATTTAACACATTATATTCCACAGACAGGTAGAGTCTGAAATGTACAATAACTGATTAAGTGTGACTTGAAAATGATTTCCAAAAAGATGCATTAATGCATAATGTATTTTATGACCAAATTGTTACCAGACTCACACAAAAAGTTGAAATACTGAGTTAAAAAGTGGAAATACAAGGCTATTCAAAATAGGAGAACAAATTATGAATAAAAAGTAGCAAACTGTGACTGCATGGAAATTTTTTCCTAGGATCAGGAAGGAGGATATCCTGGTGTTGAAACTAGAGAAGGAAAAAGAGTGACAAAACAGGAACTGGACCAAATGAAACATAGAAGCTGCCTTTTGTCAGATATATGAACAGCCGATTGTTGTAATCTATTTCCCCCTCAGTAATGGATTTCCTTCAATGTTAATTTCTTCCAAAAACATATGCGTCAGGAATTACACTATTGGCATGTTAATGAAATTAAATCCTCCCAACTGGCTCTCATCTTAATATTTTTTCCTTCTTTTGGAAGACTGTCAGTTGCCCCAGGCAAATAAAATCTCTAAATAAGAGAAACACATAATAGAAATTCTGTAAGGACCAACTAGAAAGCATCTGAATCTTCAGTGGTACGTTTTTTATAGTGCCAGTTTAGAAATCTGGGCAGAATTTTGGCTATGTTTATACAGAAAAGCTAAAAGAAGAGCCATAGTTTCAAGATACGTTGGAATTTCTTCAATTTCCACTCATGTTTTACAACTCAGAATCCTTCAGCAAATCAGGATATTCTATTTATGAAACTCAGCTGTGGACAGTCTTATTTAAATTTGATATTTACAGTAAGTCAAATTTAATTTTAAAACTAAGAATTACATGCTGTTGCCAAACATGGAAAATCCCCCTAACCACTAGTTTAGTATTTCACATAAAATGTCATAAAGAGATCTGATACTTGATGCAGCACTTTCATACCTCCAGTTATTCTTAATTTATGTCAAACTGAACAAACCATTTCATGAGGGGCACTATGTCTCCTCCAAAAATTCTCAATTGTCAGGAGGATTAACCTCATGAGAAACCATTACCGGATCGGGTTGGTTGCACTTCCATGGTACCAGACGGTTTGGATCCTGAAGAAACAGTTTGCTTTTCCTCAAAAGCTGAAAAAAGAATCTAAGCTTAAAATGCTGAGAGAGGTGTAGTTTGATGGATTAGCATCAAACAGCTGAGTGAAGGCTGTGCATTTCCAGACAATGCTAATGCAAAGCTGAACAAGATGACAGATGGCCTCAAGTGTGATATGAGACAATGGCCCCAATAAGGGGAGGAGATGGCTGGAAAAACAGGTTTCTGGCCTTGAAATGCAAGTGCCACATGCTTGAAAGAACTCTTACCAGCAAGGAATTCTCTCTTATTAAATTTCCTGGGTAAGAGCTGCAGTTATGCCAAAAGAAATAGGATGATGACAAGATACGGCAACACTGTTTTTAGGCAGTTTTTAAGCTGACAACAAATACATTTTTCAGGCAGTTACACAGACACAAGAATGGTGAATAAGCAGCTCTCTATGAATGTTGGTAGCCAAGATTAACATTTGCAGGTCCACATGACTCCAAGATAATAGAAAAAACATCATGGAACTAATCTTCTAATTACCCTTTTCCATCTCTCTCGTTTCTGCAGAAGGTAGAGATATGGGTTTCAAGGCTGGCCTCTGAGTAGCTAAGAGCAAACATGAAACAATTTTATCATTCCAAGACAGACTCTTCTGGCAAGTGATACAAAACCTAATTTCAGCTGTAACTAACAAAGTTTTTTTTGTTTGAAGGTCCCTTTGTTCCATTAATTTCTACCCATTCATATTTAGCATACCCTATTTAATCAAGCCAAATCCTTATTGCTTAAGAGGATTTTATTCCCAGTAAGGCAGCTATATCTAATATAACCCAATATTAGATATTCACACCACTTGCAGGTCTCTAGTCACTACTACAATATATATAACTATTTTTAAAGGAATTGTAATGGCAAAAGATAAGAGTAGTACAATGAAATCAGAGAAATAATTGCTGAAGTTAGTAAATGACACCTACTATCTGTTATCTGTAATGAGGATTATTACAAAGACCTTCTGGCTTCTTTACTTGGAAGCATGGATAACCCGAAGTGTGCTTTAATGAAAATGGAGTCAAGATGGAATTGGGCACTCTTACCTAAAAGCCATCATGAACAAGCTTCCACCATGTGCAGGTTTTGCACTACTGTCCTGCCACTGATCCTACTCAGCTGTGTGTACTGGTCAGTAAGTATTTTTCTTTCTGTTAAAACCCCCATTCAAATAATTAGGGTTCATTTCTAGTACAGAAAATATGAATACATGCCAAAAAGTGAACAGACTTTTTCATACATTGGATCTGCTTTCCCATTTACTTTTAATCCACTTTATCACATTAAAAATTTGGATCCCAGGCTACTACCCTGGTATAGTTGGACTCAGCAGCTGGACCAGATGATCATTGCAGGTCCCTTGCAAACGGAACCATTCTATTCTATATTTATAGAGAAGAAAACACTACTAACAAAGCCATATGATTCACAGCTTTTGGCAAAGTCTTCCATTGATCCACTTACATCCACTAAGAACTACAAGAGATCTCCCAAAGGCATCAGAACATTGAAGGCATGTTCACAAAAATATCTTTTCATAAACATTTGGATTCAAAATATACTGACCACACAGGAAGTTTACAAACCAGAGGAGAGATCTCCCTCCAGCACAATCAAGATAGAAAAATAAAGAAAAAATTCTTCAGGGTGACTAGGGCAGAATACAGGTCAGGTGCAGCTGAAATTCATAAATTAAATTTTGCTTTCTTTGCTGGTTTTATGATAGCAGGTGATCAAGGCATGCAGGGTCACAGTGCAGAGAAATCTCCTCTGTATAACCATGCTCTGACTCTCACAGAATGTCTTTGACTTCAACAGTGATTTCATGGAGAGGACAGATGCTCCCTCTGTCCCAATGGCTGGGCCTAGCCTCACATAATGAAATCCCACTTTTGCCAAGTGAAATTATTCTAAGGGAATGGAGGATGTGAGAACAAAACCATAATAAATACTTGAATGAAACACTTATTTTTTCCTCAAATATTGCTGTTATTCCACCTTTACCACTGAAACAAACATAGGATTAGGTTATTATTCTCTTATTTCTACAGAAAGAAAAAATACTTCACATCCCTAACAATTTTCAGTTTTTCAGTTACATTTATAGCAAATAAGTTCCTAAATAATTATGTGTCTCTCTCTTTCCAATGCTACTTCTAATTGGATTTAACCAAATGTCTTTCACTGCAGTGAAATCAAATGTCTGTCCCCATCCCCTCAAACGTATCTGGAAAAGAGCTGTGAAAAAAAATCTACCAAATGAAGAACAAATTGTGAAGATTATTTTCATGTTCTTGAGAATCTGCTTCAAATATGCATTTCAAGAACTATGAGGCATTTCTGGAAATGATTTTAAAATCTGACAACCTACATTTAGCAAAAGTATGCCATCCTAATAAGCCAGCATTATTCTGAGACTTCCTGACTAATGCTTAATGAAATATAAATGAACCTGATTCAAGGGCCCTCCAGGTAACTAGTGTAATACAGAGAGCAGCAACAAGCAATAGTTTCGGTAGAATGAGCTATTTATGACTAACACAGAGAAAACACAGGCCTGTTATGAAATCAAGGTCATGAGGAAGGGAGACACAGGGTACAATGTAGAGGAGAAGAGGCATGAAATGGTGAGAGATGGGACTAGGGTTGGCATTTGACACCTCCTGCCACAAACACCTCAAAAAGGTCTGTTGTAAAAACTGCGGACTTGGAACTGGACAAAAATTAGTTTAGGGTAACAACAAGGACACAGAAATGGTATCTACCATTCACAAAATGCCCCCTATGTGGTGAGCTCACATCTGAGATGTCTCCCAGCAGCAGAAAGTAAGAAAGAAGGGAGGAAGAAGAAAACATCCACATAAACATCATGTTCTTCCCAGCACAGGACTCCAGATGCTCACAGCTTGATGAAATATCCCCACTTATCACCAACACAAGCATCAAAGCACTGAGCATAGGGCCCAGTTATGTAGTGAAAGGGCGTAAAAAACACCACAAAAAGGGTACAGTATAAGAAGTTTGTGTGTTACTCCTTTAATTACATTACTTGCCCTATTGGAGCAGACTCTGTGAAGATAATTTTTCACTAAAGTTTACTCGTATTTGAAAAGAAAGTAGTTACCAAGTTCTGTCAATGGACTTTTTGGAGCATCAGGGAATCTGGATCCAGAAGGAAGTAGCTGTATTTCGTTAGAAGCTATGACAAAAAAATAACCACAACTTTACTTGATTAAAAATACTACAGAGCACAACATGGATTTATATTTGGCTTATGGAGTACTCACTCCTGAAAATAATGATAATTAATAAAAAAGAAAAAGTAGTTCCAACCTAGAGAAAAAACACATAAATTGTCACTTAAAAAGGTATGTGGATTATGAAGGAATTCCTTTTTCTCCTAAATGTTAAACAAAGACCTATCAATCATGTGAATTTGGCAATGAACATCTATCAGTAACTATAAGCACCTAGTTTAAAATTAATGATCCATCTTGATTAGTTTTCATATTTTAATCCTTGAAACATAGGAAAACCAAGGAATGTTGAGTATGGTTAAAAAAAGCTGATTAAAAGTTAAAATGAAATTAGATTGACTGTTGGTTTAGCTTCAGTAAATTCTGGAAATCTGCTGTCAAATTTAAATGAAAAAGAAAAAAGTGCAAGACATTAACATGAATCAATAGGATTGTGTAAAATGCATTTATTGAGAAGCATTGGCAGTCCTCTTCATGGGAAGACCTGCATTTCAGTCCTGCAAACATTCCTTGTTCTTCCCTTTATCACACATCCTCCTGAATGCAGGCCAGCTGTGCTTTAGAAAAATCTAAGCAAAGTTTTTTTTAAAAAAAGAATTAAGTACAACTTCAAGTTTAGATTTGTCCTCAAAATTTTGCATGGCTCAGGGAAGAAAGTACAAGCAATAAAATCAACATTCGAGAATTTAGAATTCTGAATACCGGAACTAAATCACAAAACTAACCATACAACATTGGGACAAAAAATGAAAAAAATCAGTAGTGCTTCTCTCTCCTTCAAGGCAAATACAATTATATCCCATCACATGCAATATAAAATCATTCTTATTCATTGCTGTTAGTGTTACCTAAATGAACCTGTAATCAGAAGAAAATCAAGGAGGTAATTATTTAAATTCTATCACTGAGGTAAATTTTACAGATAGAAATTTTAAGTTATGTCAAACATGCAGATCACATAGACAGAAAGCATTAATTTGAAAAATGAAATTGAATCATGCAGTCAAATCTGTGGAAGCCACAGTTTAGCCAGAGCTAGGTGCATCCTGCTTTACAACTCATTCCAGCATTAGTCACTGGAACCACAAAAGAAACCAGAATATTTTAATCAGGACTTCCTTTGGAGCCAACACAAAAAGGATGCAGCAAGTAGTAGAAAAATTCTGCTGGAAATAAAAAAGCATTTAATGCAGAAAGAATGTAAAAAGCAGCAAAATTAGTTACCCGGTATGTTTTGAGTTTGCACCAATTTGGGTTTGGGCGTTGATTTAAAATCTTCAGGTCCGTGTGTTTTCTCAGCCTGAGCTAAAAGAAAGAAGCTTAATGTAATTTAAAATCCCTCTGAACTTTTCTTGATCTACTGCCCAAAACTTGATGCTTTTCTTATCACCACTGCATGTCATATGACTAGAGTGATTTCTACAGCAGCTCAACTGCATCATGATTAGTATTTACTTTTGTTTTCAGATGTGAAATCTATATGACGTTTTGGATTTATTTTGCAGCAGTTTTATATGAACAAAAGAAAATATAAGTCATGAACAGCAAGGTTAAGGTCAGAAACTCACCCTGTACTTCTGTTACAGCCTCTTAAATTCATTGTAATTGATTATGAACAAGATCCATTACATCACAAAGTCTATTTACAAATATTTTCCATGTTATTCTGAATGGTTTTTAATCCTTCTAATATAAAACTTTTCAGGAACATGATACTCACCTGTAATATCTCAGCTCTTTCAATTTTCTAGCAATTATAGAATAGATTTTAATTCCCATTCATTCTCCTAATTCTACATTTTTAGAGTTATACATGGGCAGTTTATTAAACAGCCATTAAATGTACCTAAACTGAATTGCTGGCCATATTTTAATATACTACTGCATAACTATACTCTGCCAGCAGTTTCACATAACAAATAATACCAGGAGTAAGTCAGTCAAGATCACTTCTTTCCTCTGCATCTTGCTGGAGATCCCAGAGGTGTTTAATCAGCCATAAAGTACTCAGAATTGGACATCTAAGATTGTAAAATGACAGAGCTTATGGATATGGAACACAGAATGGTAAGGTCTCAGCCTTGAATGCACAAGCACATTAATGCCCTCCACAGAGCAAACTGCACAGTATTTAGCACAAATTGCTATTTGGAAGAGATCTTGGCATCAATACGGCACTAAGTTTTAGTATTAATTTAATAAAAGGTGACTTTCTTTTTGAGCCACATTAAAGGACTCTTTGGCTTTTCCTGCATGCTCTTCAAGCTTTTCTCACAATCTACTTAATGCGGTTAAAGCAAGAGCTGATCATGGAGGTTTATAAGCTTCTTATTTCATTTAGTGAAAAAAATGTTTCCCAAATTCTAAATTGGATGCTATTACGGTTACAACAGTTACACTATTTTCTAGTTTGGAGCATGTGCCACACAATCTGGAACCTTTACAGATGCTGCCTTCTTAGGGCTCAGTACAGCTTCTAAGTCAGTTATAGTGCTGTTACTCTCATCAGTGCAAGGATGTCATCATCTGTCCATCATCATGATCATGACAACATCACGTGTCCAGAATAAACACCATTTTAACATAATTTGCCTTAAAACATCCTTAGTATATGGGAAACCTAGAGTTTTGGAACTGTCTCATAATTTGAAGGGCAGGGAAACTGAATTCTGAATTCTTTGCTAGTTTAAAGTCCCATAAGACTTTTCTTTCCTATAAAATTGGATTTTGTTTTGTGAAGATATGTAGAATCTCTTGAACCTGGTTGTACCTCAGGATCTTGAAAAGCTTTCAAGGAACATAGATACTTTTCATTGTCCAGAGAAGGTAGAGCAATTTCCCTGTTTGAAACTTGTGGGAGAGAATTCACTCATAAGAAACACTGAAGCAATAACTAACTACCTGTACCTCAGGAGCAGTCCAAAATCTAACATTTCTTATTGAGAGGCAATAATAAAAAAAACCCAAAAAACAAAAAACAAATACAAACAAATACAAAACTCATGATGTTTAGGATTTAGGGTTTTTTAGAGGTCAGAGGGTTTGCACTCATATGAAATGTATCTTATCTGAGCAAGCTGATCAAGATAAAGCATGTCTAGAATTAGAACAAAACCAAGCTCTCCATTTTGCACAAAACATGGCAGGGATGACATGAAAATAAGAGACATTTTTGTTAAAAAGAAGACACAGGAAGAAGAAAGTTTAGGCTCTGAAAGCTAAATCAGAGAAAAGAGAAATGCCTCTGACTTTTCCAGGGCAGCAGGCAAGCTAGGCCTATTGCACTTGTTCAAGGCTACCTACAAAGTCAAATATGAACACAGCCAAGTTGCTTTATCATCACAGCATGGAATACAGCAAGAATGCACCTGGGAAATGCTTCTTAAACTGTTTCCTCTAATTTCTCTTGACCCTCTTTTCATCTACATCTGGAATTAAGACATTCGGATGAAAGCATTAATCTCATTCCTGATATAACCTGTGAGCACAAGGGGAACTCTTCAGGGGGCAGAAGGAGGACAGGAGGAGCAGAACTTGAGAAACATGGCAACAAAGGAGTTATTTCAACAGCATATTAATCCTAGCTAATGGATTCACAGGTGGCACTTTTCATTTCAAGCCTATTCTGTATTTCACAAATCTAATTAATTAAATTAGTAGAATAACCCTCCACATAATGAAATAACTAGGTTCTTTTTTTGTTTCTTTTGTTGTTGTTGTTGTTGTGGTGGTGGTTTTTTGCTTGTTTAAAAAAATAAATAAAAGAAACTAGTTCTTTCATCTCCCAGACTAATGTGCTCATATTTCTAAGGGCTGGTGAGCTCCAATTTCCCTGTGAAGTTAATAGAAAGATGCATTTAGAAGAGAAAATGTTGTAGCCATAGTTTGAGGCATATTAGACAACAATTCAAAGATTGAGGAAAGCACTAGAGATCTGTGCTGTTGTGTTAAGAATAAATTAGTCCTGAGTGGAAAATATTGTAACAAGCCTGGCAAAAACAAAGAATTAAAGAGCTTACTAACAAGTCTTTCCATGGAAATGCATGCCAAGGGAGTGGAGGATTGAAATTAAGAAAATGATGGGATGCCTGGTGGACAAATATACGAAAAAAAAAGTTACTAAACTGTGTCACATCTCAGAACACACCCTTTGATAAAGAGCCAGTGGAATACAAGAGCAGCCCAGCTCACAGAGCCTTTCAGAAAGACTGCTTGCTAAAACACTTGGAGCTCCTTTCTTCCTTTCTAGCATGGCTGATGACACAAGAGCTGCTACAGCACAGAGCTCCTTCTAAATCACTGCTCTGTTGCCAGTCTGGCACCAGTCCTTAAATCTTCCACAGCAAATAATTATTATACCTCACTCAAAGAAGCCAGTGTAATTTTTCAAATAGCAATGTCTGAATGAAATATGATGAGGTAGGTCCTATTGCTAAACTCAATTAATTATGTCTATATACTAAACTGTCTTTTAAATGCAACCCTTGCAAAGGGTTGGTGCTCAGATCTCTCACCTAAATTACTCATAAAAGAATAATAAAGCATTTTAGCCAGACAAGTTATTTTTTCATATGCCATGGCAAGATAGAATTACACTCGAAGAACATTTTTCTTTTAAAGGATTCACTTTCACTTCCCTGTTTCCTGACTTCCTTTTTTTTTCTCTCTTTAAGTGAAATACTGTAACCATAATGGAGTGTGATATACTCTAACATGAGGCACTGGTGTTGAGATTAACAAATAATATCTGAAAGGAATGGTCACCACAGGGAAAAAAGCCACAGAAGCCACAAAGGAAGCTTGAAATGGAAGAGGAAAATTATTCTAAATATTTCAGTAACTATTGGTGTGAGAACAGTAAGAATGTGTTTAGTTGTAACAAATTGTAACTAAATTGATGCAAGGAGAGACAGTACTTGCCGCTTATTACCAGCACAATAAAACACTCTCCAACTTCATAAACATGCAATTCTGTGCCATGTCAAGACATGACAATATTTATGGTTACAAATTCTACATGCTGGTACATAAATATAATTACAGAACACAAAGGAAAGGAAGTGGAATGGACCAATGCTCTCCTCCCCAGCTGCCACATTTCACACTCTTTAGATGACTGAACAATACATCTCATCAATGATATATTTTGATTAGATGAATGCAAACTTCAGGGCTGGGATTTGAAGACATAGATTCTGACAGGGAACCAACCATATAAAATGTATTCAGTTCTCCCTTTCACAAAAAATGGTAAAGTTCTAGAAAATGTGCTTCCATATTGCCAGTTCTTAAATAGCAGTTACTTAAACAAGGTAAATAATCTAGTAAAAAAATTTAATTCCACAAGAGACCTTGAACTGTAAGAGAAAGCAAATCAAAAGCAAACCAATCAAACAACCTAAAAAGACTCCTTACAACTTTCTAAAAAGGATCCACACATTTTCAATGCATCCTTTGATAATAAGTTCCTGTGAAGAGGCATAATTTTTTTCCCCTCTTAATATTTAGGATGAACAGATAAGAGCCATCTAGGTTTTGCAGAAAGGAAGGAATAGTTTAAAGTAGAATTTGGCAAATATACTTATCTATTGAGTAGAAAATAAAGTTCTAACATCTTCACAGAAGAAAAAAGGGTTAGTCTGAAAGATTATTGTCAATAACATGATTTTGCTGCATTTCTTTACATCTTTTTAATTCTCTGTGTATTTTTGGGAGGGTTTTTTATTCTGTTGGGTTTTTTTTGTTTTTTTTAAAGATTAAGATGGTATGATGAAGTTAAGCATAGCATTTTTATATACTTAAGGAATAAAATAAACACAATCATATTTATATGATATTTATAGTTAATAAATAATATTTAATCAATTAATATTCAGGCAGTATCTGCCTGAATTGTGTGATGTCAAAGAAACCACATGGAATACCATTTCATCCAGCCAGGAAAGACTTGATAGATAGAAAAGAGTAATGCCAGCAAGATCACATAAAATGTCTATACCAAACCAAAGCAAACCTTGGGTCGTCATTGTTTCCTCAAATACCTTTTTAATTTTAAATTCTTGCCACTGTTCAAGCATCCCTTTTTCCTTTCAGCAAAGAAATTGGCAGAAGCCAGCTATTGTCTCTTGTGACAGCAGAACCAAGACTTCAGACTCAGTTACAGGATTAGAGCCAGACTATAGAAAATGAAGACAGGCATATGCCTTTTTAAACAATTCTGAAATGTGGGTCAATAAAGTAGATGAAAAGTTAATCTTCATTATTTGTCTCCGAAAAATTCAGCTCTTTCCAAGCCTCCTCCCCACACCAGGCTGAAAATGTTAAAATATATGTCTGAACTTGAAATACAAATTTATAAAGCAGTCTGTGTTACGCAAAAAAAACCCTCATTTTGTAATTTTTCACAATTTCAAGGCATCCACCATGTCACAAATGAAATTAATTCTAAGTACTTTTATAAACCTAATGATTATATCACCTGATATAAACTTTTGTCCAAAATTAGATTCAAATTTTTATCCACATTTTACCACTCCTTGCTAATTCAGCCACTATCCTCTGGTTTTCCAACTACTATTTTAACTGTAGATTAAGCAGCACAAAGACGGATTTAATTTTAGTTTATATATTTGGCAAAGATATTCCACAGAGTTTCTAAAAACAGAATTTTCATTACCTGGAAGGGACTGTGGGGAGATTTCTTGAACTTCTGGTGTTTTGGATTCAGCAGGCCATACTCCAGTTTCATTCTTAGCTAAAAGAACAGACATTAGAGAGTAATTACAAAGATGTATCTGCTCTCTTTTACCACAGATTTATTTCTGTCCCACTTTAGTTTGACTAAGTAAGCCAACATGGATAAATATGGACAGCTGAGTACCTTTGGACCCAGTGAACTTCCACTGCACAATCATGCTATGTTAAACACATGCATTTTTGGTTTTGTTTTGTTTATTAAAAGATACTTTAAAAATAAAATATACAGCAAGGATTTAATGACCTATGAATAATGATTTTTACAGTGCAAAATTGTTTTCAGCATTTTTCATTTGTCTAGCATTTCTGCTTACCCAGTTTTTTCCTGGATGCTTGAGGTATGTCATCTATTGTCAGGAGAGGAGGAAGTTTCTGCTGACTTTCATTGAGACCTGGAACAATAAGGTGCACTGCAGAGAAAGATGTGTGCCATTAATTCCAGAAGACATGAAAGCACACAGCCTGCTCTCTGAGATATGTGAGCAACTACTACCGAACCACTGGGAGTTTATTTTGAATATCTGGAAAATGAGTTTGTTCTATCCCGTAATTTTCTCTCCCACTTAGTGCTATTTCCCCTTTATACCCCTCCTTCCATCTCCACCATTTCATGATTTATCAGAGTTGGAAACTATTCAATACTGGAACACAACCCTGGAATACTGCAGCATTACAGATACTGGGACAGATTCTGTCTGGTGGGCCAAGTAGGCTCAACACCAGACAGGGTTAGTATGTGTGTGTTTGACTCACATCAACACACTGAAACCCACACAAAGAAAACTTAAGCCAAAGTTGTGCAGTCATATAAAATATTTCCATAAATAAAGGACTAAACAACAAATCCAGGAATAAATTGGTCACAAGGTACATGATGCAGTGAGCCTTTCATGGCAATTTCAGGCAGACCAGTAGTTCACCACATTGTGCACGATATGACAGACTTTCCCCTGGTTTTATGTTCTAAGCCAGTATTGCATATTCTTATAGGTGAAACAAAAATATAAAGCATGAAACTGAATGGCTTGGAGGGAAACAGTAATGCCCTGAGGTCTGACATCAAATTCTCACTGGCAAGATTTCTGGAGTTTAATATATCAGGGTTTTGACTGTAGATGTGATGTTACTGTCATTTGATGTTATGATGAATTCAGCATTTGATGTTACTGCTACATTAAAAGCCCAGTAAGAACAATCCCTCATCTCAATGAGATCTTTGCCATAGAACTTCATTTGAACTATGAAACAACTCCTTGGCTTAAACAGTAGCAGTGTTTTCTTTTTAATACAATGACAATAAAATGAATCTATATCACTTAAGCTTTAAAAATATTTAACAACATTCATAAGCCATCTGTACCACCATAAAATGGAACAAATACTGTCTGCACCAGCTGCAAAATACCCTTTGATATGCAAGGAAAAACTATTAAGATCAAGAAAATTAAAAGCATTTGCAAAATTCTAAGTTGCAACCAGGGGTTAAGAGAAATGATAAAAATATCTTTTAGTCACCTAATATTGCTCCTGGGAGAGAAGAACTATCTGGTGCTTTTGACTGTGTCCGATTTTGAATAACTGTGGAGACAACACAGGGATGTTAGAATACAATTTAAAAAAAAAAAAAGGAAATAAGAAATAACAAACCTCAGCATTCTAAAAAGCTTTCCTCAATATTTGCAGATGAGGACACCATCCTAATCTTTTTATCAATTTTGTGAAACTGGCATTCTACGCTTATGTTATTGTAGGGCCAGCTGCAGGACATCCCATTGCCCTGACACTCATTTTAATCTCAAATTACTCTTGCAGTGTATAAGAATAAATTTTTAAAAATACACAAACTTACTTTGTTTGATTATTGTGACAGGGACCAACTTCTTATTATCACTAAATATAATCTGAAAAAAAAAAAGAAAGAAGAAAAAGATAAAAGTAGCGCCTTGGGATAACTGCCATAATAGTAATTGAACTGAGTAATAAAAATAGAGGGTTCTAATCCAATACCACGCCTGTCCCAAGTTAACACTGGATATGAATCTGGCCCTGGTCCCTGATGGTTGTGCTATTGCTTCAGTTCCCACAGGCTAATGTGGTAATATCACATTTTGATCATCCTTCTACCAGCTTGAGATGTTTTACTTATTAAAAACACAATATTTGACATCTTAGGAAACCCCAATTCTTTTTTCTCTTAAGGATATCTGGAGCACTCACTGAGGTGTAGTCCAGAATGCTGAGAAAAGCTGAAATTTAACTACAGCAAAACACCTCAAACATATGCAATTACTGTTTGGTCACAGGACACCAATATATTCTCAGGAATACCATATTTAGAACACAGACTATTCCAGAACCAGGTTCACATTTGTTAACCATCATCACTCTTGGGTACACAGCCTGATTAAAGTAGATTAGCTCAGAATAATTTTATTTATTTATAGTGGAATTGTTTCCAAATCACAAGTGGTCAGCCACCCCACATGAGTCTTACATTTTTATGCTAAATACTTGGACTTTTATGCTGTTCATTTCTCTTTGACCCAAATTACATCTTGCCTAAATGTGAATATCTAATTATATTGATTCCACTAATAAAAAAGGAATACATGAATGGACCCCAAAGTTACTAAAAGAAAACATAAGAATTATGAAAAAATTCTGAATGCTCAGTAATACACTCAAGCGATGAGTGACTGTAATGCTAACAAAATAAAAATGCTAAATATATTAAAAGGGGAATTTTTTTAGTTATATTTGAGTTACAAGAAAGAAAATAACTCTGACAATCACCTTCCGTGCTAAATACATTCTGTTCAAATCAGAATCAGATAATGTTAATTTTGCACTTCATGACAGCTGGTCTACTTCATGTGAAAGAACACTTGCATGAAAAGTCAGCATTTGACGACAAAGTGCTAACCATTTACCTAAGGATAGCTATTTTTGTTCTATTCTAAATACTTCTGAAAAGCTTTAAAAACAGTGATTGGGATACTTTAAACATACCAAAGTTTAAGCTGGGTGAAGACCAATCTCCACAAGTAAGATGGACCTTTCCTTGGGGAAATGGGTGGAGGCTACTTATTCTATGAAAGCCATTACTGTCTGCCACCCAATAACAGTATTGCATTGGTGTGAACGTGGTCTTAAATTCAGTGGAGATTTCAATCACTGCCATTATATGAGAATAGAAATAATCTTCTTTCTTTATTTTTCCTTTTTTACATTTCCATTTTGTTTTCTAGTGAAAAAATTGTGTTGCAGATGATCTGCTTTTGAAGTAGTCCTCTTATTCGTGTGACTAAAAAATGGGATTGAGTGCATTTGTTAGAATAAGGTGTTCATTTTATTGTATTTCTCATCAGAAGCCTTACAATCAAACAGTTCTGATGTTGTAGAGAGCATTTGTGTAACCTCTGCTGTAGAACTTTTAATCATAGTTACTATCAGCTCTTTTACTAGTAAATGGTTCTTTTAGTGACAAGAGCATTCTTTCTCTGTTGAATAATAATACATGGCTAAAATGATAGCAATATAAAAATACCAAATACATTTAAAATGTAGTTTTTCACTCTGGAATGGATGATTGACATGAAATCCATGTTCCCCAGCTGCTATAATTAGACTGCTCAAAATAATATAAATATATTATAAATAAATAAATATATTATAAATAAATAATGCTGCTATAATTAGACTACAAATCTGCAACTGCTGCACTTGAAATCTACCCATGTTGTCAAAGCTTTCTTCTCATTTTCCACAAAGTGACTAATTTAGATATTCCTAGGGCTAGTAATATTTTCTACTTATACAAACTATTTTGGAAACATCAGCCCATCATCTGTAGAAATGGCACTATCAATCATATTTTTTAGACAAGGAATATAAAACATTCAGGCATTTGGAATGTTAGTTATTGAGACAACTGTTACCATCATGAAAGAAGATGACAAATAATATTCCTTATTTTCAGAGGAAAATTAGAGATGTAAACTATACCATAGGTCAGACATCTCACTTTTTATCATATACATACAGCATATACTCACAGGACTGCAAATCTCAAATGTTCTGTGAAACAGCACATGGCAACATTACTTTAAGAGACACTTTTTCTTTCTTTCTGTGTTGTATTCTGATACTTCTAAAGGGCAACACAAACTGGCATGCATGTAAGAGACTCCTCAAGGAAGGATCATGGTCAGTCTGGACTGAATAAGGTTTGAAAGAGCAGAAATGTTTCCTTCTAGAGTTTAACAAATGGTAGAAGCTAAGTGTCCTTTTTGTCTGGAAAAACTGGGGAGGACCCCACCTTCCAGGCCGACATGAAATCAGAGAAACTTAACCAGACAGAAGAGGAAATAAATTTCTACTGCATTTTCTCTGCCCTACCACTACCCATTGTTTATGAAGGGAAGAAGAATGACCATTTCTAGAGCACTCCTTTTCTTCCACTGTCATTACTTGTGGCTCACACAGCCCCAGGAGCTTAGACAAACTTGAAGGATGAAACTGCCAAAAGAAACACAAGATGATACGCGACTGACGTTGAAAGGGCAGAATGACTAGATGGGTTGGTACTGTCGTTCTAATAAACAGCCTTTAAAAATGTCCTACAGAGAGGAGCTAGGACCATGTTATGAGTCAGTTGTGTCTTTGGAGCAAAATAAAGCACAAACAAATTTGGCCTAAATAACACTCAGTCTGGCTTTGCATCAGTGATCTGATCACGCCATTGAAACATACCCCACCTACTGCTGTGGAAACTGAAGGAACAACGTGAGCTATCTGCTTTTTCGGCTTTTTGCACCACTAAAGCAAGAATGATAAGAGAAGTTTTATAATAATCTATGGTATGTTTTCATGATATTTCTGCAGAGGGTGATAAAGCAGTACTGCTCTGGAGCTGAGCCCTGTGAAGATCACAAAAAGACTAGATGTTGGCTCTAGTCCTCCTTTCATACTTGAGCTGTGCAAATATTTGGAGAACTGTTTTACCTCACTTTCTCAATTTCTCCCCCATAAATAGAATCCCTACTTGCACAGAAGCAGCGTAACAGTCAGGGTTCTGGCACACAGGGTTTGCTAAGAGGAGCAAAGGAACTTAGCTTGCACTCCATGTCCCAGAATTAATTACCTGATCTTGGGCCGTGTAGCTTTAAATATGTTTGTAGGACCACGGGGAAGAACAGTAAAGTTGACTTCATCAACATAATGTGATAAACACCCTCCTGAATATCTAACCAACTGGATTCATATTACTCACAAAATAAAACATTTTCTCATGGAAGCAAGGCAAAAGTATATTTCCAATAATATAAGACTTATACCAATATAATTGTATATGTAATGCAGTAATTGAAGCATTACTGCCCTAAATGAATGGACACAGACTCAAGTTGCACTGTGGAGGTTTAGATCAGATATTTGGAAAATTCATTTTCACATAAAGGGGTGTCATGCACTGGAAGTGGCTGCCCAGGGAAATGGTGGAGTCATCATGCCTGGAAGTGTTAAAAAATATGTGAGTAGAGCACTTGAGAACATGGTTTAATGGTAAACATGGTGATGGTGCCGGGTTAGCAGTTGGACTGGAGGAACTTAAAGATCTTTTCCAACCTCATTGATTCTATGATTCTGTGCATACCTAATTAATCCTAGAAGAAAATGTATTCAATTAATTATGGTTTGATTCCTGAAGAAATTCCAGGTCTGATAATTAAAGACCATTTATAATATTCTGAAATATGAAAAACAAACAACAAGAAGCCATACATTGCCATTTTCTACCATGAAAACATTTAGAAAATCTGAGACAGAAAAGAATTATGAAGAATGAGTTATTTTCTTGTAATAATTAACACTCATTAGTTAAACCTCTAGAATCTCTAAAGTAAGAAGGCTTTCTACAGCTTTTCTTGGGGAGTTGCCCCATAGTATGCCTCAGGGATAGTAACCTAAAAAGAAGGAGAGAAAAAGAAAAACAAAAACAACAACAAACAAACAAACAAACAAAAAAAAAAATCCTCCAGAAGATTAGATGCTGAAACTTGCACTTTGATGAAAAGACAAGGAAAGGAAATATAAAGAAACCAATTTAATCTCATGGTAGAACTGGTAATGCTCAGAAGTTGTGACTAATATGTCTATTTTTCATTGTATTAGAACCCACTAGCTGGTTTGCCCTAGAGAGCCTAAATTTCTGCTTCAGCTGTTGGAAGAAAAAAGTATCTGGGTACATGAATCCATAAACAAATGAAATCCATCCATGCTTGTTTATGGAAAAAGTCAGGTGAATAAAACTTTAAATAAATAAAACTTTATTTATTTATAAAAATCATCAATTATTTTTTTATGAAATGGTAAAAATTCTACCATGCCACATAAAATAATTTAATGGATAGCCTAGCAAACTTGCTCTTTCCAGCTTCCTCTGGTTTTGCAAAACTAGCCTCACATATGGGAGCTATTACTGAACTCAGTGGGATGACACATTTAGAGGACCTGAGTGTATACAAAATTATTCTATAAAATCACCTCACCAAGTTATCCCAAAGTTAACTGATCACAGCAAATATCACAGGTTAACAAACCTGACTTCTATAAAGGAATAAGCAACTTTTAAGTTTGGAATTTACACATGGAAACTATCAAATTAATCTTTGATAGGTTGGAATAAGTGTATGTAATCATCTCGGTTACAGTTCTCAATTATTTTATCCAACAACACATTTAAACATTTTCCATACAGTGCATTTAAGAAATTGTTTTCTGTATTGGGAGTCTGTGGCCTTGATAATGTCTCACTGAAGAGTAATAAGGAATAAAAAATTTGATCATATAGAAAATAATCAGGTAAAAAAAGAGACTGTTTTGCATACCTGTGTTTGGGAATTGGGTACCAACTTGTACATATTCTGGATTTGTCCATTTACTTTTTTACCTGTTTTGACAGAAAGATAAATAAATGCACAGAATTAATTTTTTGTTTTGTCCGAAGCAAAGTAAACCAACTTTATTCACTTTTTTCTTCAGCTAGGAAAGTTAAGAGGCTTAATTAAAACCTGTATAAAAACACATAATGGAAAAAATATTTTTGTCCTGTGTCTCCAGATCCATTAACACATATGCAAGGCCTTCTATTCACATTTTGACACCAAGGAAATGAAATGTGTTCTTGTTTTGTTTATGGTTTTGCTTATCTCAGTGTATGAGCAAACCCCCAGATTTAAATTCTGAATTTTTTCTTTTATGTTTTTCCTCTTAGTTTCTAAGTATTAGAAGTTTCTTGTGATGCAGCTGTTGAGTAAGTCAGGAAAGAGTTCTGTTCAGCACCCGTTCTAATCTAGCATGATGCTTCAAACTTTCTCTGTATCTTCCACCTTTATACTGCTTGTGCAACAAGAGTCAAGCTACATGTTGTCATATTTTTTTCAAATTCCATCCAGAACAGATGAGAAGTAGAAAACATGTCAACTGTAAAGAAATATCAACTGAGATACATTTAAGTTGGAAAAAAGTCTTTCAAAGTGTTTGATACTTCTAAAGAACATAACCTATTATTGACCTAAATTCAAGAGAAAACTGACAGAAGTTTCACACTGACTTCATGAGAAAATCATGGTGAGACGGTCTGAAATAAGCTACTTTCATCTCTTCTGAAAAAAATCAGTTAAATAAATGCTGAGCTTTTGCCATGTCTTTCATGTGTTCTCAAATCATGAATTAAAAGCAGATTCTCCTCCCAACCCCTCCCAACATGTTTAGTATATAACAAAAATTTGGCCTGTGGATTCAACAAATCCAGGAACCTGCAAAGGAATTTTCAGTTTCTAGTAACTGATATATTCTTCAGTGGGAAAAAGAACATTTACAGTGGAGGATATTTGGTTTAGGTTGAGATGCTTCTCCTATAGGAGGAGAACTTGAGTTCATACAAAACAGGAAATTAGCACAGAAAAGAAGTGTCTGCTCGTGTTGATTGATAAACTTTACAGGCATCTGGTTATACATTTATAATAAATATACACTCTCTGTTTACCACTCACGTTTTCTGTATCTACCTGCTAGTCACTAAAAATATGAAAGGCTTGAAAGGCTGACAATTTTCCAATTATAGGATTCTTTATCAGTAGACCAAAATGTAGATATGCAGGTTAATCACAAGATCCCTGGATTTAGCTGCTGCAGAAGCATCCACTGAATACACAAGTCTACACCGTAGACAAAATAAATCTTATGGAAATAGAATATGAACTCTTACAAGAAATAATCTTTTAACCAAAGTCAATGGGTCTCCATAAACTTATAAGAACGATTCTCCTGATCTATTAAAAATGTAAAATGTCTGTACAAAACACCATTTAGGAATACATTATTACAGAAAGAGAAAATTTAGTGATGCTTTCATCAGTCGTGAACAAGTAATAAACTGTAAACATTTTGCATTCATCACTCCCTGTTGTTCTAACTGCTGAAATATATTTCACCACTTGCTCTACAGATGACTTTAAGATGTTTGAAATGTAGAAAATAACAGAAAACACCCACTTGGTAAGATATCTGTAAAGCTGTGAAGCAGAGCTTTTTGTGACTCAAAAAAGGCTGGGAAAAGGCTACCACCATTATCCTCTTTAAGCTCATGGCATAACAATGGATTCTAATTCTGGACTGCTAAAACAACTCAATGGACACTGGGCAGGTGCTTCAAAGTTACAGCTTTGTACTTCATAGTGAAGGCCAGAAAAGCTCTTTCTTAGGGAGTATGAAGGCTTTGCCAGTGTTACAAGCCACCATACTGCTCCCCTCACTTTTCCTCAAGTGTATCGAGCTCCTTAACTCACCTACAAGTCAAAACTGAAGTCCAAATTAAATGTCATCTGGAAATCTCGTATGAATAAGGCTCTCTAACAAGAATTCCCATTCTTTACATTCTTAGCCAAAAATACTAAGCATAGGAGTTTGCAGCATCTTCTGACCAAAATCATGTTTCGAAATACCTTTATGCAAATGCTTGAGGAAAATGAATCAAATTGGATAATCTCTGTTAAGTCCTCTCTTCTTACTAAAAGGAATGAAAGTCTGCTGATGCCTATTTCCTCTACTGGCCTGAGTGATTCTTTCAGTAGTATATGCTGTTACAAGGATTAATTTGACATCACATTTCCTGTATTGTCTTGGGGCTTCAGAGGAGAATCCTAAAATATGACTGACAGCCAGCCACAGGTGTTGTACACTTTCTCCATGAAAACACAAACAAAAGCATAAACAAAACTGCATGCTTCAGACACGATCCATATAATATTCTGATTGAAAATTAGCTTCAAATTCAGCTTTTGAGTCATAAAGGGCCCATTGAGGCAGGACAGGGCCTGTCTAGCTTGAGGACCAGCTCGAATATAAATGCAGGGGTAAAAGAAGATTCAAACAATCCTAATAATTTTCATTACTCATACTAGTTGATGGAAGGAATTAAATAGATTAGTTGGATGATGATTGATGGATTAGTTCATTACTTGATCATCTTATTATTCATGGCCTAAGGAAAAAGCTTAGAATCCAGTCAGAAGTATAAATATTCTTACACAACACTTGATGTGTATCTGTACTAAACACCACTAGAATTCTACTGACATGCAGCAGTTCTTCTATTTGCAATGACAAGAGAACACCTTTCAGAAGACTAGGTGGTAGGTTTTCAAAACAAAAATATTTCTAGTTCCAGCAATTCCTAAAAGAATGCTTTAGGGGCATAATGGATGACATTTAGATAATAAAAACTTGGCCTACTCTAAAGTAATACAATAATAGAAGAAAAAATACTGTCAAAGTCAGCAGCTATTTGATTAACTATTGTCAAATACTTACTTGAGAGAACTGTCTTATGATTCAAAGTCTTGCTCCAAATACTGTCTTCTGCATTGTCTTTAACTCCAAATTCATAAGGTGTGTTTGGCTTCAGGTTGTCAATCACTGTCTCTGTAGCTGGGCAGAGCTGAAAAACCCATTTCTTGTCTTTACCTTTTTCTCTGTAGCGAACTGTGTAGAATCTGCTCGGGGGAAAAAAAAATAGATCTACACAAAGGAATTCACTATAACTATTTTTGTGAGGAAGTAATAATAATAATAATAATAATAGTAATAATAATAATAATAATAGTAATAATATTAATAATAATGTTTTATTGTTCTTTTTTTTTATGGCTCTTTATTGTTACTAAATATCAGAAAAGCCAGATTTATTCCACATATAGATATATATATATATATATATATATATACCCCATCATACAGACCCTGACATTAGGAGTATTGTACAAAGCACAGAAGGACAGTCTCTTTATTCACAAACACCCATTGTATGTGAGGTTCTAACCACAAAGTGTAAGCTCATTGTCCAAGCAGTTCCTGTGATTCTGACTTATGCCAGAGCCAGTCGTTTAAATCATGAGTCTGCTGGTCAAGAAGCCTCTACTGATTTATCAGAATCTTCTATATCCATCCAGTAAAAGGTGTTCCCTTCAAAATTAGTCCAAAAACATTCTCCAGGGAAGACCAGTAATATCTGTTGTTTGTTTAATACATTCCTCATTCAGGGATCCCATTACGTATTGCCCCCACTTCAAACAAAAAAATAAACCAAGACATTACTTTCAGCAGTTTAAATCAATAATGTGATGAATACTAACAGATTATGAAACTAGGAAACATTTCTACAGAAATTGCCCAATTCTGTCAGGGAGCACCACCCTGAAAAAGCATGACTGCAGTGTTAACCAACCAAAAACAAGGCAGTGAAAGTGGTGAGAGCTTCAGCACAAGAACTGCCCTGCTGACTACAGTCTCATTTTCAATATACGTGCTGAATTACCACCAGAATGGTGTGGAGGTTTCTTTTTCTTGGAAAAGCAAATCTCAGAAAGATTTGGCAACTTCTTAACCCAAGTATTACTGAAAATTGTTACACATAACAAAAATAAATTCTATCCATCATCCATATCTATCTCACATTTACATCATCTGAAAAAGTACAAATTCAGACTGATTGTATTTTGCCACACTTAAATAGAACAACTTAATGCTTGCAAATCGAGGTTGTGAGATTTATTACAGGTATTATATAGACAATTATATAGAGAAAAAGGAAGAGAACTTAAAAAGCCAACCAAAAAAGGGTTCTTAAACAACTGAAAACGTTTCAAAAGTCCAGACTAAAATTACTTAGTGGACCAAACCTAATACAGTGAATTCATAAAGCTGCTGCTTCTGAAGTTACAGAAGAGCACTTTCAGAGCACAGTTTACGTGAAATGTGAATGCTGAGTACACAGAAATTGCTACTTCGCTATTAAAACACAACCTAAGACAAGGCATGTATCACTCATGCAAGGTATTTCCAAACTGGTTCACTTTGTTTACTTATTTTATCTCATAACTGTCGAATTTGTTTTCTTGGCACCAAAAATATAGATTCTCCTGATTTAGTTGCTACTTCAGCAGCTCATTCAGGTATTTCACCAGGTTACAAGATCAATATTTATGTCGGCTCATGTATCTTCATTAACTGTACTACTTCGTGTTCAAAACAAGATATAGTCTAACTTAAAACTTGAAAAGGAAAGAAAAAAAAAACAAGAAGGAAAAAAAAAAGACAAGTAGTGAATATATTCTCTCAGTTCCATGACTACCAAGTAATAATGTGCCTCCTTACTTCTGTGGGCTGTGATCTAATGAAATCCCAAATAATAGACCTAATTATCAGTTAAACTGACAAAGAACATTTTAAGCAATCAATTATTGGAAACATTAAAAGAAGGAAAATTTCTTCTCCTTTATCCTCTTAATCCATTTGTATGTAGTCAACACAGACATTAACCAACAGGAAAAGTTTATTTGAACTCTGTCGCTGTCTTGCAAAGGCTGTAACTTTAATAAACAAATTCAGTGTTCAACACAAATGCCTCTTACTGGACCCCATACAGTCTTTAGGCAAGGGATTTGGAATAAGTACAGACAGACATCAAATGTGAATTCAAGTGGAAATAGTCACCTTCTTCCCATGCCTGAAAGAGGAATTTTCATTTGTTTTCATCTTCATCCTTACCTTTTCCTACCTATTTAAATCCAATGGGATAGAAATAAAATGTTTGCATGTGATGGAAAAAAGAGAGTATACTGATCCAGTTCAGTTATTGAACAATCTAAAAGAAAAATGCATCAGAAATGAGGAGAAAAAAAATACTAAAAATACTTGTTAATAATGAATTGGCTTTTAAGTGGCTGACTCCACTTACTTGTAGTGGACAAAATGTTCTATTTTTAATGCTGACTCCGCACCTGGAAATTCCTTCACTCTAACATGAATTAAAATACCAAGAACACTTGCACAACAACAAAAACAACCCATCTTTCACTTAAATTCAAGATTATTATAAAATCTGAAAAGAAGATTTCCATAGTTGTGCCAAACTATGCCATTAGAAAGAGAAACATACAGCACAGAAGAAATGTGCTCTCAACTCCAAGATTTCCAAGCCTATAAAAACTTCAGCAAGAGTATAATTATTTCAGTGGAAACCTGCCATAGTGAGTACTAAAAACACTGACTGTGATGACAGAATTTCCTCAATCATTTCAGAAAAAAGCAATAAAAATGAAGTTCCATTTAACAATTTGCAGGTCACAATCATTTGACTATTAAAAATATCTAAATATCTACATGTGCTTTTGGAGAAATATAACCATTTAATTACAGAGTAAAAATTCAGAAATTCCAAGTTTTGTCATCAAAGAACAGCAATTCATTGTTAAACCAGACCAACAAACTGCCAAATAAAATGCAAATTCAGTCTGCCTGAGAACACTGTACTGATTGAATTTTGTTGTAATTTTAATTTCTCCCTTTTCCAAACCTTTCTTACATCAAAAATACAATATCAAACAGTCAACACATATAATTGAAGACATGAGTAAGCAGTAAGACCCAGTCACCACTCACATCTATCAATCCCCTTGTGGCAGTGACATACATGCACAAAATGAGTGCAGCTGGCTGAACTGGAAACATTCAGCAAAACATCTTCACAGATTCCCTGCAGAATGATAGAAGGCAGGCTGAAATAGAGTGCTGTCATAGTCACACAGAGGGGACAGCTGCACTATGTGTTACTCAAACAAAACACTTCCCATTACCTCTGAGGTAAGGAGAGGAAAATCTGATTGCTCACCACAGGGCCCTAACAGCTAACATCCAAGTAATACACTGGGGAACACTCCCAGGAATGCTATTCCCACCTGTGAATACTGGTTTGATGTTTCAGCAAGAAGATGGCACACCCAGCTACATATGGTGAATCTAGATTATCAGCAGGTATGAAGAACTAACAATATTTAACTTTTTAATTTAACATTTAATTTTGATTAATTGATTTGTTATGTGTTTTGGTGGGGGACATTTTATCAGAACAATGTTTATTGAATACTCTTGAATCTCTGTTTACAACAAATATTAATCAAATGATTGTAGAGGTCACTCTCTTTGCCAGCTAGCACTCTATAAAACATTAGATCAAATGAGGGAGGTTAGTACCTCCCTCTCTCCCCCTAACAGGCAATGCTTCACTCATTTGAAGATACCACCAACCAGGCCACCCCAGGAACTGCAGGGAAATTTTACCTCCTCTCTTTTTACTAGACAGCTAACATTCCAATAATGTAAAAGGTGTCATGAGCACGTGAGAGCTTTTGGTGCACTCAGAATTTAATCACTGTTGATAATGAGGGGGGAAAAAAGCAAAACCCAACACAGCAGAGGAATAAAGAACCTACATTCATCAAGAGAGCCTCTTTCATATGCATTTGTGCAACATCATGGAATATTTAGTGTCTGCATTCTTGACACTCTGTATCTTTGATGATACTTTAACTTTGCCTGTCCCCATATAAGAGGTACACAAAATGTGATGGCAGAAATAAAATAGGACCAATTTCATAATTTAAAGATTACTCACAGGTCAGCCACTGCAATGATTACTGTATCTGCAAAGTCAATGCAAAAGACTCCCAGCCTCACACAGAAGGCTGCTTCTATTCTGTGCTCAGCTTACATAGTTTGTTTTTTAAAAATGCAAGGGAGTTCTCAGTTTAGAGACAGCCTTTTCATTGCAATAGATGTCAAAATAAAATGATCATTTTAAAGAAACAGCACAGATGATTTTGCTTTTGAAATGAAGCAAATCTTATTCACTGTTAAAGGAAGTAAAATTCTAGGATGGATAGGCAAGACATCAAGTTTTCATCTATCAGTGTGAATTATACTGTTTTGCCCAGAATTCCAGTGCCATTTTTCCGTTTTTAAACTAAATCTCTTTTCAGCCAGATTCCTAGAACATGGCCGCAGAGTCAAATATTCAGACACAAACAATTAGATACTGGAAATCTTATAAGACAGATGGTTTTACAAGATTTCAAGACTGGGTCAGTTTGTATAAATATCATGGATTTATTTGGAACCAGGTCCCAACCAAAACTCCAAACAATTTAATCATGACTATTTTAGTCACATGTAACACTAAACAAACAATTAAGCCTTGGAGAAAAAAGAACATTCCAGCTCCGTGGATTTGTGTTGCCAGAGACAAAAGATTATGAAGCTCATTTCTTTTTTGTTCACAGAAATGTAATCAGAATTTTTAGAAGAGACTATCAGCATACCAGGTATTTCTTTACTTAGAGTTATACTTCATTAGATGTGCAGCATCCATTTAATGTTAGAAAGTAATACAAGAAATGGTTTGAACTATGATTTTTCAGACTCTGAGTTTTGTGCAAATTGACATATGATGTTGATTATATTGTTTCTCTTTTTACTGCTAAGTTTACTTTAAAGTAACAGACACCAGCATATATAACAAATGGGAAGAATGATGTCACTGATGGTTAGCAGTTAAGTTTGCAAAGCACTTTCCAATTTAGTTTTGACTTTTACATGATACTCAAAACTTTTAGTAGAATGACTGAAATGAAGAGTGAGAGGCTCTGAAGAGGGAGAGACTGAACAGCAACAAATCATTCCAGTTTACACCAGCTTTTAGCATGTACTCCCACAGCAGCAACTCAAAAACATCTGAGACTCAAGAAGTGCATTTGCTGCTTTAAGAAATTCTTCTATGTTTAAAGTACATTTTGTATGACACTTGCAACACAAAGTATGACTTGGTTTGCAGCTGCATAATGATAGCAGTTTGTAAATAGGCACAGGAGGAGATAGGCACATATCTTTCGGAATTTAGGGTTTTAAAAACCCTACTTCTACATACTATACAATATAAAAGAGTATGTATGGACTCTGGTTTTCCCTTACTATTTTTGGTTTTGGTCTTTGTTTTTAAAAGCATCCGATAAAAACAAAAGAAAACATAAAATTTGTGCTACTTGCAAGTATGATATTAGGACATTCAAATCACAGGCAAACCAATTAAAACAACGTCAATGTGAATTTGTCATACTTTTTAACTTAAAATAGACACACTTCAGGTTTTAAATTCCTACTTTTGCATGTATCTGAAAGCATTTTTGTTTTTCTATACAATCCACTCAATAGAATATTATATTTTACTGTATCTATAAACCCTGCTTTCATCTAACATGGAAAAAACCAGTTTTTGTTCCATCCTCTGGCTTTCCTTCCTAAAGAACTGTAAGTCAAAGTCCACCTTTTTCAACCCACAGCAACAGAAATGTTCTAATCAAAGCAAATACAAAGAAAGAAAAATCTACAGAGTATTCTCTCTTTTTCAGACCTGGATGGACAGTAAATGAAGCCCCAGTACTTTTATTTTGACAGATCTGCCCACTAATGTTTGTTTGAACACAGGCAGAGAGAAAACAAGCCTCTCACTCTCTTGGAAATAATAAAGAGAGGAACTGAACATGGCTGTGCAGCAGGATATCATGACTTTGCCATCTTCTCTCACCAACTGTCTTCCACTGGCGTCAGAAGGCAGAGGATGCTGAGAAAGGTTCCACCAACAGTGCTTTCTGGTGTAATGTAGCTCTCATCAGTTATATAAAACTAAACATTTGTGGTTTTTGATTTATATACTTTTGCTTTATTTTAAATTCTAGTGGTAAGGGCCTGATGAGAGATAATAATCACTTCAAGAATGCTTCAAAATTTCACCTTTTATTTTTGGTCCACAAAAATGGCAGTGAATACTTTTGCTTCAACAAGGGATTAGCATTTGGGGTTATCTTGAAGGAAATACATAGAACTCTATTGGCTTCTGCTGTTAATCTCTAGGGAGTTAACCCAAAAGAATGGTTTGTTGAAAAATGTCACAGTCAGATTTTGTCATGGAGTTTCTTAAAAATTTCATAGATACAGAAGACCACTATGTGCCCTGAAGAAGCAAGCAATAATTTCATTGGAGCAGTAAAAGATTATCAATGCTCCTTGAGAATATGGCAGCTCTTATTCCAAACTCATTTGCTCACAAAACCAGATCTTCCAAGGAATATCCCTCTGAGGTCAAACTCGCACTAGAGAAAATCTTGGCCAGCAGAACTGTGCTATTCCATGTGGTTTCTATCTTCTGACTCAGTAACACATTGAATTAACTTTTATTATGCAACATTTGTCCAAAAGCCTAACATCCACGTGGAGATGGTAAAATCTGAGGCTGAGAACAGTGACTCCATTTCAGGTCATAGAGAGTTATAAATTCAAACCTTGGTGGGAGATTTACTGACAGAACTGAGCCAAGAGGTCCTGGCTGCTACGTACTGCCAATGCCAAAGGTTAGAGGTTAGCCACTAACAGCAATCTTGAGGATGATTAACAGCACACTGCAGCAGTAAGAACGACAGATGAAAAAGCATGGAGTCAGGTAGACTGCCCCTGAAATAGACTGACATTTCAGGGAGTCCATTATGTGCTTTTTAAGTCTTGTACTTTTATCACAACACTAACTTGCTAAGAATGGGCTGCTTCCTGTTTTTTTCTTATCTTGCATTATCAACATTCATTCAAATTATTATAATAAATTTATAGTTTTTCTTCTACACACTGACTAGAAATATATATAGACCAAATCTCTCTTAGAATTCTAGATATACATACCATGATCACATGGACAACTGTTCTCATAGCTTATACAAATCACAAGTATTTTGGCCCAGTAAAGGTAAAATTAGTAAGAACACCACTTAAGTAATTTTTTTTTTTTAAATTCATTAACTTCATTTTTATGCTTGATAGCAAAACAGAAATCTGGTTATAGGTATATACCTATATTTGATAATATTATTTGTAACTTGATATAAATGTTTTTAAACTAGCTACTCCTGTCTGACAATAATTCACTAAAATGGAGTGCACATTAAAAGTAATTCCTGAGAGGAGGAATACATCAGAATATATTCTAAACATAGCAAGACACTAGTAGAACACTGCCCTAACTGAAAAACTATGTTAAAAACTTGTTCAAACTTTGAGTCAATGAATCATTTCTCTGCTGAGGAGAAAACACAGAATTGATGAAGCCATGGTGGATACCATTTGCCTTGAATTTTCCAGGTGGGTTAATACAGGACATAGGCTTCTCCTGAAGTGTTCTTCATTCCCGCTGCACAAGGAGTGCTGCAACATTGATGCTGACACATCACATAAAGATAAAATCCTTGGTAAAAACGGTGCTATAATTGCTACGTCAGAACACTTTAGAAGCTCATCCAAAATCAGCTCATTGCTTCAGTTTCTCACAGTAGGAAAATATTTGCTTTTTTATTGAAGGAGCAAAGTCTAAGCCTAAATCAACTTTTATTTCTACTGAAGAAAAATCCGACCAAATTTCATCCTTGAACATTTACTAACATTCCATAACTTTTTCCAAACAAACATTAATATCTTCTAATAGTGTTTGAAATTCTGGTTGGTGATGATTTTTTTTTTCAAGAGAAATTTCTGATGCTTGAAAAGGATTAGTCCTTTTGTGAGGTATGAAACTATTGTAAAGGTATGAAAAATTTATCCCAGCTACATGGGATGTTTTTCTTAATATTACCTATGTTTGACATCCAGGTTAATCGTGTCAGCTACAGCTTTCTTATGAACAGCAGAGTAAGAAAATTCAAGTCTAAATTAGACAGCTACAAATTACATAAATATTAGACAGGTAAAAGAAATGTTCTGAACCATGAAAAAAAAAAAAAGGTGCATTTAAAACCCAAAAGATAACAGTTGCAAAAGAGATGTAGATGCATCCCATGGATGCAAAATATTTCTTTTTAGTTTTAGAAAACTCTGCTGTGTAGAATAGAGCTTCACACAATGTAAATTAAGGTAAAAAAAACATTCTTCTGTTGTCAACGAAGAAGATAAAGAGACCACAAAAAGACAGAGTAGGGAAAACATCTGCATTAGCAATTTAAATACTTTTATTCATCTCCCAAGGGCTGACTAAACCATAATAGTGCACTTAATTGAGAAGCTCTTCTGCACTGACTTCTCTTGAAACTGCTACTTGGTGAGCCTTCCTGAATTTCCCACCTACTGTGCCACCCAGTGAATGCTAAAAATATTGACATAGAAGAGATCCTCTTACAACAGAAGGTTAATGAAAGCTGTACTGTATCAACAGAAGGAAAGCCATTATAGTGATAAGACAAAATAAAGGAAACAAAAAATCAAATGGTGCTAAAACAAGGCATCATTCCCCCACTTCAGCACAACGAAAGACTTCTTTTACACTTAATCGGTCAACTCTAAAGTAAACTATTTCCAGTGATTTAACAAAGTTTCAATTGGTTCAGATACAAATGGAGGTAGAGCCAAGGCCATTAGTTTAAGAACAAAGGATTCAGTGTGAAATAGCACAATTTGTAATTCAGTGTGTAGACATCTGACTAAACTTGCTGTCAAGTAAAGAATTGCAGAGCACTAGCATGAGCAAATGAGAAAACTTTACATTGAGAGCTATTGTTTACAACATTTTAATTTCCACTGTACTATTTATCTTAATCACAGCAGAGAGCTGCACAGAACAAAATCATGATAGTAATAAACCCCATCCTTTTCTCTTGTTACCTGTCGCTAGCACAGTTACTTGTTGCTGTCCAGTCATGCTGAGGGTTGACTAGGATGCCCCAAGAGAGAAATACAGAGGTTGGGGTGAGGGTGCCAACCACCAGCTGCAGAGGCTTTTGTGTCTTGTTACGACCTACATAAAAAACATAAAGTTAATTTCTCTCTCTCGCATTATGTAAAGGAAAATTTTGCAGTTTGATAATTAAGTAAAATAAGATCCCCTCTTCTAAGCTTGAAGGGAAAGGTACAACAGTTCTCCATTTTTTGTGGTCACTATTTCTAACATATGATTTACAAAAGTGGCAGAGGCAGTGTCCATAGTCACTTTTTCAGCCTAACATTCCAGTTAAAACTAGTTTTTGAAATTGCTCATTTGGTGGTTTCAGTATACCTCGTATAAGAATAAGCTATAGGTAGTTTAAATTAAAAACTCTGGCTATCTTGGACTATATCACAGAAGACATGACAGAGTCCAGGACATTAGAAAGTCTCCATGGATGTGATAAAAATAGTAATTTCTTGGCAGTTTTCTCAGTAACAATGCAAATATATCTACACATAATAAATATTTTCTAGAGCATTCTTAAGAGTAAAATAAAACCTACAAAAGTTCTTTTGCCTTTTACTGCAGGCAGATCTGAGCCAGGGTCTGTATCTGCAGGATTTTTCTCTTTAATTACTGACTATATTGAAACCAGGTTTTGTGTGATGCTGAACTTCAGCTTCGCACTGTATGAAGGAGTACAATTCTTGTGTGGAGAAAGTACTTATTTTAAAGAATGTTTAAAAGCTAATAGATGAAAATGAACAAATGATGTGGAGACTCTATTTTGAACCCGTAGTTTATGGACTGCTACAAGCCCAAGGAGAATCTCTGGTGTTTGAAAGATGATTGACCATAGGAAATCAATATATTCTTTATATTACATTACATACTTCAAAAACCTGAAGGATCTGTACCTCCTCAAAACGTACAGGTGACCAACATTTCTTGAAAGTTTGTAAGCCACTGATCAAAAGGGTTTATTTCTCACTGTTGTGAACCAGATTTGACTAACTTTATCCTTATGCCTTTTGAACCCTACTATCTCTTTACTTAACCAGCCCTAGTGACAGCTTGATTTATATTTTCAACCAATACCTGTGTGTACATTTAGAAATGTTAACCATATTGGTTTTTACTTTATGTTGATGATGAATATGTTGCTACAAAACCTATATTAAAAACCAGCATATATATGTTGCATCTGTAAGGCAAATCACTTTCCAAAACCTTTCTAGACATATTGTGTTTTACCTGGTCAAGAGCAAGAAAAGATTTATCCCAAGCATTACCAGGAGTTAGGAAAAAAAACCAAAAATCATGTAAAGATCATAGAATAATTTGGGTTGGAATTGACCTTTAAGGACCTTCTAGTCCAAGTCCCCTGCCATGAGCAGGGACATCCTCAACTGGATCAGGTTTCTCAGAGCCCTGTCCAACCTGACCTTGAGTGCTTCCAGGGACAGGTCATCAGTTTATTTTTTGCAACAATCCAGTCATCCTGAAAGAAGTCTCCATATTAAAGTACATAATTAAGTCTCCATATTAAAGTAAGGAATTCAGAACTAACAATATTAATGACATGATTAAGGTTATATAGAAAGACTTTGAAACAGAGAATAAAATTCAGATTTCTACTCTGCTGCATATAGATTCAGCTGGAAGTATCACTCTTTCCATTACTTCTTGCATCAGAAAACTTAGTAGTAATATTGATGTAGAGAGAGACAGACAGACAGAAGCTACTATTTGCCAATGAGAAACAAAGAGCATTAACATATCAATGGATGAAGGAATCCTCACTTGTAGTTTGGGAAGAATAACTGCAATGTCTTTGAACACCAGATATTAATATTCTAATTTTCACTTCTCATTTGTAAGAACTTTATGCAAAAAATCTTCAGGTAAATCATGTTTTGAATGCCATGTGTGTGGTGGCTACTGACTAGAAAACACTCTCCTACATTTTACCTTTCTGTGTATGGAATTTGTGTGCCACAGTAAGACGCCTACAGGTAGGAATATCTTTTCAGAGAAACTCAGCAAAAGGTTCTCTTTTCTCTCAAATAATTTAGGAAAGAGATGCAGTAATATTATATTACCTGAACAAGATTTCTTGTTATTTGAAACACGTGCTGGTCTTACTGAAACCAAATACCGTGGCTCTGCATCTGCAAATGAATGAAAAAGCAATGAGTACAGATGTGCTGTCTATTGGAAAAAGAGAATAATCTGAAATTAACAAGAAGATGTCAAATAGTCAGTGAACTCTTGACACATTATCCAATCTTTGTGATATTTAGGCTGTTTACCTTAAAATTCATTGAGTTCAAAATTATAAATGCTTCAGTTAAAACAAGGTTGAGATGTTTATTTGAGTTTGGGGAATTCCTCTTCAGAAATAAGCTTTTCACTCCTTAAAACCCAATGTCAGAGATTTCTGCCCTTCTTAATTCTTTGAAAAGAAAGCTCTATTCTCTCTGAACTGCAACATGAGAGAAGTTGTCTTAGGAGATTCCAGCAAGATATCCACGGGCAGAATTTGGCTCACTCTATACTGACCAAAATTATTTTTACTCTAGCTTTTAAAAAAAAGGATTACTCTACATAGAATCTTATTCATAGATAGTTAGTTCAGCTATATTTATGTAAATGTATAACTATAAATAAGTGACTGAATTTCCTGCATATTTCAGTGCAACAAGCACCTTTAATTCTACCAACTAAACAGAACCACTAAGAAATCATTCAGTTTTCTCTTACATGCAGATTTCTGTAAAGAGAGAGAAAGGAATAGCAGTACTAAAAAAGCCAAAGCTCGCTGTACTACTGAAAAAGTTCTGCCAGCGTGGGAAAACCACTCTAACTTCACTGATTCTGTGCACCTAAATAACTGGAAACCCATACTATGCATGTACTACTTTAATTATTTAATTAGTCTTTTAAAATGGGTTTCATCTGCACCCAATAACCAAGGTAAGCATTGACAACAGCTGTTCAAAGCAGTGTGGAAAAAAGAGTTAAAAAAAGGAACCCTCAAAGTGCAAATACATCTTCATTTACAAAAAATGTTTTTTAATATTTAGAGGGCTACATAAGTGTGGCACCTGTGTAACCACTCGGACATTTTTTTTTTATTGAGACTGAAAACTAGAAATAAGCAACACTTTAAAAGAATTTGTTTTCCCTCTGTTTCAAACCCCGTTTTCTGCTCTGCATTTATGCCCACTTGTGAGACTATTATAACTCACAAAGTATTCAACAGGGTTATTCTAAAGCATGACCTTGAAAGTTCGAGAACTACAAAGCCAGTCTTCAAAACTAAACAAAATTTATGGGTTTATCAGTAAAATGTCCAAGTATTGTGAAAGAAAGTTATTAAAATACTTTGAAACTGTTTTTTCCTGCTCCATAGATGGAAAAATTAATTCAGGCTGAAATATGAAATTATTTGTGTAGCAGTATAGAAATAGGTCAGCTGCTAAACAAAATCTGGCAATAAACAAAGACTGTTAAGGCCTCACTGGACATCTCAGCTACAAAACCTGGCAGTTTTCTGGATTCTTTTGCTCTAGTGGGTGTTTTTGTTCTGTAACAAAGTGTTTTCTGTGGAAATATTTTGTGTTATGTACTCTTCATTAAGCTTTATTTTGGTGAATTTAACAAATGTTGCCTTAATAAAGAATATAGCATATTCCCATTTTCCAGAGAATTCAAGGCTCTTCTGACTGTAATACATCCTACAAAAGAAAGTATTTAGGAAAACAGGCTGAGACTAGATGTTGAGAGAGTGCTGTTAGAGAAGAAGCAGGTTTAAAAAGTATCACTTCTTTAAAAACACGAAATTTAAGACAATATGATCATTATAACTGGAATCAGAAAATTAAATTGTTAAAAAAATCCATTCAAAACCTGGGATAAATCAATAAATTTCTGTTCTGTACTTAAGATATATCTTAATTTAGAAATATGATTCCATGATTCCTGAGCAGAACCACCCATGTTACTGTATAGATGTTAAGAATAGAGCAAGTGTAATTCAAAATAAATTCATAGGTTTGATGCACAGTATCAAAGCATTATGCATGGGCTGGAGGACACATGCCTTGAAATGTTTTTATTCTGGGCAGGTATACAGTCTATATCCAAGGCACCTGAAATTAAAAAAATGCAGAGAGCTTTTTCAATATCATATAATGAGTCCTGGCTCATTGGAAATGGGAGATCTTTCTTAGTCTTCCACTGAAATTCAACATTTTTTTACTAAGTTCAGAAGACTACTGAGTTTTCACACTGAATCAGTTTTCTTGCTGAGAAATATGACTATCAGTCATCATCACAATGCTGAAATCATCTGATGCTACTATTACTCAATTCATTTTCAGGGCATTAAAACATTGTCTCACCCATTATAAAATTCTGTCAAGTTACAGGAAATATTTAATGATAATCTGTGTTCTTTTATAATGCCTATATATTCAGAATCCATTCCACAGATCCATGTCTATAAGAAGCAGAAATCTTGGGGAGAGGTGAGTAACACAGCAGAAGAAAATGAAAATTGTGCAGAGTACCAGAACTTAAATAAAACCATTATTTACTTTGCACTAATTCATTTAGTGCTTAAGAGATAAATTGCTGAAATAAGAGGTAGGTGGGAAAATGTGACAGTCATAAAAATATGGATGTTTGATTGGATGTAATTATGATTCACAGAATAGATCAACAATTTACAGGAAAATATATTTAAGAGAAGCTCATTTGAAAGATAAAATTATAAACTCGAGTAAAAGCGAACTACACCACAGAGTACAGGCAATCCCATTTGCAACTGAATATTTCTTATATTCTTTGAACTGTATTTAGTAAGAAAATGATAGTTATATAATTAAGATCAATGTTGAAATGTCTGGACACAGATGCATGAATCCAGCATCTGCCTCCAAAAATCACTTCAACATTAATCAGTATATAACAGAGACATATATGATAAAGATAAAAATTACACACTCTGTCTGTCTCTCACCTGTGAGGATCTGCAATCTCATAAATTAAGAATCTGTACAAAACAACTCAAGCTTTAACAAATTAAGTTTGAAATACATTTGCAAATTTGCTATGAAAACTTTATTGACTCCTTGATGCCTAACACATTCTTGGAGGGCTGCTACTCTAAGACCACTTGTTTGAATCTATTACTGTCTAACCCCCTTTATTAAGGTTAGCACAACAAATATCTTGGCTAAGAACTCCTTTCAGATCAGAAATAAAGTCCAAATAGTGATCACCTTCAATTCTTTAGCCACAAAACTCTAGGAAAATGCCCAGATGTACCAGAAAAGTGCTCCTCGATAAATCCATGCCTAATTCTTAGTGGTATAATTCCCCAAATATGGGTTATTATATCAATAAATACAATTATTAAAAGAAAAAGGCTTCTATTACCCACCTTAACAGCTTGTGAAGACAACCAGAATGTAACAAAAATACATGCCACTGACAAATCAGATTAACATAGGAGAGCACTTACTTCCACATGCCATGAGCTAGGCTTTCAAATCAGTGGCAGCAGGCAACTAACATGCACTACAAAATGCTAGGGAATTCTGCTTTTGTTCAAGCACACTATTCAGGACCCACACTATTTTTGTTTTGAAAGCAAAACAATGTATGAATGAACTTAGAATGAATCTTAAAATAGTGTCACAAATGTATCATTAGAATTCATGGACCACTGGATTCAGAAATCAAATCAAAGTATTTTTTGGCTTCGAGGTGCAAGTGCTTAATCTGTATTTAGGGATTGATTGTTAAAGACTTACCATGGGATGTGGTTAAGGACAAAGTTGGAGGAAGGGGAGGATTGTAGTGTAACAAAAACAGGAAAAGACAGAGAAGTGGGACAAAGAGGCTGGCATGAATGAACCTGCTGCTGATCAACGCACTTGTCTAGAGGAAGAAGCACCTGCTGATCTCCCCCAGGTCCTCCCTTCCACCAGACTCAGCTAGCATTAGCAATGCTTTATAATGCTGAATTAATATTCACGTTATTTGGCATCTTGAAAGGTGTGTGGCTAATGCAATTGAGAGTTTCTGGTAATTGATCAGATATAAGAAACTGCACAGCAAGATCTTTTAGCTAAGCACTGCTCTAGCACAGATCCCTGAATTACACTTTTTAAAATGTGCTCAAGGTGGTATAGAACCTTCTCATATATATGCATAAGCACAAATCTCACCCATCACTTACTGGCACTGTTATAAAGCAGGATCACTAACACACTCGCCTCTTACACTGTACAGTCTTGTACAAGAAAAGGAAAAGCAAAAGCATTGCCCAACTTTGAGCTGGTTTTAGAAACTGAAAGGGAAAATAATTTTGTTCACTCTGTTAAGTAATTGCTGTTCATTCTTACAAAACTTTCCTGTCTCCACCCAATTTTTTGGGTTTCTCCAACAGTATCAACAATTTCTAGGAGATTGGCTTGCAATCTTCCTAGCCAAGTTAGAAAAGACTAACAAAAGTTTCTTAAGCAAATACTCTTTCTTTATGAGTCAGGAAGACTGAAAAAATTAGAGATAAACCTCTAAAGTCAAGCCCAGAGCTTTTGGATGGGTCCATTCACCTTTTTATTAGTCTAGCTGAATTAACATCTTGATATCTTTTGACACTGTCTGAAAAGCTTTAATGACCAAAAATAATGTTGTTTACTGTCATGTGAGCACATAAAGGATACTCAGCACAAACCACATCTGGTGTCCTGAAACAGAGGCATAATTCTTGGAGACAAATTTTGCTGCTGCCTTGTCATTGACATTGACATTTCAGTGAGATTCAGATCTATCTACTAGTGCATGAAGCTGCTCAAGACTTTGTTGCCAGCAGAAACTCATTACAAGTTCAGGAAATCCAACAGAATCCTTTCCTCTTTGCACGTGCCTTGTGCAGCCAGATCCCAATTTATTGATAATGTTATGTAATTGCTGCTTCAGTGACTATAAAATTCACAAAACAAAGGTAAAACAGATATTTTTAAGAATTACTGCAGTGAGGTGCTCAATATTTTAATGGATGAAATGTGGATAAATGTCATATGTTGTACAAAGTCATATATCTCTCCTGAAAATCCTAGGAAATGTCATGTCCTTAATAATTTCTTTAAAAATATCCATCCATAGAAATGAAATTTTATAAATTAATATTTCTGCTGACTTCAAGATTCCTTTAAACAGGATCATAAGAGGTGTGTGACCCAGCATAAAAGCTGACAATAAATTTCACATTAATCTACAGTGGCTGGGTTGGAAATATGGAATTTGTGGGCCTTAGAAATACATATTGTTGTTTATATTGTGTCATCTTCCATACTACAGTTCCAGCTGGGGGCAATTACCCCAAACAGAATACCAGCTATGCAGCTCCATTAACAAAACCAGGGATGCACAGCTAAATCAAGGAAATGGGGAAATGTCTGCAAGGCACTTCATTCTACCTTGTAGACCTATAATCTTTGTTAGAAAGGAGAAATGATATTTTAAATTGTTGATGCCTTTTAGGAAGGGAATAATGACTTACATGTGAAGTTTATGTGTTTTCTTAAATTGGCCTAACACCTAAATTAATGCTGGTTTGTTTTGTTTTGTTTTGTTTTGTTTTTTGAGTAGGGTCTAGAGCTGATTGTGTATTTGCACAATTTTTCCTTAAAAATTTTGATAGAATAAACAACTTTAATACTACCAGAACAAAATACACATTCACGGATCTTCCATTCTCCTGAATCTAATCTCTCTCCCAGGGGATTACATTCTACAGCATTGTTCCTTAATGTATTAGAAAAACTACCTTTTAGAGAGTAAAAAATGCCCTTAAATGTCCATTTCTAGTATTTACCTTTCAGTTACAAACCAATTTAAAGTTGTGATCATGGTCCCTGAATTGACTGGGGAAGGTTTCTCTTTCCATGAACCACTAAAACTGACAAGAAAAGAGGAAGCATTAAATTGTATTAGCCGTGGTCTACATAGACCACAATGAATTTTCATATTTGGGAATCACTTCCTCCACATCCTGTTCAATAAAAGCTTCACCTACCACTGTTCAGGGAAGCCTGTAAACTCACCTGTTTTCTGTAAAATTCACATAAGTCAAAGCATGAGAGGACCAAAAAGTAGTTCTCAGGGCAAAAATGAATGCATTTTTTATAAACCTAGTTGTTTTGACTGTGAAAAAATGTGTGGAGCACACTGAAGACCATTTTCAGAGTGTGCAGTGGCACTTGGATCACTAGAATATCTAGAACATGGGACAGACAGCCTTGAGTGTGAAATTTAAAATACATTGTTTTAATATAACATACTGGGCCAACTTCATCACATACGAGATGTACTAGGAGTACAAAGATAATCTGAGATTTTTCAGCAGTAGGGTTTAGAGGGTTTATATGTTTGGCATATTTCTTGAGAGTATTTTTATTGTCCCTCTACTATACCTTACTTTTTCTAAAATCCATATAAATTGTATGCTAGAGCTGAGGTCTCTGGCTGCCACAATAAAACTTAATAATTTTTCCTAGAATTAAGAACCATTCTGCAATTCTTCCAGTTTCTGCCAGCAACTGATCCCTAAATATGGTGGGGAGGAGGGAGTGCACTAGCAATCATCTCTGTCTTCATTTCTGCCACACAAGTCACTCTAAAGTAGAGCCAAAAGCACAACTGATGTTTATTGCTTTAGCTCGTGCTCCATACACATTTGGAAAGCACAGTCAAAGCTGAAGTTTAATGTTGTGTTTAATATTTGTGAAATGGGAAAGATTATGCACTCTCTGCTTCCAATAAACAAGTCCCCGAGGTATACAATCTAACCCTAAATCTCTCAACTAAAAGCAACAGCTCCAATAAACTTACTGGCAATTGCCTTAAATAAATGTTTGCAACTTGAGGTACATATTGCTGATAACTTCTTTTACTCCTGTCTTTTCAAAGATGATGTTTTATGAGGGTTAGAAATGCTTGCCTTGCTATCTATATTATGTTGCCTTTTGCATGTTTAGTTACTGGACATTCAGAAGTAACAAGTCACAAGGAAACTGACAACTTCTATTAACATGAGGGAGATAAAATTTAAAATAATCATAAAGGAAGAGTATTCCTCAACATTTGTGCTTTTCCCTCTCCAGACACCCTACAGCAAATGGATATGCATGTGGTCAGCGCTCTGATGTGCTGTAGAACAAAAGAAAGGTGCCTAGCTTCCAGCCATTAACTTTTATAGTTAAAGCTACAAAATGTCAATATACCTGAAATTCCAGGTGACCTTGAGCTTTCAGTTTACATTACATCAGGTATAAAAGCTTTATTAAACAGGAAGTGCAAATGATCTTACATGATGATCTTACATTCAGTCTTTTTTTTGCTCTTCCCTAAGATCTCAGAATACCTGGAAAATAGTAATCCTCACTACTCCTGCAACAAGCATTGTTGTGCCTAATGCACAGTATAGTACAGAAAATCCTGTACATCGTTCCTAGTGAACTGATTCAAAAGTGACACATAGGATGAATCAGGTAAGCCAGACCCAGTTTAAGTGATGGTTATGAAGTCAAACACTGGATTGGTGATAGAATTATAAAGAGATCCCAGGAGTATCAACTGATGAAAAGGAAAGCTAACCTTTGCCACAGTGATCCTATAAGTCTCTAATATCTTAATTATTCCATGCCTAACATCTTATTTTTTCAGTTTTTATTCTGCAGTTTTCAGCCTGGAGCAGACACTCACAATGTCCCTAACTGACCACATCAAAAACGTGGCAATTATTACTTTTATGCTCATGCATCCTTTCCTCCCCCTTGTTTTACCCTAAGACCACTAGCATTACTATGATGAGGGTAAATTGATTCATTTCAGGCTAGAAAACTTTAAAGAAATCAATAGGAAAATCCTTAGGGATTTAACAGATTTCTCAAAAGGTCAAATCCTGATAAATCAACACTTTAATAATTTATTTTTCCTTCCCCTTATTCCAGATAACAGGATATAGAATTCTTGACATGGTTTAATCTCTTCCATAAAACAGCTCATGGAGTTCCATCAGTAATGTCTGACATGGAAGTTAGAGTTTAATCTATAACATGTAATACTGGAGCAGATCCCTACAAGAAGAGGCATCATTTTGATATGAATGTTTCTGTCAAAAGCAATCAACCACACAATTCTCAAGACTCTTTCACTGCTTCTTCTATGATTTGTTAAAAGCATGTACATTTCCCTCGTATTCTACTTTATAGCTGCATCTTTAGGCAAACCATCCCATTTGATCTGTGATATGTTCAAGTATAGTAGAATCTCTCAGTGAAACAAAAATCCCCAAAACAAATACTAGAAAGCAAACTTTTCCAAACAGCAAGAACTAGTGGTTCTCCTTGAAGGATCTGCTAATGCCACTTTCCACTGAAATTCTTGACAGCAGCCTTAAACAAACACAAATATTCCCTGAGCAACACCCCAATAAAACAGAAAATTAGGCAAACAAAGGGTTCATATTCTCCTGTCTCTTCCCATAATTCATTACAAGAACAGCATGCAAAGCAAATATGTCTTACCAAGTTCTGTTATGTAGTTTTTTCCTTCTGAAGGTAAAGGAATGTACTGATTAGAAAAGAAGTTGCTTCCATAACCCAGGACAAAACCTTCTAGTTTGGTGCTTTGACTTGGTCGAAGATACCTCATGCAAACAGTGTCATCTGTTGCATTGATCTGAACCTTCAGACTCTGCCTTTTCACTGGGGAAAGAATGAAGAAGAGGAGATCAGAATGCATCATCTTGCAATCACATGTTCAGTAATGGAACATGACAATATAACAATATGTTTAATTTGCTAATAGCATGCAACTGAAAAATTTCTTATAGGTGATGTCTCCTGGAAACACAGTGTATTTTAAAAAGTAAACTAACAGTCATGTGAAATAGTGGTTGCCAACATGACTGTTTTTCCACTAGTTTAGCATTATCATTTGCTTTAACATCTACAATCGCAGTGGTAAAACCATGCATGAAGTAAGTGGAAAAAATGCAAGTATTTTTTCCTTTAAATGCAAGAGTTATAGTATTATTTACCATATGTAGGACCCATAGGAGAAAAATGTACAAATTTTTGGTTTGATTTTTTTTTTTGCTTCTTAGTAGAAAATATGAGGTTGTAAAATTCAGTTAATCAGTTAATCACACTCAACAATTATGGTAGAGGATAAATAGTAATTAAATCCAAATAAATCTTCTACATTTTTTTCCCCCTACATTGGGCTGGAAATGTAATTTTGTATTTGGAATTACACCAGGACACCTAACTAACATAAATACTTTACTCAAAACTATGAAGAAACTCTTTTTAAATGTTCATTTTATGCTTTCCAGGGGAACAGCACATAAAGTAAGAAACATCTTGTATATCCATCTACAAAAATTTAACTTGTAGCAACAGAGAATGACTTCACAGCAGAATAACTAAGTTTTTACACTACAAGTTGGTGTTTTGGCTTTTTCTTGGTGGGGTAAGGGAGGATTAGCTCTTTCCTTTTCCTTCCTTGGTATGTACAATTTTAATACTCCCTTGGTACTGTTAGGCCTATCATATTTTTCAGAACTGTTAAATTGCTGGCTTTTCCCCAAACTTACAACACCAGCACTGGACTAGTACATTTTGGGTTGTTATTTCTCTTCTCAGTCTCAAAATATAAATTTTTATCCCCAGCAGATTTTCAGGCATCTGTGAAATCATGAGGGCTGAAACTAACTTATCAGGAAACAAAAAGAACTTTGCAGACAATCATTTTACTTCAGAAACTAAATTGTGAATGAAACTATTAGATAAATGATAAATAATATATCATTAAATAACAGGATAGAGCAATACTAAACTTTTCTTTTTCTCTTTTTCTCTTTTTCTCTTTTTCTCTTTTTCTCTCTTTTTCTTTCTTTCTTTCTTCCTTTCTTTCTTTCTTTCTTTCTTTCTTTCTTTCTTTCTTTCTTTCTTTCTTTCTTTCTTTCTTTCTTTCTCTCTTTCTCTCTTTCTTTCTTTTTCTTTCTCTCTTTCTTTCTCTCTCTCTCTCTCTCTCTTTCTCTCTCTCTCTTTCTCTCTCTCTCTCTTTCTCTCTCTCTGTAATTGCAGACTGATATTCAAAGTTTCTCTAGACAAGTACATACTGATTCTCTGGTATCACCCCAACATACCCTGCTTTTTTTAGAGAGATTCTAATGACTAGAGTTGCCAAGAGACCAAAACCCTCACTTTGTTTTAGTAGATGATTTGAGCATCTGCAGTTGTCTGCACAGAGAATGTAAAGCCTTAAGCCAACACTTTATGCCTCTTCCCTTTGCATAAAAAAGCGTACAAGTAAAATTGATGGAAAACATCTGCCTCCCTTCCTTTATCTAAAGACTAATCAAGAAAAATCACTCAGCCAGGAAACTGTCACAATTTTCCAAAGGCAACTCTGCCAGGTTCCAGAGGACTGCAAGGTTTCTAGAAAACTCAGATCTCTGGCATTCTCAGCAGTGCAATACCTTCATGGGGAAAAGGGTGGCAATTACTTCTAATCTCCATGACATCCTAGCTCATTTATTTTCAGTACACAAGACTGCTGAGAATGTGCAACTCTGAATATTGACAGGGCTCCAGGTAGCACAAACCAGGAATAAAACACAACACACTTCAAATACCTCTAATGGGCTTCGTAAAGGCACTTAGTAAAATCTGGTAACAAAGCTTAGGATTATTATCTCTGACTGACAGTGAGCTACATCTGTTTAAATTATGGATTCTTCAAAATCCATTAAGCATTACTGAAATGATGGTCTCCTGGTCTCTATTGAGTGTTCTTGTCTAAGAACAAAATAAGACTTACAGAATTTAATTCAAATATGGTAATTTGATTTCCATAGCAAAGTTCTTAATCAGTCTCAAACCTGAATTTACCAAAAAAAATAAAATTAATGAAGATCTATTTAATTTTAAATTTACAATAATTTAAACAAATTTCTCCCCACAGTTGTATCCAGGTATCTCTCAGTTATACTTCACATCAATTTGAAGACTTAATTCTATATCAAGATTATATCCAACTGAAATATCCATTTCAGATAGATGGATACGGTTGTGTAATAATGTGGTGGGTTTAGTGCTGGTAGTTATGGTGCCAAATTACAGAATTATGACAATTCATAAGCAGTCAATTATAGTGACAAAGAGTCTTGATTTTATTAAAGCCTTAGAACTCTCAGTGAGGCTTCTGCAATTAGAAAGCTTAAATGGGATCCCAAAACAGTAGCAGCTTTAAGACCCTTTAGACCTCTTTTTTATAGCTATCATATCAAAACCACCAAGAGAGCTTTTAAAATCAAGGACAGTTCTAGCAGAAAATAAACAGGAATAATGTCTTTAAAAAAAAAAAAAATAAAAAAAAATAAGGCAGGAAAGAAGAAAAGGAGATGCACTTGATATTTAAAAAAATAATTAATTGTCCTCGCCACCCTGTCTTGGCAGGGCTGTTAATTTTCCTCTAATTTACTTTTAAGTACAGTAATGGTCTGGATGGCAAAAAGTATTGCAGAGTCCCTGTAGAGTTTAGGAAAAAAACATAAGGAAAAAATTATTTAGGCTGGAAATGACCACCAAGGATCAAGATATCAACTTCAACCACAAACCCAGCACTGTCAAGTCCACCACTAAACCATGTCCCCAGGAGCCACATCTACACAACTTTCAAATACCTCCAGTGATGGTGCCTCAAACATGGTCAGTCTTTTCCAATGTTTCATGATCTGTTTGGTGAAGATATTTTTCCTAGTATCCACTCTAAAGCTCCCCTGTCACAGCTTGAGGTCATTTGCCCTTGTCCTGTCTATTGTTACTTGGGAGAAGAGGCTAACTCCCACCTGGCCCCTACACCCTCCTTTCAGGCAGTTGTAAGGAGAGACAATGTTCCCCCTTGAGCCCGTTTCTCCAGCTTCCTCAGCTGCTCCTCATAAGACTTTTTCTCCAGTCCCTTCACCACCTTTGTGCCCCTTCTGTGGACATGCTTCAGCTCCTCGACATCTTTCTTGTAGAGAGGGACCCAAAACTTAATATAGGATTTAGAGTGTGGCCCTACCAGTGCCAAGTACAGGGAGATGACCATTTCCCTGGTTCTGCTTGGCACACTATTGCTGATAAAGGATTGGGTCCCATTGGCTCTTGGTCACCTGGGTACACCCTGGCTCACGTTTAGCTGCTGGTGACCAGCACACCCAAGTCCTTTTTCACCAGGCAGATTTGGGTTGTCATGAGCCAGATGTAGGATCTAGCATTTGGCCTTGTTGAAGGTACACAATATCCACAACCTTTCCCTCATCCAGTAAGTGAATGACCTTGTCATAAAAGAAGATCAGGTTAGGCAAGCAGGACCTGTCTTTCAAGGAGCCTGACCCAAAGAGCAGCAAAGAGCAAGGCAGACAAATCTCCTTCTTAAATTTGACTTAGCTGAGTGTTTTTCAGGGAAAATAACCGCTAAAGCAACAACACAGATGCCACACTTCATATGACTAAACCACATTCCTATTCATGGGCTGTATGCATTCCAGAATCAGTGAAAATGAGGGATGAATATTAACTGGTAAAACAATAAATGACCAGTTTCTGGAAGCGTATGAGCAGAAGTGGAGCAACCAAGGACAAGGAGAGCTCAATCCTACTTGCACAGACACTGCCAGTCTAGTCAAGAGAGGGTCAGCCTGGAGCAATGAAGATATAAATGATATATAAATTATACTGGTAAATGTGGACTGCCCCAGGAGCCAGTAGCAATATAGATTTCACCTGTGTTAATCTCACAATGTTTTGAACAACTAACCAGGAAAACATTCTTATTCTGAGTGATATGTCTCTTTTTGTCACCACTCAGATAAATATTCATTAAATATGATTGAATAGACAAGGGAAGTCATAGGAACTTAACTGTTAAAGTACAGTGATAAGAATCTATTTGATTTTGAGAAAATTATTTTTTCATATTAGGATTTCAGGAGACATTTTTTCCCTGCATCTCCTTGATGAAAAACTCGAATGATGCCCTCTAATTCCATTCATTTGTGCCAGTTTTTGGCATTTGTTGGTGAAACCCTGGTCTTAAGTATTTGCATTTGTAATGTAATTCCTTTACGTTGAGACCATTTCCAAATGGAAGATTCTGAGATCTATAGCTACCTCTGAAACACAATCTTTTCCTCCATGCTTGCCAACAGAAATTCCACACTGATGTGCAAGTATTCTCTTCAACAAAAGTCAGTTGTTGGCCAAGATCAGCAGGAGAAACTGTGCAAAGCGAATCTGAAGTAAAAGCATGAAGTTAAGTGCATCAGAGTGTTTGGAATCACTCTAAGGAAAGGAGTCTGCCTATACTGTGAGAGAAGGAAAAACAGCTTGATGAATCAGCTGCATCATAAGAGAACCAGCCACCACCAACTGTTCAGAAAGAAAATAGCTACCAATGACCTGGACAATCCAGCTGGAAGCAGCATAGTTCGGCTGGTTGGAATGTATAGGCAACAGGAGACAAAATCAAAAAAATATTGACACTTTAAAAGTTTAGATGTTACTTTCACCAGGAGTCTACTGCACAATTTAAGAGTGCATGGTCTCTTGTAATCAAATACAGTCCTATTTTTTGTTTTTATCCATAGAGTGGGGATCCTTGAACTCTGCCCTACAAAACTAGAGGGTGAATACAGCTGTAGTGATTTAGAGCA